TTATAAATCAAGCACTAACTTAATTATACGGCAATATATTGCAATACATATCGCAATATATGCTTTGGCATCGCAATATATCGCAATATGAAAATTCTCTGCAATACCCATCTTTAGTGACTTGACTGGTGGTGTTAGAAAGCCTGATACACGTGACACACCGCCCGATTGCCGTTTTGTTTGTGAGGAAGGCTGCGTGGAGGTATTCAGGGACGCGCTCATGTCCCCTCGCACTGTCTCTAACCTCGATAGCTGTATGAACTCTGCTCTGTCGGGTGATATAGAGGATGTTTTGTCTATGTTTACAAACATTCTGTGTTCGGCAGCCGATCCTATGAAGTGGAAATGCCATCTCACTGACAAACAACTACCTTGGATAGATAAAGAATGTCAATTTCTTCGTTCTGAGAAACAAAGACTTCTCAAAGCATTTCGTATGAACAACCAAAGAGAATCGCTAGACAATTATATACATGCTAGAAATAGATATGCTAATGCTTTAAAAACTAAGAAGAAGCGTTACCAGGATAATATTATGGATTGTATTTCCAGAAACATGAATAATAGTAAACTTTTTTGGTCAAATGTCAAAAACTGTCAGGGCACAAACAAAAATTAAAACCGGATATAAACATGAATGAATGGTTCTTGTATTTCAGAAGCATGTTCTCTACTGATGTGGACAATGAAGATTATATACATAATAGTGACTTTGATGACGTTACTCAACATATCCTTTACTCTCCATTCTGTCATGGTGAGATTGTAGTTGCCATCAATAAGCTGAAGAATAACAAAGCAGCTGGTAATGACCAATTAATAGCAGAGATGTTTAAATGTGCAAGCGATTTATTGGTACCTATTATTACTCTACTGTTCAACGCCATGTTCGATGTAGCTTTTTTCCCTAGGGCCTGGACAGTAGGCCACATTATCCCAGTCTTTAAAAAAGGTGATGCTAATTCTCCGGGAAACTATAAGGGTATTACATTACTTAGTGTTTTCAGCAAATTGTATATCTCGGTTATAAATGCAAGGCTCCAGTTCTGGTCAGATGCTTATGATAAGGTGGTTGAGTCTCAGGCGGGATTCCGACATGGATATTCGACAGTCGATTATATGTTTGTTCTATATTCAATCATTGAACGTTATCTGTTTAAGAAGAGGGGTAAAATATATACCCTATTTGTAGACTTTTCCAAGGCGTTCGACTCAATAAACCGGTCTAAACTCTGGGCGGTGCTTAATACAAATGATATATCCCCAAAAATGTATAAGTGTATCCAATCTATTTATAAGAATGTATATGCTTGTGTAAAATTTGATAACAGTTTGTCAGATATTTTCCGCTGCGACCTTGGGTTAAAACAGGGTTGTATCTTAAGTCCGCTATTGTTCAGTCTGTATATTAATGATCTGGCTTCAGCTATAGAGTCGGAGTGTGACCATGGTATGCAACTCCACCCAGATATAATACAAGTGTTTCTACTCTTATTTGCTGATGATGTAGTTCTTATTTCTGACACCATATTTGGATTATAAAAAGAGGATTGATACTCTCGAAAAATATTGTAATAACTCTTCTCTAGCTATTAATATGGATAAGACAAAAGTTGATGTATTTAAAGGTGGTGGTGTTTTGTCTAAACACGAAAGGTGGTATTATAAGGCTGTTCAGCTGCAATGTCTCCCTTCATATAAATATTTAGGTGTTGTATTTTCAAAAAGCTTATCCTGGTCAAGACACATTGACAATATTGTTTTACAAGCAAACCGGACTCTCTTTGGTATCTTACGCTCTTTTTCACAAATTAAACCATTGCCTTTGAGATTCATTTTTAGTATTTTCGACTCCAAGGTTCTTCCAATCCTGATGTATGGTGTTGAAGTTTGGGGATTATCTGTGAGTTAAGAAATTGAATCAGTCCATGTTCTGGCCTGTAAACGTGTCTTGGGTGTAAAACAGGAACATCTAATGACGTTGCGCGAGGGAAATGTGGCAGATACCCTCTCTATATCACAGCCTATTCACGCTGCATCAGGTATTGGGTAAAACTTATCAGTATGCCAGATCACCGCTATCCTAAAAAGAGTTATGACATGCTTTTGCAATTGACGTTGAATAGGAAGACAACCTGAGTGTCTCAAATAAGATCCTTACTTTATAATCATGGTTTTGGTTATATTTGGGAAAGACAACAAGTAGACTGTGTTCCCTCTTTTATTGCTGAGTTTTCCCACAGGTTAAAATGCACCTATGAACAGAAGTGGCACGACAATATCGTTAATAGCCACAAATATTATAATTATTCTTTGTTTAAGACTGTTATCCAACCTGAGTTTTATCTCTCTGCTATAACAATAAATAAATTTAGAATTGCACTTGCACAGTTTCGCTGCAGCTCCAATAATTTAGCCATTGAAACTGGCAGATATCTCTAAATCCCAAGGCTGACTGAGTTTAGTTTTAAGCCGCTTTTAGCAATATACCAGCAATATCACGGCGGGGGAAACCAGAAATGGGCTTCACACATTATCTCCATGTGTGGAATCGAACCCGGGTCTTTGGCGTGACAAGCCAATATTTAACCACTATGATATCCCAAGGAATGAAAGACTATGCAAAGTTTGTAACACTGGACACGTGGAGACGGAATACCACTTTTTGCTGACTTGTGAAGTCTATGATAATCTTCGCCAGAGATATATACCCCTTAAATATTCTTAATTTCCAACTCTGGCAAAGTTTAATTTACTCAAGTCTTCTCAACAAGAATCGGTCATTAGAAATCTGGCCTGCTACATCTTCCATGCCTCAAATCTTCGCCTCAAAGTTCTTGTATAGTATAAGTACCTTGTAAAAGTATATATTACTGTACGGGGACTGGTATATCTTCCTTGTCCCTTGCTGTACTCGTACTCGTATTATGAATCACATTATTAAGAGAGGTATATTTTCCATCCCTTAAATCCTCTTTTTTAAAACACTTGCATAAAATTTATGTTTAAGTATATATGGAATGCTAGGTCTTCCATGTCATGATGCACTTGTATAAGCGCTCGGTATAACTATGTATCACTGAAAGTGGTCTGATATATCTTCCATGCTCCAAATCTCCGACCTTCAAGCACTTCTTTATATACTGTGTAAAACTAATATCTCCATACCATGATACATCTGTACTTTGTTAAACCCATGGGTTACTGGATATGGACCGTTCTATTCTCCATGTCTTGATGTTCTTTAATAGGTATCATTGTAACAGGTAGCATTGGATATGGACTGTTATATCCTGTAGGCCTCAAGACCTTGCCTTAAAACTCTAGTATAATTACCTTGTAAAACTATATAGCACTGTATATGAATTGGTATATCTTTCATGCTCTGAGGCACTTATATAGTGCCCTGTAAAACTATGCATCACTGTACATGCTGTTACATCTCCCATGCCTTGATACGCTGGTATATGGTCTGTTTTATTTTCCATGCTGCAAATCTCCGTCTTTAATGTACCTGTTTATTTACTGTGTAAAACTACTATCTTCATATCCCGATACATTTGTACTTTGTTAAACCTATGTATGGGTATCATTGTAACATGTAGCATAGGATATAGTCTGTTATATCCTCTAGGCCTCAAGACTTTGCCTTAAAAAGCTTGTATAATTATCTTGTAAAATTATGCATCATTGTTCGTGGAATGTTATATCTTCCTGCATACACCTATATAAGTATTATGCAAAATCGATTGTATCGTCACATAGCCTTGCTGTACTTGCATAAGTTCCCTTATAATGTATGGACCATGTTGTTATGGAGCGGGTATTTTAAGTTGGATTACTTGTCCCCAATCCCTTTCACATTTGTGAATAAAATATGTTTAAATCAAACCATGTTGTACATAGGGCTGATGGCCCACACCACTGTACCGAATACAGAGATTTCGACTTTCGACATGTGTCAGACAATTTAGCGAGCCTAACCACCCGATCCCGTCAGTGCCCTTGCGACAAGTATGAGTTGTTGAAGGCCAATTTTAACCCGGATCTTCACGGGTCACGTTATCGGGGTTAACACCTCAAACAAGGCCGTGCCCTGATTTACTGTGTTAATATTCTTGGGACAACAAAGTCCAACCTGTTTCGACGGACCTTTCAGATATTGCAACTTTATCTGTTGTTTTGCACTCTCACTGGTTGCTGTGCAACAAACATCAACCAATGTTTAAATTCGGATAAAACATCACTTATAGCTAACGGTAACTTGGTAGCGAGTATGGTAGTAGTGCCACACTCAGCAATATTTCAGCTATATGGCGGCGGTCGGTAAATAATCGAGTCTGGACAAGACAACTGAATGATTGACATCAAATAGGATATGATGCCATGCAGTCTGACCATCTTTGATAAGCAGGGTTGTCTGGACGCTAAGTCTGGTCCGTGACTACTAGTCGCTACGGGTACAAAGCAAGAACCAAAGGTCCCTTGGAGCATTTACCCCACAATCTCAAATGACTTGCAATTGATGTTTCAAGTTCTGTTCATGTCTAAGCACTTGTGGAAGTAGTAGATGGCTTCGATTCCGATCACAGAGGTTGAGTTAATAGCATGGTCGGTTGTGATCCAGGTCCCAGTTTACCTTTTTTGATCCCTGATATTAATTATCCATATACACTGAACTGTTCTCCGTTATTATTAGTTCTTTGTGGATTAATGCCTCAGCACCTTTCTAGCTTTAAATGAAGGCGGTCTTTAAATAATCAAGGGCATCGATCTAGGCAACTGACACATCATGACATGCACTCGTGAGGACTTTGCTTTTAATCCCGATTTAACTCTTGGAAAAGATGGCTTGATTGGTCAGCAATAGTCTATGGAATACACTAACTTAAGACATGACCTCAACGAAAGCTGAGGCTAAGTGAAATACCCTTTTCACACAGTTGGTTACATTGTAAACCTAAACAATCCACAATGAAAACACTTTTGACATATTCCAGAAACCAACACAGGTTCAATCTCAAACAACATTGCCAGGAACAGGAAAGCGTTCCATTGTAGAAGCGGGGAGGATTCCACTAATTATGGCAACGATACCATCTGGACTGATGATATCTGCTATGACCTCCATGTGAACAATGTAATCATCATCGACCTTGGTGGACACTATCGAGTACAGAAAGTGTCTCTAAAGAAACATGGTTACCAGGCTGGTAAGTTGTTGGGCTGTGAACATTGTCATAGTTAGATTATCACTTGAAAAATGCACTCGATTAAGGGATGGAGTCTGGCTGTTGGTAATACGCATATAACTCCTCCAATGAGTTAATGTTAATAGGGGAAGTAGGGTAGCCTAGTGGTTTAAGCGTTCGCTCGTCGAGACGAACACCCTGATATATTGCTAAACGTGCATAGAATCGTAGTGACTCTTCAATATTAAAATTTAACATTTGCAGTGGATTACCGGATCCATATAAAAACTCCTGCTACATGTTCTGATATTTTTTCCCAATTATTTTCATTAACATAATCAAAAATTGTCAAATGTGATGAAACACGTTACTCTAGCTTCTAAGGAACTCCGTTAATTACAGATACTTTTCGTTGGCCTTGTGAAAACATTGTGAGGATTTATACATCGCACATTTTCCTTGAACCACAGATCTCAAACAGAATCGCACATATAGGTGTCACCGCACCTCACCGCTCCGCACCCAACATAAGCTTTTTTATTACTTCCGCTCAAGGGACGCAACTCGCATAGCCGCATACCACTAATGATAAAATATGGTCACACTAAACATAATCCGCCATTAATTCTACCAACATTACAATAATGTGTTGCATGTGCTGAGTCACTTAGTATTTAGACCACCTGGGAGTGAGTATTCCAGATATATTCCAGCAATATCACGACATTCGAATGAGTTAATGTTAACAGGGGAAGTTGGGTAGCCTAGTGGTTTAAGCGTTCGCTCGAAAGGAACACCCTGATATATTGCTAAACGTGCATAGAATCGTAGTGACTCCAGAAATAGGCTATACACATTGTACCCATGTGTGGAATCGAACCCACATCTTCGGCGTGACGAGTGAACGCTTTTACCACTAGGCTACCCCTCCACCATGTAGACCTAGACTTATGTTTGAACAGTTAACCTGACCATCCGTGTTGGCTTGCACCTTGCTGACCAGTGCTCCGTCATGAGAGGAGTCAGCTGCATGGCATCTTATGAATACTGGCCAAACGGAACTGCGAAGGATTTAGCTTGTGAGGGGAATCAAAGTAAACCAGGACGCTACATTGTGATTGAGAACAAAGTCAAGCAGAAATCCATCTTCTGTGTCATGAGCGTGGAAGGGATCGCTGCATCTGTTACAAAACGCACAGGTGAAACGTTTTCTTTATACTTCAAGTTAATCATATGGCTCAACCCGCTAATTGACATCTACATGTATGCACTTATTATGGTCACAGGCATAGTACTGAATGATGCTTATTTTAAAAAAATGACAGTCACATAAAATATTCGGCAATATGTCCTTGTGCGATAACCAATATATGAAGACTATGTGTTTTAGAGCCTACTATTAATTAGTGGCAGTTGGCAAGCTTTCTAGTCCTTGTGTTGGCACCGTCATAAACACATGAAAGGACAAGTTAATGTCTTAATTGAATCTGGAAGCACTTTGACATGTTTACTTTAAGGCCACCAAAGAAGAATTGTTAAGAATACATGATAGCTGTACATGTTAATTACTGGTTTAAGTGCTTCCAGTAAACCTTGTAGCTTGGACTACTTGTTTGTTGTTGAACACCGCAATCAGCATTATTCCAGCTGTGTGATGGTGGTCTGTATATGATCGAATCTGGACCAGACAAGCCAGTGACTGATATGGACATCGACCTATGTTGACTTGTATCAGCCAAGTCAGGAAGTCTTACCACCCTATCCCCTAAGTCACTATATACAAGCATGGGTTGCTGAAGACCAATTCTAACCTGAAATTGTACGGGTCTTGCAGCTTGTGTGTAGTTTGGTAAGAAAGAAAATCAATAACATTTCATTCCCTTTAAGTTGGCGAAAACGGGGAATGAAATTAGATATGACCAGATATTTTTCAGTAAGTTGTGAAAACATAACGTCAACATGATTGAATAGGCAGTCTCGATTGATCGCAGAAGCAGACAACATTGTTTTAAACTCGCTACTCTATTTGTTTCAAAATATGTATAACCCGATATAGTTTCGTTTGTTCGTAGAACCTCGTATCAAAGAGGGCTTAACTCTAACAACAACTGTAAAATGTGAATTCGAATATCAGGAAATAGTCATTCAGCAGAAGCAAATTTACTGATTCCATTTTGTTTAAAATTAAAGAGTGATGAAAATGTTATTATTAGATCATTGAAAATTAGTTATGACACCAGGTAAGTATGTTTCTGTATCGGCTGTGACCCTCCCCACTCGTACAGGTTTTTACCCAATATCCTACATAGAGAATCTCACCCAAGTGTCTACTGATATCAAATATATCAACACGAGTTGATAAAGTTACAAATATCCGAGGCTTGCCGAGGATATTTTTACCTTTATCAACGAGTGTTGATATAATTGATATCAGTAGACACGAGGGTGAGATTCTATTTATCATCCAAAATCATTCTTCGTTAATTTTCAATGAAAAATGTACATCTCTGAGCATGGTACTGCCATTAGACTTGCAGTGCAGCGATGTCATAGCATTGTGACGTCATCAAATACATGACGTCATAGCATTGTCAGGGCATTGTACAAAATCTACTGTCAAAACGATATCTCCTAGGAGATATCGTTTGATCTCACACAAGCGATATCTACTGTGGAACACAGTTTTGGATGATAAAATGCAATATTCTGTCCAGGGTGATCTGTGAACATGTAAAATATGGACCAGACAATCCAGTGAAATATGAACCAAGCAGTTTTGTATCGTAGCTTTTTTCGGTTCACATTGGGTTCTTTTTGGCGCGAATACAATACTAGTTTTGTAATTTAAATCTTGTATTTGAAAATCAATAGAATAATAACGATAATAACAGTTATACTTTGAAATATATTTACTGCAGCCTTCTTCTCCAACGCAAACCCGTCCTCTTCTTCGGGATTCCCATCCTTCTACACCAAAAACACACAAAGCGAAATTGATTGCGCAAGATCCTGTCTCCAAGAACCAATATGTCTGAACTTCCGGTGGACCGACCCAGTCTGCTCTCTCTATGGCGGAGTTATCCCGAATCTAGAATTTGGTATCGGCGTTGGAAAACGGTTGCAAGATTTCAATCAGACTTGGCAGTAAACATCAATATGAAACGTTTATGCTGTGAAATGAGAAGGAATCACTATGAATAAGCCTACAGGTTTGAAAAGTGTTCAGTGTCTTAAAGGAGCTCCTCAGAGTATAGATCGTACCCTAGTTATGTGAATTGTGTGCAATTAAAATTGGAATTGTCATGTTTTCTCTTCTTCAGAGAACATCGTGAATTACGGACCGGTTATTTGATGATCTGGGTAGGGTGGCCACGAGATTATATTTTCCTAGTGTATCGTTTATACCCTGCCCATATTGTATCATCTGAGTTTCATCATTAAAATATGCATTGGAAATGACATGTTTGTTGTCTTAGAATACCTCTTTTCACTTCCACAAAAATGTTTCAGCACAGATTAATAGTATATTATTATCAATATGGCCAATATTTTTACTTTTCTCATAACAAACCATCAAAATCATTAATGATAACAGAGCATCTTAGAATAAACAGTTTTACTTGTAGTTTAAAGGTGAGTAACTTCACACACAAGGTATATATGAAGCACTTCACAAAGAACGTTGGGAAAATTCTGCTTTGATGTTAAACTACAGGAACATGCCCCATGTCTGTGTTTTCAAATCTGCTTTAATGACCTCGCTAAGTCCTACAGAGTTTTACCACAGGATCGTCTCAACAGCAAAGCAGTGCTTCAACATAATAACATTGATAATGTTCATTATCTGTAGTGACATGCATCCTAAATGTGCTTTTTCCAGTATGAAATATTTGTAGTTTAGTAATTACAGTATTTACCAACTTATTGACAACAAGTCATACATAGACTAGCATGGCACCAGTATGTTCGTGGTGTCCCGAGCTACAACGTTTACATCTTCAAAATGTACTGCGTCTTTAAACATTATTCCCTAAGTTGTAAACATCACCCAAATTTGCCAGAAAATGTTTCGCGTGTTTTGCTAAAATTCAGAACCTGCAATCATAATCTGTCCATTGAAACTGGTAGGTGGAAACCTACACCAGTCAATGAAAAAATGCCCAGTTTGTACATCAACTGATTTAGGTGCTGAATTCTATTACTCGTTCATCTGTCCAATTTGGGAAAACACCTAGCGCACAAATATTTTTACACAAAAGCAAACTTCTTTGAAATGAATTTACTTTTGAATTGACGAAAACGAGGAACACGAATTATCCAAAATGTAGAAAACCAGTATATTACTATCGAAAACAAACACTATGTATCCCAGTTGAATATTAAACTCTGGTATCTGTTGTCACTGCTTAGTGATGTTGTTGAAGCATATTGTATTCCTGTAAATTATGATGTAATAATGTAAATGTTGTACTTCCAAAGGCGCTGATAGCACCCAGAATGTAAATATACCTCAGTTCAGTCACGGCTACTGCCCAGCGTGCACGTGACCATAGCTGTCTGTCTGCCTGTCCATCCCCCCCTGTGTCTCTCTCTCAGGCGTCGTTCACGACCACCATTCCTCTTAGTGGAAATATCTCTCCGTTACTACACGTTAACATGCCAGCGAAAAAAACGCAACGTGTAAGAGAAACTAAATCGCTGTCCTCTTGGTGTTCCGTATTCACAGTTAAAGCCCAGCTTGTGTCCTATCTGTGACTGTTGACATGATGAACCCGTAAAATCTCTCTGGCGTCATCACCAGCCTTTGCATATACGTGTGCCACCGGTCTTTTCTCCTTACTACACGTCAACATGCCAACGAAAACGCTATGTGTAGAGGAAACTAGATCGCTGTCCTCTTCGTGTTAAGTCTTCACTGTCACTGTCACGGCCAAGCTTGTGTCCAATCGGTGACTGTTGAAAACGATGAACCCGTAAAATCTCTCTGGAGCCATCACCAGTCTTTGCACACATGTGACGCAGAATGAACCTTTCTCACAAACACCTCGAGTCATCACTATTTCGATAGTAATTCATAAACGATGCTCATTATATGTACGATCGACCATTTCTTTCTACAAGCTTTTTTATTGATGAGGAAGGGGTTTAGTCGCTTACATTATTATCATTGTGAAGTGTGTTTTTTTACGAAAGACAGGTGCAGATAAAACTAAATCTTGTGGTTGTAGCTTACGAACGCTGAGCAATGTCTCTTCCACTTCACCTTATGGTAGACTTATGGACAAAGTAACATGTTTGTGTAGGAAACTGCTAAAATATGTAATATTTTCGTGCTAATTTCCTTGGCGTCGACCCGTGAAGATCTTTGAATCGGTCTTCAGCAACTCATGCTAGTGATAAGAGGATAACGGGACTGGGTGGTCAGGCTCGCTGACCTGGATGATGCATGTTATCATTTCTCATTATAGGCGTATCACTGGATTGTCTGGTCCAGACTAGATTATTGACAGACCGTTAAACATCTGGAATATAGCTGAGTGCAACTTCAAGCAACAAACAAACATCATCGTACCCCGACGGTGCGGGATGATGCACAGATATGAACCACAGTTTCGTCTCACACAACAATACGTAGCTGATATTAGCGTGGCGTCAACAAGTAAATATACAAAAATATGTCATGAAAAACATGTACATCCTTTTGAGCAATCTGCAATCTGTATATCCAGTTAGGCTTCATCCGACGGCATCTTTCCATTTCCACTTTAAGATCCGGTGATGAATGAGTGAGCGAGTTAAGATTTTAAGTCACCCCCGCAGGATTTCAGCCATATCGTGACTAAATCAAGTTATAGATTTATAATAATTAAAGGTAAATTATAAAACAAAACTGTCAACGAAGCAACAGTAAAGCAACTAGATTATCGCATATATAAATTTAAAACTAGTAATTAAATCTAACAACTCAAGTCAACTATTCATGACAAGACAATATGAAAACAGGCCTTAGATTGCCAACAACTGAAGGTAGGTCACCAAACTAGGGACCACGGAGACTTACAGTACATTTGTTTCCTGCATGGAGCATAGCTGGATTTACACCATCCCTTCAGCTGCTAGCAATTGTTCGTAATCTTAGCCATTTACCTAAAAAGTACAAATATTCTACTTTTAGATCCGGATTAGAATAGACATTCAGCAACCGATGCTTATAAGAGACAACTGACTCGCTCAACTGGTTGACACATGTCATCGTATAACAATTGCGATTATTTACAGAAGACGGCCATATAGCTGGAATATTGCTGAGTGCGCCGTTAAGCAACAAACACGCCTCATCTAAGTTTCCAAGAAAAAGGAAGCACACACTCTTTTGGAATAATTCATGACTTAATATGAGGACATTCAGTTTCCGGTGGCGCTCATGGCGACAGGTCGCACATAACATCTCCCAAACCAATCCATCCATATCTGTAACATCATGGCCAATCCAAGAAAAAGTCACAGAGGAAAAGCAGATGCAGAACCCTTAAATCAAGATCAGCAAATAAATTTGGACGCCCAGCCAGCGGCTAAGCAAAAACCTCAGCATGTCTCTGAGCAACCTCGACACAGGGAAATGTATCGACCGCCATGTCGGTGAGCATGATCGATGAAATTAAATATTTCATTAGAGACTCATTGCAAAAACAAACAAATGAAATCACTTCGAAAATTGATTAAGTGAACGTCGAAGTAGCAAAATTGCAATCCAAAACGGATGATCTTCTCCGATCAGTTAGATGTAAACAAAGCCGAGATTCAAATGCTCAGAGACATGGACCAGTTACGAAAAGACACTGAAACTAAACTATTGACACAAGAACTATATTTTCGCAGGAATAACCTGCTGATCTATGGTATACCCGACGAACGAGACCCAGAATCAGCTTGTAGAGATCTTTTCAAGGATCTGGGAATATCGCATGCTCACGACATAAACATTGCGAATATTCATAGGCTGCCGCGTCAGAGTACAAAATCCTCGTATAGCTGCATCACCAAAACCTATACTGGTCAAATTTGTCAACATGTGTGACAGGCAAGCTATTATTGAAGCCAGTTTTCGTATGCCATACTGCGAGAGAGACATGTGTCTATCCACACTGACCTCCCAGTTCCCTTGAAGAAGATTCGTGGAAAACTAGCCAACAAAGCATACGAATTGAGGCAGAAATACACGGTTCATACGCGTATTCGGGAAAAGGGAACTGAAATTATCCCACAGAGTAGAAAAAACTCAGATCGACCTTGAAAAAGAGTGAAACTTGAGGATGTCATTGATCAAGCATCATTGTAAGAGCTTGTCGCAGTGTGTGATACTAACTCTCAACTGTTTGTGAAAAACGTGCACTGTGTTCTCTCTTCTCTCTGTTTATACCTTTACAAGAACTCATAAGACTGAACTTCCTGGAGTACAACTGGGTAACGACTGTATAACAATATTCCCTATCGAAGATTAGTAATCGGAAGATTATTGCTATCGATATTTATCAACAGTCTTCACAATTGTCATGAGCAGTTTGTTTACAAGTCTATTTTTAGACCCACGTGGGTCGAAGATTAGTAATCGGAAGATTATTGCTATCGATATTTATCAACAGTCTTCACAATTGTCATGAGCAGTTTGTTTACAAGTCTATTTTTAGACCCACGTGGGTCCGTGATCATGTGACTATTGTTGACATTCGCTACCTCACTGATAGTGACAATGCATTTGATGTCTCCGTTTAATGAAACAACATTTATAACACATAAATATCTCTATCAATTTTAAGACCTTTTCTGACTGTTGTATTTATATATGATTAACATTTGAGGATGTGAATGATATGCTTTATAACCGCATGAGTAATACGGTCACTGATCACGTGATTTGTACTGAATTGTCGAGAGACAAGCAAGTTTGTTACTTGTTCACAGGATTGCCTGTCTGCAGTATGCTCTTCAGACCCCAAAACGTGAGTTTGTAGTACATATATATATATGCATATATGTACAAAACATTCCTGCTGACAATAATTCTTGAACCGGAACCAGACCAGAACCGGAGTTACCTCACTTGTTTAACTTAATTTTAAGACACCTCTTGTATATAGCTCTCTTGCATATATTTCTCTATAGAATTTATACCAGTTGTTATGAAGATAATGATACAGCGGCCATTTCCTCAATACTTATTTACTAGAGGATGGATTTGACATGTGGCAACGCCTTTTTTCAGTTTTTGTTTTCAGATTTCTTTTATTATCTTGTTTTCCCAAAAAATATATAAAAACATTCATATCAGTAGGCATTTGAGATATAATACCAGTACACACAATATGAATCAATATCGGTGATAAGATAAGAATAGCTTCAGCCAATTGTAGAGGCCTGGCAGAAAAGAGAAAACGTAAAGAAATAATGAACCTTTGGCAAAAGAAAGTTTTCAATTATATGCCTGCAAGATATTCATATTTCCAAGGAAGATGAAACTATTATGAGAAATGAATGGGGTCTTCAAAGCATTATAGCACTATATAAATCGAACGCAAGAGGGGTTGCTATTCTATTTAACAATAATTTGGAAGTAAATATCCACAAATTCATGACTGACAACAGTGGAAACTATATAATAGCAGATGTAACTATAGAAGGAATAAGAATCACATTGACTAATATATATGGTCCTAATCAAGATGAACCTGAATTTTATCATGCATTCTTTCATAATATTGATGAATTTGGAAATGAATCTCTTATAATATGTGGAGACTGGAACTTAGTTCTTAATCCTTTCATAGACTTAGAAAATTATAAAAATATCAATAATCCAAAAGCAAGACAAGTAGTGTTAGATAATATAGAAAGGTATGATTTGGCAGACATTTGGAGGGAGAGAAACTATGATGTAAAGAAATACACATGGTGGAAAAGAAACCCTAAACAACAGTCCAGACTTGATTTCTTTTTAGTTTCTCAAGATTTAACAAACATGACAACTGACTGTTCAATACTTCCAGGATATAAATCTGATCATTCAGAAGTTATCATGTCTTTTTCTAATGAGCTTAATAAGGAGCGTAATACATCATTACTTTATAACCAAGAATATGTAAATATAGTCAAGGATATGCTTTTTTAAACAAAATTTGAATACTGTAACTGCACTGAGGATGAACTAGGTGATATTGAAGATTCTAAACTACAACTTAATATAAGTGACACTTTGTGTTTAGAAACATTTTTAATGAAAGTAAGGGGGGAAACAATATCATTCTCTTCCTACTCAAAAAAAATCAAGACTGAAAAAGCAAAAATTTAGAAGAAAAAATTTTGGCAATGGAAGAAGAAGTCAGAGAAAATTTCCAAATCATATGTGTACCTAAACTTTCTGAACTATCCAAATGTAAATTAGAATTTGAAAAATTAAAATGAGAAGATGAAATAAGAGGTATACAGATAAGAAATAGAATTCAGTGGTATGAGGAAGGACAAAAACCAACCAACTATTTTTGTCATCTCGAAAATAGAAATTATACCAGTAAGCTTATGAATAGTGTCATCAATGACAAAGGGGAAGTAATTTCAGATGGTCAGGCTATTTTAAATGAACAAAGACAATTTTATGAAAATCTATACTCATCAGGTGGTAAAATAACAGATAATTATATTAATATATTTGATGATATTGTTACACCAAAATTGAACACTGTACAGGCTGAAAATCTTGAGGGTAATATTACTATAGATGAAATAACACAAGCTGTTAAATCAATGAAAAATAACAAAAGCCTTTGAGTAGATGGTTTCCCAATAGAATTTTTTAAATTTTTCTGGAAAGATCTTCATATTTGGGTCTGTAGATATATATCAGAAACATTCAGGCAAAATATGTTAAGTTCAACAATAAACAGAGGCGTCATCACATGTATTCCAAAAGCTAACAGAAATAGACAGTTGTTAAAAAACTGGCGCCCAATTTCCCTACTGAATTCTATGTATAAAATACTCAGCACATGTATAACCAATAGAATTAAAAACACATTGAATACACTTATTCATGAAACTCAGACAGGTTTTATACCTGGAAGGTGTATCGGTGAGAACATTAGATTATAATACGATATTATGTTTGAAGCAAAATTAGAAGGTAAAGAGGGACTCTTGTTACTTGTTGACTTTGAAAAAGCTTTTGACACTGTCTCTAAAGAATTTATAATTCTAACAATTGGAAAGTTTAGCTTTGGACCAAATATGGAAAAATGGATCAAAATATTAATCAATAATGCTACATCATGTGTTATACAGAATGGTCATTTATCACAATTTTTTGACAATGAAAGGGGATGTAGACAAGGGGACCCAGCCTCTCCCTATATATTCCTCTTAGTGGATGGAATTTTAGGAATAATGATCCGTTACAACAGTGCAATAAAAGGAATTACATTGAATAATACTGAACATAAAATTGGACAGTATGCAGATGACACTGAATTATTTCTTGATGGGCGTGAAGAAGGTTTAAGGGCAGCAATTGACACTCTCAAAAATGTCTTGTTTAAGAATAAATATAGATAAAACGAAAGCAGTGTGGATAGGCTCAATGGCAGGTAATAGCATGATTTTATGCCAGGATCTTAGCTTGATTGGCATAGTGGGGATTTTGATATTCTAGGAATAAGGCTTAATCCAAATTTAAATAACCTTTGGGTAATTAATACAAGAAAAAGACTAGAAATTATTATTAGAACTCTAGGAAATTGGAGGAAAAGAAAATTGACATTAATAGGGAAAATAACTGTTCTTAAAACTTTAGCACTTTCATCATTGGTGCATATATTCACTTCACTCCCAAATCCTCCAAAGGAATTCGTTGACAAACTAAACAATATATTTTATGAATTCATCTGGAATGGTAAGCGGGATAAGATAAAGCGAACGACGCCTATTAGAAAATATGACGAAGGGGGACTCAGAATGGTTAATGTAGAAGTATTCATAAACTCTTTAAAACTGTCAGTTTTACATAAATATCTTCAAAATAAAAACAGTACTAGCCCTAGTATCTTTCCATTCAAAGATATATTTCTGCTTGGAGCCAATATTGAAAATTATGTCAATATTATAAATCCCTATTAGAAAGATGCATTGGCTGCATGGGGAATATTTTATAAACACATAAAACGGATTTTACAGATATTGATCAAATCTTATCCGAACCCCTTTGGTTCAATCATCAATTCCAAAATAGTAATTTTATTATAAGACATTGACATCTCAAAGGTATTCACTCTATAAGAGACGTGTAATGATCAAGGTATTTTGTCATTTAGTGAACTTAAGAAAACTTACAAAATTAAAGGCACAATTCTTGATTATTATCAGGTTCTTTCAAATATACCCAAAAAATGGAAAGATACTATTAGAAATAATTTATTGATTGTTCATAATCAATATCTTAACATCATTGATAGGTTTACTTTCAGCACCAAAGAGATCCAGATATGTATATGATGCAGTGGTAAGTGCTGAAAACCTACCCTCGACATGTTAAAAATGGCAAAGTATCTTTGATATTGCAATTCCATGGCAACATAATTTCAAAAAATATAGAAGATGTACAACAGATACTAAATTGATTGACTTTTAGCAATATAACGGCCTGGGACACCAGAAAGGGGATTCAAGTATTGTACCTATGTGGGGAATCGAACCCGGGTCTTCATCGTTACGAGCGGACGCTTTAACCATTAGGCTATCCCATCGCCCCAAATGTACATTAAGAAATCTATCAGCGAAAAAATCAGATGAAATAACAATAACTTAACAAGGAGCCATCATGATGACCATACATCAGCCATGCGAGTGTTAGATATTACGTTGAATATACATAGATCAGTATATTCCTTGATATTCATTCGAGTTATGTTAAGCCAACGATGACAGTAACATGATCAAAAGTGACATTTACGTATGATGAGTGGGCAAAGAATACAATGTATCCGCAAAATAGTCTATATTTCGAACACAGGAATATTTCCTTTGCATTTATGTCAGTCTATGACGCATTCGCCAGAGCTGCGTTCGCCTTTCTCTCAATGTAGTCAAAGTCACCGGGCTTGATGTTATCGGCAACGTTCACGAATGGGTTGGCGGGGTCAATCACTGCAGGCGGAGCACTACAATCAAACGGTGGCAGGTTGGAGGGCATTTCAATAGTTCGATGCTAGTGAATATAAACTGATTTAATGTTATTCCGATTCGTTTTCAGGACAATGAAACAATCACAATCGATAATGCCAGGAAACTACTTTTCACAGAAATACAAATTCGTATTGCATCAATTTGGTCTAGGTGGAAATAGCTAACTAACTACAAACAATAGATTGTGGCACCGGAATAAAACTGTTCTTTCTGAAACAAGGTCGGCTTTACACCCTAGTAAATACAGTTGTTAGACACACCAATGGTCATTTTCTTACATATGTGTTGCTTTCAATATGCAAAGCTTAGTCATTCTAAGCAGCATTAAAAGCATATTAAAGAGTTGTATCAGTCACTCTGAAGTGCAAGACTGACCATACGCTGAATTGCGAGACTTAGCATACTTACGGAAGAGTCGTGTAATCAGATGCACGGTGTTTTCCAAGTGAATCCATCTGCAACGACCGCAGACAGCTGAGTTTTTCCATGACTCTCCTGAATCCTTCCCTCATGTCAAATGTTTTAGAATCTCCCCATTGTATCCACAATCCAATGACAATAAGCTCGACGCAGTATGATCGAATTTTAACAGCTTCAATCTAAAACAAGAAGACATGGAAATCAATACCCCCCGCCACAGTGTTCTGTTCCTATTTGGTTCCTGTTTTGTAACTCCGCTACGACATTAATGTCCTGAAAACACATCTATCACGGTTTCTGAGAAAATCTGTCCCCATTGGAAATACCGCGCACTAAGTCAAGAAACGCATGACAAGAGCCATAACTCTGTGAGAAATTGTTACACGGTTTCCGTTTTCAAACTCCATCAAGGCATTTGTGTCTTGAAAACACATACCAAATTTGGTTTCCCTATTTATAACGGTTGTTGAGAAAATCTGTCAACATCATCTCGGACGGACGGAGATCAAACCAATATCCCCCGCCCACTTCATGGCGGGAGATAATAACCAAGACTCTGTTGTTTACCAGATTATCCATAAATAGCAATATCACTGCGGGGTACACCAGAAATGGGTTTCACACATTGTACCCATGTGTGGAATTGGACCCTGTCTTCGGCGTGACGAGCGGACGTTTTAACCACTAGGCTACCCCACCGCCCCACTTGTCAGTGTAACGTGGAACGTTATATCATAGGACAGCATTATCACCATGTGGTGTTTTTCAATCGATACCATTATGTAACAATAAACATTTGAAGTTAATGAGACGAAAAGAAATCACTCGAGGATAGGTGGTTTGACAGTTTGATTTCATTATGTTCTTATATTTTGACTTACTGGAGCTAGACATCGCTGTTAAATATCAAAGCCTTCCGTTACCTCAATGCGGAGAAACCTATATCTCACCTCTTTCCAGTATTTGACAAGACGAATCAAATTCTTTACTTGTAGTGGTATGGATTCCACGAAACCGATCTGGTCTTTTGTGAGGCATGCAGAATAGAGATGCCGAGTTTTTGGTGATTTTTTCATTTCCTTAAAAATGTCTTCCCTTGGTCCTAGAAAAGTGGAAACAGTAAGACTCATCGTTATCATTGAAATATACTACCGTTTATTTGGTGGGGATATATAGTGAGAATCCTGATGACTGACAGGTTATCGGGGTTGCTACGATTCATGAAACGTATTGTAGCTTATTGTTGTAATACCCTTGGTTTGATATGGAATATGTGAATGCTGTTTCTCAGTAAGATAATTTGCAGCTTCACAGAGTCATGTGAATGATAGAGTTAAGACGTGGCACATCAGTGCACCTGTGGCATATGCACTCTGAGTTTACTGAGTCTGGCAAACGCAATTTTGAAGTACCAAGGACGTATCTCGCGAGTACCGAATTTAGTATTACGCCGTGTTTAGCAATATTCCAGCAATATCACTGCGGCGGACACCAGTAATGGGCTTCACACATTGTACCCATGTGGGGAATAGCCTGGGTCTTCGGCTACCCTACCAACTAGGACATATCTAACCCGCGGCCTCACTGAAGTCATCATTTCTTCACGATATCCAGCAATTTACCTTTTTTGTTTCACACCACTTTCATGTCTAAAATATATCCTGATGAAAACCCTTCCAACACTAAAGCAGCATACAATAACAACGTGACCTATTGGGTAATTTGATAGCTTACGATATAATGGTGTGTATGAAAAGATCAAGGCAGGGAATTACCTTTTCCAAGGTCCACTGCGGGGAGGAGGTCAACCTCAAGCAATTTTTCGCCTTTATGGCCGGTTATCGAGAACTGAAGTGAACGATGTGTCTTCTTTTTGAAGCTAATGCCTTTTGCCCACGTTATGTCACCCTGAACTATATGGTGTTTTAAAGTAGAGAGTATTTCTGTCATGTTTTTCTTCCACTGTGCCACGGATGTGTAGTCGTTGATGAAGACAACCAGATCGAGGTCAAACGTATCTTTGACACTTGTGCCTTTTTTAAAAGAGCCGCCCTTGAAATATTGAACATAGATCATTGTGTTACCTCATAGACGGACGGATTTAAGCGATCCAGATATATGACTGTATTTAATTTTTAGATGGTCCCCTGTAAATACTAAAACATATATCAATCGTTACATTTCAATATAATATCCCAGCTATATCAGTATGGTCGATTGATTGTTGTTTAACGCCGCACACAGCAATATTCCAGCTATATGGCGGCGGTCTGTAAATAATCAAGTCTGGATCAGACAATCCAGTGATCAACAGCATGAGCATCGCTCTACGCAATTGGTATACGATGATATGTCTCAACCAAGTCAGCGAGCCTGGCCACCCGATCCCGTTAGTCGCCTCTTACGACAAGCATGGGTTGCTGAAGACCAATTCTAACATGGATCTTCACGGGTCCTATATCGGTATAAGACAAACCATTTCTTGATACGCTCGAAGCCTTTTGCGCACGATCACACACAGACAGGAACTGTGTTTAAACAAACGATCCTCCTACAAATTCGACTCTTTTGACAAGTATGGGGTACTGGGATGCACTTGTGATGCGGAAACATTCGCAGAAATTGACTTATTTTTCCCTGGATTTTATACTTAGATATGACACGTGATTCTATGCGCTGCAAGCGTACTGAAATGAGGTTTACAGTATATTCGGTCAGTAGTTAGCAATGCAGGGATTGGCGTTAAACTATAACAATGTATTAAGGTATTCACTCACTTTCACAAATTCCTCAATGCTGTATTTAGTGTTGTGCTGCATGAACAGCTTGAGCTTCTCTACAGCCTCTCTGCATCTTTCCATCTTTTCTTGGTTGGGTTGGATATCATTTACCAAGCCACTGAAGTCGCCACAACGCTGCAATTCGGAATCAAATGATTTCCTATTTCTGTGACGCATTCTAGTATGGTCTTCACAGCTGGTGGCGAGAAAAAACGCCCGCTTGCATATTGTGCACTCATAATTCAAATGCTTTTCTCGCATATGAGACCTTATTTGTTTAAAGCCAGAGAAAGTGTAGTTACAGCAGAAGCATGTCTTGCATTTGTGGCGCACGTGGTTAAATATGGCAAGGTCGTTGTGAAACGTTCGACTGCAAACTCGACACGTCAAACTCATCCTGTGAAAACAACAGAAGATGCATATAATCTGTATATCAAACATGGCGTAACAAATTTAGGCACTAGCTAAACTATTTCCACAAAAAATTAATACATCGGTTCCTAAATTGGCATGGTAAGCTGATGACACACGGCTTGTGCTTTAAAATGCGAATGTCCTCAAGATTGCCGTAAATAGATGTATGAGAAGTTTAGACTGATAATAAATATTATATAGTAACAAGGACGGAGTCTCAGTGACGGAGAAAAAGAGTATCAATACATGATAACAGGAGTTGGTATTTATTTAAATTCAATGAACAAGAGGTTACGTTGAAATCAAAACATAGAGCCTTCCTTGATTTTACTGTTTGAACATTGTTGAACTGGAGAAAAGAATAAAATAAAATATGACGCTAAAATAGCTGTCAGACCGTGGCATACCAACAGACATTAACAGATGGTATCTTTGACACCCTGTCGAACCCTCGATATTAACGGGATTAAACAAGGACTGTAACCCTATGTCATAGATGTTGTGTCTTCAAATCTCTATAGTTCGTTTTAACAAGGAGAAAATTCCAAATATGTTCAGCGATTCCTCAGTGGGGATGCAGTCAACAGTTGTAGGAAGGAAATGTAACGCGTCATCTTGCCAAATTTGGAACTAAACTTTACCAAAACATGTGTCTGTCTTAAATAATTTGTATCAATAAGTATGTAAAACAGCACACTCAATTAATCGAATTAATCGAAAAATGATATTGTATCATTCTTCCCTGACAGAAATCATGCAAATGTTCAGCGGGATTTCGTCCTATTTGCTGCTTATTGAAGAGTACACTGACTGACTGACTGAGTTTGGTTTTACGCCGCTTTTAGCAATATTCCAGCAACATCACGGCGGGGGACACCAGAAATGGGCTTCACACATTGTGACCATGTGAGGTCGAAACCCGGCTCTTCGGCGTGACAAGCCAACGCTTTAACCATTAGGCTACCCCACCGCCCCTATTGAAGAGTACAAGGCACGAACAAGCTAAAATGGTGTTCATAGAGACATGAGAACCAACATATAATATATAACGCCATGCTAGAGAATACCAGGTCATCAAAACACAGGATCTGTTGGGAGGATCCGGTTCGGTTGTTGTTTAATGCCACACTCAGAAATATTCCAGCTATATGGCGGCGGTCTGTAAATAATCGAGGTTGGGCCAGACAATCCAGTGATCAACAACATGTGTATCCATCTACGCAATTGGGATACGGTGACATGTGTACCAAGTCAGCGAGCCTGACCACCCGATCCCGTTAGTCGCCTCTTACAAGCATGGGTTACTGAAGACGAATTCAAACCCGGATCTTCACTGGTCTCCGTGTCGAGTCGAGTTTCTCATAAGACTGCCGAGAAATACGGAGAAGGTTTGAATATGAATAAGAACACAAACTAAATGTCACCAAGATACAGCCTTGTGACTTCTTGATCTATGATCACAGCCAGTTAGCCCATCAGCGTACGAGACAAGTAATACCCGAATGCTGACTACTGCACGTCGAATATGTAATTAGTGAGTAGAATACAACCAGCATACCACCAGCATACAACCAGCACACGACCAACTGTGTAGGTGGCATATCTACCGAAAGATTGGACTGTTCCGCTGCAACATATTCATAAGGGTCAAGGGTTCATTCTGTCGTGTGATTTGGATCCTTTGTCAGCGAAATGTGTTTTGTTTGTATTCAGCTAGTAGGGGTGGGCATTGCAGAGAATTCTCATATTGCGATATATTGCTATGCGGAAGCATATATTGCGATATGTATTGCAATATATTGCAAGGATTATCTTTTTAACAAAAACTACTTATAATCGAGTTAATGCTTGATTATAAAGCAAAAACACAACAAAATCACTATGATTGATTAACCTTTCATAAAAGGTTTTAATCATGACAAAATAAAAATGTAATTAACATTTGGCACTAATGAAACAGGGAAAAGAACAATTCAAAAAACAGAAATATCCGAAGATTTCCCAGTGTTACGAAGTTTTCCGAATGCATGTCAAAATACCGGTTTTCGATCAGCGTATCGCAATACGTATCGTTTTCATGTCTGTACCGGTAAATACAGGTAAACCGGTTATATTGCGCAGCCCTATCAACTAGCATACATTTGGTCACACTACTGCATGAGAGAGAGACACAGAGTGGGAGGGTTGTGTGTGTGTGGAGGGGGCGGATCGGCGAAGGCAGAGAAACACAAAGGGTGTGAAAAAACAGAGAGGGAGAGACTCGAAGGGACAGAAAGAGAAACTCAGAGGGCGTGAGAAACAGTGAGACATATTTTAGTGCATAAGCAACGATCAAGACACACAGACAAGTCACATATGTTTTTCATATGAGAGAAACAGAGAGGGGAGACACACAGAGAGAGATAGAGAGAGAGGGAAAAACAGGGAGAGAGGCACACACACAGGGGAGAGAGAGGGAGAGCTATTGCGTGCGTAGGAAAAACAGAGGAGAGAGAGAGAAACACGGAAAGGGGAGAGCACGTTTTCATATGAGAGAGAGAGGGGCGTATAGCGTTGAAATTTCCCCTATGTTGTGCAATGGCGTCACACGCAAGATTGATACAGATAGCATTCATTGTACACATATGGTGATATGAGTCATATGCAGTGTGTCCTTGGAATGTAGAAATAGCTTTACCGCGATATAGGGCAGAAGGAATTCTTACCTAGCTGCTACTACAACGCTTCTTCATCGGTTACTATTAGCATGGTAGTGTAAAGTGTAAGCTGTCATTTCTATTTGTGACCTGAACTGGTTTTCCTTTGACGTCATTTCTGTTTTTACCATCACCGGTTTTCCCCATGGCGGTATTTCTGTTTTATCAACGCTGCAATTGCGATCCTCCATGTATAGATAAAGGATAGTTCATGCGGTGGAACTACTTCAATAGCTTGCTGAGCGAGTCCATGTGAAGTAAGCATTTACAATACGGCGTCGGTCGCGCAGAGACACATTTTCATTCTGTATATGCACACGCGCAGAATATGCATCGCTCGCTCATACAAGTGTGTATTTAAATGACAATTCCGTCTCACTAGAATGGCTGCAAAGAACAACAGACGTTTGGAGGCAAGATAGGTAATAGATCTTGTAATGGTGTATGGTCTTTCGATTGTGATGCTGATACCACTGGACGACGGGTAGCCACCGGGGTGTAGGGGAGGCAATGAGCAGAGTACCGTCCATTAGCTATGCCAGGATCTGCTGACCGTGACTGTTGTCCTTGTTATGTCAGCGCAATATCCGTGCTCAAGCCGTTCAGTGAAAGTTAAATAGGTATTACATTTTATCTCAATATCTCCGTCGTTTTCAACATGCGCTAATACCACATCCAGATAAAACGGGATAGAGCCGTGATTGTTCAGGTACATATTTCTGATCAACCTCCCCTACTATTCATACGCCTGATCAGCCTCTGCTCGAACGGATGTGTATGAGTGTGTGGGGTGGGTGGGTGCTTTGGGTTTAGTCCACATGGAGTAAGGGGGTCATCGGTTTCACCCCTTCTACCCCATTGAAAACAGCATATAATACTCAGTAACATTTACCTAGATACCTATATGTATGATAATACTGAATAAACTGTCTGTCTGTCTGACAATACCAGTCTGAGTTGTTTCCGTGTTCCGTTTCGTTTTCAAAAGGCACATTCATCCCACCACATACCCGTGAAGATCTGCAGTAACCCATCTTGTCGTAAGAGGCGACTAACAGGATCGGGTGGTCAGGCTCACTGACTTGGTTGACACGTGTCATCGTATCCCAACTGCGTAGAACGATGTTCATGCTATTAATCACTGGATTGTCTGGTCCAGACTCGATTAGTTACAGCGCGTCGTCATATAGCTGGAATATTGCTGAGTGCGGTGTAAAACTAAACTCACTCACTCATCCCACCTTACCCCACAAGCACACATGGGCACCCAGACCCATAAACCGCTGAGAAGTTAACAGTTCGTAAATGTTCGAAATTTAACTGAAAGTTCCAATGCATGTGAACGACTCATGTTCTTTACAGATGGACACTGGTCATAGGATACCCATAAGACAAAGACACTTCCACAAAATGTCAGTCACTAAAACAAGGCTTGTACATGACACAGGATATTAGTAATGTAAATATTATGTAATAATCTGTACTTTGTAGTCTGTCGGAGCCACTTAATAGCTTCAACCATAGCAAAAGGTCATCCGTGTCGCCTTACTACAAACCATTGTCCAAAGGTTGCTGTTAATATTTGAAATAGACATATTTATTAACTATACTACCATGACTTTGAATGATGTTCTAATTTGACGGAAATAATTTGTAGACATTCAGGTAGTCTTTCTCAAAACAAAAAACGACAACTTCTCTCAATGTGCACGCACGGCTTTTTTTATTATCAAAAGTATGACTTCCTTTACAGATGTCGATATCATTACGTCACTCTCTGTAAGGAATCAATAACACACACACACACACACACACACACACGCTCAATAGACTGACTTACTGAGTTTGGTTTTACGCCGCTTTTAGCAATATTCCAGCAACATCACGGCGGGGGACACCAGAAATGGGCTTCACACATTGTACCCATGTTGGGATTCGAACCCGGGTCTTCGGCGTGACGAACCAACGCTTTAACCACTAGGCTACCCCACCGCCCCCACGCTCAATAAAGATATCTGACACTAACGATCTTCACCCACGACTGCCACCCAGCCGCCATTACTGTTAGTATCACGTGACCTGTTTAGTCAGAGTCGATTTTATTTGAACGTACGGTTGTCATGTTATTGCTGATCTCGCCATGGGAACGTAGATCCATTCATCATTTAAATATCATGTTTTTTCTCTTTTTATTATACAACAAGGACAACAATAAAGCCCTGCAGATAAAATATATATAATGTTCAGCTATCGTATCACCTCCCAGAGCTGGGCTAATGCGATTTCCTAGAAACTGGAGAGCTAGAAACTGTCCGATCTCTTTATTCCACAACGAAACGAAACTGTTTGTATCAACGTATTCCGTGATGGTAAAATGGAGATAAACCTGTCCTGTTACATTTAGCGATGTTTAATCAAAATGTATAACAAAATATCAAAATAGGTTTCCCCTAAATGAATTAAAACATAATATAGAAATATAATAGACTTACCCTGTGTCTTCTGCTATAGGTATTCACTCCTACAGGGTAACGGGACCGAGTCGATAATGAAAGCAAGATGCAGCGCTGTAAGGTGTATATTTAGCAACACTGGGTTTTCCCTGTTGCATTTGTGACCAATCAGATAAGGGTCCATGCATAACAGCAAATTTGATATGCTATTTTATAGCTCTAACTCTACAGCTCGGTGTACGAAACTACGTATATAATAAACATGTACAATGAGCTACATTGTTACACACTGGCTGTATCTCAGTGAACTGACGCAATAAAACGGGTCTTCTAAGTTTTCACTTGTACAAGATCGGCAAGCACACATGCACGTAGCTTTTCAAATGAAATGTGACGTCACATTTCATGTAACTGCCTCACCAGTGTTCAACGGTCGACATTTCAATGTGCAGATATCCGAACAGTCACCACCCACAAGTAAACAATGTCTCATTTTCACGTAATAATCTAGCTACATGGTATGGCCTGATTGAGAAAAGGCAACAAACATTAATCTACAGATTAATGTTAAAAATCTTCTGGTTCTTTGTTTTAAGAGGCGTCACGTGGCTTTAATGCAATCTTCGAGAGGTGCGACACTAATGCTTTGATCAGTTGGACTTCTAAAGACAAAGCATAAAAAAAATCGTCAACTGTCCTAATTTACGATCTGCTATCTACTTACACCAGCTTTGTCCGTCACACAATACTGATAACAATACTTCTGACCTTGCTCTACTGATACGGTAGTATTTACAGCACAAACTGATCTAAGTCCAGTGAGACTCATCAGTGGTATGAGATCCATCATGGCAGAGGGCTTCTTCTTCTTGCTCCTTCACTGTGCATTCATTGTCACCATCAACGGTAGCCCCAAAGGAGCAGCTCCTCCAAATTACATTTTCATAGTGGCTGATGACTTGGGATGGAATGATGTTGGGTTCAGGAACCCAGAGATGAGAACTCCGAACCTGGATCGTCTTGCCCATGAAGGTGTCATCCTGAACTCCTCCTACGTCCAGCCTGTCTGTTCTCCCTCCAGGAATTGTTTCATGTCCGGTTACTTTCCCTACAGGACTGGACTCCAAGATGGCGTGATTAATGTTGAACAGCCGAAGTTCTTGCCACTTAACTTCACTACACTTCCAGAAGAGCTAAACCAACTTGGATATGTGAGTCATATGGTTGGCAAGTGGCACTTGGGATATTGTAACTGGAACTATACACCAACTTACAGAGGTTTTGGGTCATTCCTCGGGTACTATTCAGGAGAAGAAGATTATTACACCCACTATCGTGCAGACTCGTTTCAGTACAATGGACTGGATTTCAGAATGGATAAGGCACCCCTAAAGACATATAGAGGGCAATATTCAGCTCATGTTTTCGCTGAAAGAGCAATCGACATCATCCGTTCACATAAACAAAATCAGTCTCTATTCCTCTATCTACCATTCCAGTCTGTGCACCAGCCTCTGCAGGTGCCAGGGGAGTATGAGGCGAGATGTGGCCACATACAAGATCTTCACAGGAGAATATATTGTGGAATGGTAAATGCTTTAGATGAAGCGGTTGGCAACATCACTGATGCTTTGGTTGAGACTGGCTTGATGGAGAACCTGCTCATGGTGTTTACTACAGATAATGGTGGTCCTACCTACATTGCAGCGAATAATCTCCCACTTCGCGGAGCCAAGACCACACTGTGGGAAGGTGGTACAAAGGGTACGGCGTTCATTTACAGCAAGAACCTCCTAAAGAAGAAAGGCTATTTGAACACCGAGATGATGCACGCGGTGGACTGGTACCCTACTTTGATTCAGATTGCTGGAGGAGATCTGAGTAAGATTATTGACAGAGATGGAGTTGGCCAGGAAGACATGCTATTGAATGGAGGTCCTAGCAAAAGAGACGGTTTTGTGTATAACTTTTACAGTGGTCAAAAGGATCGGAATGCTTCCGCGATTCGGTATGGTCACCTAAAGTTGATTGAAGGATCCCCTGGAAAATACAACGACTGGACACCTCTGCCGAAGACAGGACAAGAACCAAGCGTAATGGAACAGGATGAGGATTTCCCTCCATATATGCTCTTCAATATCTCCTCTGATCCTACAGAGCACTTTGATCTGTCGGCCAAATACCCTGAACTTGTGGCAGAGTTGAAGGTTAAATTGGAAGAATGGAAAAAACGAGGAGTACCAGCTCAGGATCCACCAAAAGATCCTAAGTCAAACCCAGCCAACTTTGGTGGAGTATGGAGTCCTGGTTGGTGTTAGTGAGACGAGTATGGTTGCCTGGTTCATAGTGTTCATGTGTTCCACCATGAATCATGAAAATGTTTGATATTGAATTGTCAGATAGATATTTCCAATCATCAATCGCGTCTGATTAAAATAGCCGATAATGACTAGACGGCCACATCACCCCTGGTGCTAATATGTATACAAACGTACTGAAATTAAAACAGTTACTGATCACCTGTAATTATGTATGAGTGTAGATTTCAGGTTTTGGGATATCATGGCCTCACACCTGACCCTTTACAATTACATTGGTTTCATCTTAAAGACGCATTTGATAATTTGATGACGTGGGACTGCTTCAAAACAAGCTCTACAAAGGACCTGGGAAAACACTTGATTCTGATTCGTCAGTTAGACATTTTAAATAACAACAACCACCTCTGCCTGAAGGAGCTGATTCTGGTTTAAGCGTCACATCACGACTGATGCTACAATGTTTGGAAATGGACAGTGATTAAAACTTTGTTTCTTTATCAAGGATGAGGGACTTTTGAACATATGCAGATATGAGGAATAACAGATTTCACGATCAACAGCTACAATAGCTACGTTATATGGGAGTTTTCAAGTTTGGGGGACATCTGGGTAAAATTTTGTGCACTTTTCTATAACCCGACAGTGGCATTGTATCGTCCGATGACGTCGATATTGACTTTCGATGTGGATTAAAACGATGCGAAGATGCTTTCCTTGTTTGCGCTTACACCCTGGACAAGATAGCTATGCTAAATACTTTGGTCACATATGCGAGTTGAGTATTACGTATTACATATCATACACTGGGCCATATTTGTTTAAAAACCCACGAAAGTGCGGATTAGAATTGGTCTTCAGCAAACCATGCTTGTCGTAAGGGGCGACTAATGGGATCGGGCGGTCAGGCTCGCTGACTTGGTTGAAACATGTCATGGTATTTCAGTTATGTAGATCGATTTTCATGATGTTGATCACTGGATTGTCTGGTCCAGACTTGCTTATTTACAGACCCTTGTCATGTGGCTAGACTATTGCTGAGTGCGGCGTTAAACAACAAACAATAAATGAAACAATGTTTCGAAACTAATTATCAGTGTTCGTCCTACTTAAATACTGGACTTAAGCATTGATTCTTCAGAACACTGTGTCAAGGTTACACTGAGAAAACTGAGTGTGTCTCCCTTTGGCAACCCCCATATGTGAGGTATTTAAAGCATCATAATTTGAACATCAGAACGACGCATTAACACAGTGGTTATTAGTGATGCTCATAGTTCAGTATCAGTGATTGGACAGATGACTGAATAATCGACCAAGTGCGAGTGTCTCGGACAGACGCTGTCAGTTGTTATGAACAATGATCACAGACGACAAATGACTATTTACGTAACCATATTGTTCTGGCACCAGGATATATATTAACAGGTAGAAATGCCACTATTGATGTTACCGTTGTCAATACCTTAGTACAACTGGATTTAATGACACTTTCCTAAATGAACGTTTAATGACACATTCCTAAGTGACAGACAGACTGATTGTGGCCAATAGTACATGTGTAAAATTTTAACAGTGATTTTTTTGCATAAATTAGCGAATTAAAAGTACAGCAATGAATCAATAAATACCCATTAACAATTTACATTTCTTTTCTCAACCTAAATATGTGGCACAAAACAATGGCTGCCTTACACAGTAATTCAACATTTTCAGTGATTTATGTCTTGACAGTTGGTTGTATAAAAAATAAGGCAGATATTTTTCTCTTATTTCTAAATATTTAGGGCATATAAGTAATACATGGTACACATCTTCTTTAGATAGATTACAAAATAGACATTGGATAGCAATTACATTTACAGTTTTGGTAAATCGAGCCGCTTGAACTTTGAAGTTGTTAGCGTTACATCTAAATTTAGTAAGCGTATGCTTAAGTTGTGATGATTTATTCTTATAGTGAGGCTGCTTAGCAAAATAATTGTGCAGAATGTGATAAGAGCACCACAGTTTGCTCAAATGTTCACTAATATGTAGTGAATATTTTAAGATAAGGAGGCATTAGAAAATAATCATTCTTCTGCGCAAACACTTTTTATATGTTTTTGAAAAGTCTTTGACTTACAATCACATCAATGCTGACCCTTTCTTGCATATTCCTTGGCACAAACACAATGATGAACACTTCAGGGAGGCTTTTTTGCATTTGCGTGAAACCAGTTCTGAGCATGATTTTGCTGCTTCCGGAAGTGTTGTCCAAAACGGTTTGTAGAGTCCCTCGTCGTTCCTGATCCAACCCCAGTCAGTTGGAGATGGAAGTTCTGGCTGGGCTATAAGGGTCTGCCCCCACACATGTCCTTCTTGGACGCGTCCACGCGTTGGACGGATGCCTGGTAAAGAATTATTCCTCACGAACACAGATTTTCTGGCAGTTTTCATATGAGTAGCCTTGCTTGCTTTGTCATACATCTTGATGCCAAACCTTTCAATTGTAGTGAGGGTTTGGTATGCAGGTTGGAGCAGATGCTATTGTCAACAGGGCTTCAGTCAGCTCAGGCACCAGATTCCAGGCTGTCCAAGCAGATTTCTTCCCATGTCTGGCAAAAGATGACACTGAAACATGAAACATTGACAGGGCTCTGGATTTCTCTGGTCCCAGGGAGAAAGACATTTCGTGTACTGCCAAGTAACGAAAATGCTTTCCTGTTCCAAAGGCAATCCAGAGTTCAGTGTTGGGTTCAAGGACAGCATTGCAAACCATCACTGAAAGCACCACAACATCAGTGTCTACAGTCCTGATCATGATTTTTTCATGGCCATGTAGAAGGATACGCGTGTCAGCTTCTTCATGGCTGCAGGGGGAAATACCTGACATGTCCTCTTTTTCTGGAATGCTGAGAACAAGTTGATTATCAGTCACATACAATTCTTTCCCATCTTCTACACATTCCTGCATGACTGCATGTGACAGGAACCTGAACAGTTCTTCTTTGTTGCTGTCAACATGTAAGAATGACTGTCAATTAGCTGGAAGTGATGCTGTTCCTACAACTCTTCTCTGAACACCCTCTCCTCGTTTGGATTTTGCAATGTCCTTCAGACTGTTTGGAATGTACCTGTTCCAAACAAGATCTAGACGGGAAGCGTTGTGAAGTTTTTGACAGGACATGAGGAACAAATACCTTGTTTGCATATTCATTGAAAGTCCTTGTGGTTCCTAACATTTGGACAATTACAGCACCGTCCAGAATCACACAGGTGGCTGCAGGAGCTTCACAGGTGGGTTGAGTACCATCATCAAGACATTTCAATAGGTCACCCTTCTTACCAAGTCTCAGAAGGCCTGATGCTGACAGAGAGGGAAGACAAGGCTGGTTTTCATGGCAAAAGAATTCATCTAGATTTCCATCACGTGTTTGGCATCCAATGTACAATCGGGAAAACAGTTCAATGTCTGATTTCATTGACATCAGCTGATTTGTTTATTGAGAAAGATAAACTTCTATATTAAAGCAATATATATATTCTGAATAGAAATTGACACAAGTTGATGACGTTATTTCATTATACCAGTCTTGTTGACAAATGTCTTTGCATCTGTGCTGATGTCCAAAGACATCATTAAAAAAAGAAAAGTTGTGACGAAGGAAACCGAATTAGTATCTCAAGTAACATCTAATGTTTTAAGCATTTCATAACTACTTCTTGAATATCGTGAAATTGGCGGTGTCATCAATCTAAGCCCGTACGAAATAACCCGACAGCGGGCTTGACATAGTGGAAAACGTCCACATTCAGATGAAACAACCTTGTTCGCAGTTCTGTAGCTAATACGTAACAAACACTTACAGAACATTAAATGTACTTTCTCAATGTTATTGTTTATGGTAATGCCCCATATTTCAGACCTGTACAACAAAATTGGTTGATTTTTTTCGTGAAGCAGCTTAAATGATGCATAGAGCGGTAATGCTTTATACTTACTTATGAATTGCTTTAGGACATGTAGAGCTCTACCGGCTTGTATAGCATTCAAAGAATATTCTATTCTATCACCTGTTTTAATCGCAGTATATTTGTATATTTTAGATATATGGCTTACATTGCCTACATTATCTAGCAGCTGAAGGGATGGTATAAATCCTGCTAGGAAACCGTGCAGGAAGAAGAAGTATTGTAAGTCCCCACGGTCCCTAGTATGGTGGCCTAACTTTGGCTGCTAGCGGTCTCTAGCCACTTTATACACGTATATTGTGTTCGTCAATGGATAATTTTAAATTTGTATATGCTAACAAACTAGTTTTATAATTATGTAATAATTTAGTTGTTATACTGCCCTTCGATGATAGCTTTTCATAAAGCATAACATGATTTTTTTTTAATTATCTCTCTTTCGTCAAGATATGGCTTAAATATTGCCGATGTGATGTAACATTTTAACGCACTCACTCATCTTGCATAGATAATGTTTCACAGGCTCTGGAAAATATATTTCTGCTAGAAAATATAATGCCTAGATATTTGTAATATGATACAGCCTCTAATGTTTGGCCGTTAAGGAACCATTTTTTACGATAAGAAATTTCACCCCCATTTTTAAAAAAACATTACTTTGGTTTTACTGATATTTATCTGCAGACCCCATTTCATATAATATTCTTTTAGAAAATATTACAACAGAATCGTCACAAAATCACAACATCATTCTCAAATAACAATAATGAAAGATCTGATATTTTTGTTTGTAAATATACCTCTCGAGTCATTTGATGACATTTCCATAACAAGTTCTTCAACACATAACAAGAAAGGTACAGGGTATAGATTGCAACCTTGCCTCACTCCAGCATATGTATCAAATATATCACTCATTTGGAACCTACTACTTTTAACAGATGCTCTCAAATCAGTGTACACATTATGTAAAAGCCGTTTGAATTTGCCATGTATACCTGACTGTAGTAGTACATATAACAGTTAGGATCTATTAACGGAATCAAACGCTTTCTTAAAGACTAAGAACAGACAATAACACTCCCACCCCACCCCAACCACCCCCTTTCTTCCGCAGATACTTAAATGAACATTTAATGACACATTAATGCATTTTTACTGTTTGATACAACGGGGTCAAGAATGTATCATTTTCATGCTGTAAAATTTTGATGATGTTAGAACTTGAAGATTCAGGCGTATCTGACAAACCAGGTTCCGTTCCCTCTTTGAACTGTAACCTTCTTTGCGCTCTGCTTATTTGTATACATAAATCGAATATTCCAGTGACATTCCCAGTGTAAATTAGAGAAATTCGAAAAACAAAAGATAAAAACCCCAAAGACGATTCCCTCTAGACTTTATCCTGTTATCATAAATGGCAAAGTCCAGGTATCAAATCTTCCATAACACCCGCAACAGTGAAAAAATGTTAATCCCAACATTGCAGCATTGTCGTATGTACGTTGCCAATACAATTTAGTTTCTGGCTAGTTTTTTTCCGAACAGTGTTTGATAATGAGAAAAAACAATCTCCAATGCATATTTTAAAAGAATGTTGTTCATCTGGTCAATTGTGTTTACATATTCTCTCTTTTGATTACTCCTGTCAATTTCCTTGTGCAGTGTTAAATATCAGACATGTCATGCATGTTTAGAATATCTTGATTTCCCGATTACATAATGTTCAAGGTCAATATGCCACACCGTTTATGGTGAACGTAGATAAAATGAGGACCATATTTTATCTAAGTATGTCATAAGCCTAGATGTATGAAATAATGTAAGGGAGATTCTCGCGACCTTTCATTCTCGATCCTGCTTTGTAAACAAGCTAAAAATGTCAACAGTGTGAGAACGCGAGATTTGAGCAAAACGCATTTTTTAATAAAATAGGACGTTTTGCTAAGAGTCGACGACACGAGAATACAAGATTTGATGTAAATCTCTAAAGTTTGCAATCGCTCGTCAAATCACCACGAAATCGCGAGAAAGCGATATTTGATTTTCTTGCGTCAACATTTGGCTCATTTAGCTCGTTTTCAAAGGTCGATATCGAGAGTTTGTCCCTTACAGTATTCCATAGATATGATATGAACGTGTTACAGTGGATTGATTGTAAGGTCAGTCATAGTGTGCCGTGTGCTCTGGTGTATAACCGTTGTTGTGTGTGGGACAAGACGGATTAGGGGACGTGTGCAAACTTACGTCACAAAGCATTTTGACCCCATCCCTCTTCCTCAATAGACAACACGTCATGCGTGCAAACCGAGGGCAATGAGCGTCGTAAAGGCAGGGAAACATTACATGATTGTACGTGATAAGGGTATTAATATATTGTGAAACTGTTTACATGTATTTACATGCAAGTGTTAGCATGTGGTGACATATTACCCGGAAAAACCCATATGAAAATGACGGTGATCGTGTGCCTGTAGCCGACGACCTGGGTCAGAAATATACAAACATAGAGAGAAAATACATATATGCGACACTCTTTGCAGTCTGCGGTGCATTGTTTTGTGTGAAAATAGTTGGATTTTTTCGTGACGAAACACAAACATGTTGAGAGCAAGATCATAATAATTAGTGCGGGGCATTCCCACTGTATGTTCCAATCTAAATGTGACATATATTACAAAAGGCAACGACATGATATTGAATTTGTCTAATGGTATGGGGACGGTGGGGTAGCCTAGTGGTTAAAGCGTTCGCTCGTCACGCCGAAGACCCGGGTTCGATTCCCCACATGGGTACAATGTGTGAAGCCCATTTCTGGTGTCCCCAGCCGTGATGTTGCTGGAATATTGCTAAAAACGGCGTAAAAAACAACTCACTCACTCCAGTGGTGTGACAATGCAGTTAACACGGTTGTGTCGAACTTCCCGTTATCCCGAAGTAAAAGTTGGTCCCCGCGTATTACATACTTAGTCATACTTTTTACGGTTGTGTCTAACCTCGGTTAACTCGAAGTAATAACGTAGGCCCCTTCAACTTCGACACAAGGGTGTTTGACGACTGTATTGCAATGTGCTTTACGTTCATAGCTTTTCATCTTTACAATCTCACTTGAATCTATGTTGTAAACTGTGTTAGCGTACACGTTGAAGTCAAGTTACCGGCATATATATACCATGAAAATTACAATGGGGAAACCGGTAGAGTAAATACAGAGATGAGCCGACTCAATGGGTTTGCTGAAGACCCATGCTTACTAGGGCTGCGCAATGTAACCGGTTTACCGGTATTTACCGGTACAGACATGAAAACGATACGTATTGCGATACGCTGATCGAAAACCGGTATTTTGACATGCATTCGAAACACTTCGTAACGCTCGGAAATCTTCGGATATTTCCGTTTTTTTAATTGTTCTTTTCCCTGTTTCATTAGTGCCAAATGTTACTTACATTTTTATTTTGTCATGATTAAAAGTTTTTATAAAAGGTAATCAATCATAGTGATGTTGTTGTGTTTTTGCTTTATAATCAAGCATTAACTCGATTATAAGTAGTTTTTGTTAAAAACTAATCCTTGCAATATATCGCAATATGACAATTCTCTGCAATACCCACCCCTAATGCTTACCCGGAACTTCACGAGTGGTGCAGTATGGAGCGATCTTGTAAGTAGACATGTTCTCACGTCACTGCACGATATTTACGTTCATTCATATGTACATTGTTTACACTCTGAATGATGACATTCACGCGCGCGCACGCACGCACACACATGCATGCATTATGCTTTTATTCCAGAAGCCTTATGATTTATATTTCACCAGAAGGTTATATGCATCTTCATATTATATACAATGTTTGTTACTGAACACAATATATAATTACGTTTAGGTATCTAATGATGATCCCTGACGAGTATTTTGACGAGACCAATTCTAAAATTAAACAGTATCAATGTATGTACATACAGAAGAAGATTTTATACGTATCATTTCGGTAACTCTCTTTCGCAGTAAGCAACGATATACGTCAGCATTGCTATCTACAAGGTTGATTTCAAATTGGAATTCGAATGATATTGATTTGTACACGCAAAATATTATTGAACATAACACAACAAATCTGATTCAACAGTACAACACACCCGATATTACAAATATGTTGGTTGGTTGGATTTTTAACGCCGGTCAGCCATATCACAGCTTTATGGTGGCGGTCTGTAAGTAATCGAGTATGGACCAGACAATCCAGTGCTCGACAGCATGAGCATCGTTCTACGCAACTGGAATACGATGACATGTGTCTACCAAATCAGCGAGCCTGACCATCCGATCCGTTGGTCGCCTCTTATGACAAGCATGGGTTCCAGAGATCAATTCTAACCCGGATCTTCACAGGTATTGTGAATGTGTACTTTTCATCATTATTCGTTACTAAAGACAATCTATTTTCTGATTCTGTGTTCATCAACGTACATCAAAAGCAGTCCACGTGCTGAATTCGTTCTCTTTTCACGTGTTTTGGAATATGAGGTCAGTGTCCTCAAGACACTGAGGTCAGTATGTTGGCGTGACAGTTCGGCGAGTGATTGGACAACATTAGTGGAAAGGGTGACTCCTGTGCTGTGTTGTAGTCCGCCGGTATGTTGTAGGAATGTTGTTAGATGTCGTGCAAACTCACAGCTATAACTGAATCCGGAGCATTCTAGACTCTCGTTGTTGGCATCATTTCAAATGTTTAGTACAACCAATTCCTAACAGATGTCGATCCCGTTCTGATCTTAACACCCGGGGCGGAGGGGTTAGCCCAGTGGTTGAAGCTTTCGCTTGTCACGCCGGACATAAGGTTCGATTGCCCACATGGATAAAATAGGTGAAGCCCAATTCAGGGACGAAAAAGTTCAACTCATTCCGCCTGCCAAACTCATAAACGATTAACACCTGTAAACTATCACAGCTCTCTGACAATTGCGTCAATATTTACGTCTCTTCAGTGGTATTGCCGTATCGCGAACTGTGTGAATAACTGGGAGACAGTGGTATGTTTCTCAGAAGTAACAAGCATTTACAAAATACACAGTTTGATTGATGAATTGTACATTGATTGTCGGTTTAGTTTTACATTGTGATCATGCTAATTGTGGACGACATACAGACCTGTAACCTCATTAATCCAGACACCCTGGATCACGGACGTCTTCCTTTCTTTCCAATTACTATAAAGACTATTTGTATGAACACTGGTCAGTCCGGAAACCGAGTGTTCGTTAAAATGGATTAGGTTCTTCTTTCAACATAGCTTTCAGCTTTGTATTAAAAGGTTCATAAAACGTGTCCAGTAGGGCCTTCGTCTTTGCTAACATTGGTTGTGACTTTGTTCGAACTTTGCCCTTGTTAATGATGCTTGCGTTTGCTATCTTCTTAATTTCCGATCGGCTCAACGGTGCTGAAAAACAGAACACAACAATCTTTTAAATCAAGGTGTTGTAGCTGTGGTGTGTTTGTGTTTTGCTTTTGCCTTGAGAACATAATTCGAAAATTTAAAAATGGGAGTGTCTGGTTCACAACAATTTCAGTTATGCTACTGCAAATTGAATCAGATCATGGGCGTTCATCACTTTGGTAAGCTCATCATATGGTCATAGCAGTGACAAACGACAATGCGCTTCTTGAATTTGAATCAACGATCCATGTGCAGGAATCATGAACGGGCACTGCCCCATCAAGTCCTGTTATGAACTGTGGCGAGGTTGTAAAGTTTGGAACCAGCACTGACGCTCTTACTAAATGTATAAATGTCTTCAAGTAATATTTGTTTAACGGAGATATATATTTGCAAGAAGAACAACTGATATTTTCCACAAAGACACTCACACGTTACCACGTGTTAAGCATTATAAAGAAGTTGACATCCAACAACTCTCTTCCTTATCTGTATCACTTCTAAATGTCATTTGACCCGTGAAGGTCCGGGTTGGAATTGATCTTCAGCAACCCATGCTTGTCATAAGAGACAACTAACGGGATCGGGTAGTCAGGCTCGCTGACTTGGTTCTCACATGTCATCGGTTCCCAATTGCGCAGATGGATGCTCATGCTGTTGATCACTGGATTGTCTGGCCCAGACTCGATTATTTACAGACCGCCGCCATATAGCTGGAATATTGCTGAGGGCGTAAAACTAAACTCACTCTCTCACTCTAAATGTCATTTAAAGACCTTTGATACTGTATCGCAATACTGTTTCTAAAACAATTTATTTAAAAGAAGTAGAGTATATGGCAGCTTACTCCTTGGAAAATCTAATGAAATCAACACTTTATCCTTTCTTCAGTCGTTGTACATTTCTCAAGTTCCATAACTTACATTTGCAGGGACATATTACAGTCTGTACGGTAATATTAATAACTATGAATATATGACATTTACATAATAATGTGTCATCTACAAATGAGATATAAATGGTAACACATTTTACATGTACGGGATTCAAATCATTAAAATGTTTACTTACAGACTTCCAAAAATGAAAACATTTTTTCAAGCGTCGCTTCTGGTTCCTTCGAGAAGTTTTCCAGAAATGAGACAAAGATCTGTTTCCGTGGAAACGTCTGGAACCAGTCTTCAAGGTACACGGAATACAACCCCATTCCGACTCTCATCTAAGAAGATGGAGAAACAATTACTAAAGCTCAATGATACATGTAAGAGCGGAAGAGTAGCTTAGCGGTTAAATCGTTCGCTTCTCATGCCGAAGTTCGAGTCCTCACATGGGTGGAAAGCGTGAAGCCCATTCGTTGCGTTCCCCCGACGTGATATTGCTGTAATATTGTTTAAAATGGCGTAAGACCATACTCACTCACTCATTCACTCACACACTGTTGTCAGTCGGGATGAAACGGTATACCGGTACGTCGTGATTGTTCATGCAACGACACCTATTCGATATCGGTTTTGTATTGATACACAACGATATTTTGCTGAAATAATTACTATTTATTCCTTGACAATCCCATTCCATATTTTGTCAGCCAAGTGATCCGTAATAAGCGTGTTATGTTTGCTACTAAAATAGCAGCGAGAAACGTGTCTACAGCTACCTGTTTCTTTGGAACCGGCTCTGAAATATTCAGTCAAGACGTTTCCTCATGATTTGACGTGAATATGGACATCGCGATACGTATCGTAAACTATTAATAGTATGACTGAAAAGGTTGTCGTCGATTATTTTGACACTAAGCAAATACAGTTCATCAATTGTGGTTGTTGGCGATCTATAGCCCATTTTATACTGTATTGTCCTAATTTGAAATCTAAATTTAAAGAGAGATGCTAGTTTTAATTCTTGATACTGCGATATTCTAGTTGGTTTTACTGTCCTTCGTCGACAGGTTTATATAATTTAATTGTGTTTATTATGAATTTATAAACTTGAAAGTCACGATATGTCTGAAATATTGCCAATGTGACTATAAATTTTAACTCACTCACTCATAGTGTCATTGAGTTCTTAATGGTACTTACAGAACTCATTTCCGACAAAGTATTATCGTAAGCACATTGCCGTACCCCGTGCTTCTTAAAACAGTCAGTGTACATCTTGGTTTCGTTGACAACATGTTCATGAAACGCCTCCGGTGTTCCATCGCCAAGAAAATAACAGTAACTGGAATATAGTCTGTAACAGAGGATGAGGAAATACAACAGTTGCATCACTTGTGAGGAAATAATATTAATCTGCGTGCTTATATCTACCAGAATATCTGCAACAACGCATATTTCAACTAATTGTCTCCGATGACAACCTGTGTCTGTGACAGTCAGTTGAAAAAAAAGAATGAGAGACAGATTTTCACACATGCTAACAAGTCATTCAGTGATATGCAGGGCATTTTCTATTTGCATGGTTGCTGCATAATGCCTCCGAGCCACGCTGACACAAGATCCCCCCATGACACATGATCTAGCCATCCAATCCCCTGGAGGCCAAGGGTAACGTAGGGGGGCACGCACAGTAGGCCGGTACTCACCTGGACGCTGGGTCCCTTAGCGTCAATATTATTTTGGCATCTGGAATCATATATCTTAGGTAATGGGCATTCAGGATCCTTGGTTCCTGGCAGTTCTCATTACCAACATATTCCTGCCAGTGTCCGTTGTCCGAAAAGGTAGATGGTGAGTGATCACCTAAAACGAATATAGACCATATGTTATCGTAGTTATTTTGGAACTCTTTAAATTTAGATTTAAATGATAGTTCCTGGACTTTGGTACTGTCAGTGTAGTTATATGTGACAATCAACGTGTATATAAACCTTCCTCGCCATGGCAGTCAACGCCCAAATCAAAACGAATATTTACGGCAGTCACTGTTGATGACAGCCAGAGTCTCTGTGTCACAGTCACCGTTTATGACGACCAGAGTCTCTGTGACAGTGAACGAATATGACAACCAGAGTCTCTGTGACAGTCAACGCTTATGACAACCAGAGTCTGTGTGACAGTCAACACTGATGACAACCAGAGTCTCTGTGAAAGTCAACGCTGATGACAACCAGAGTCCAGAGTCACTATAAAACCAGACTCTCTGTGAAAGTCAACGCTGATGACAACCAGAGTCACTATAAAAGTCCACGCTTATGACAACCGGAGTCTGTATAAAAGTAAAAGTACTGATATATGACAGTCAAACCTATGTTGAGTCCAACAAGTTCATCATGCAATAACATCTGCGACAGTGAGACATTTGTGTCCAGCACTGGCACCTATGTATACACGCACGAGCATCTAACTTACCACTTGTGACCTACCTATAATCATAGGATGGTAATCTATTATCTTGGAGGTAAGGTTCACCGTCCGCTCCACTTGAATGGTGCTGTTGCGGAATCTCAAAGCGTAATGATCAAACGTTAAACCTGTGAAAGGAAATGGAAAACTATGACATTATGGTTTGAAAGAATACGGAAGTACGTCCGATGATGACAACCAGAGTCTCTGTGACAGTCAGTTCTGATGCCAACCTGGGTCTCTGTGACAGTCAATTCTGATGACAACTTGGGTCTCTGTGACAGTCAATTCTGATGACAACCTGGGTCTCTGTGACAGTCAATTCTGATGACAACCTGGGTCTCTGTGACAGTCAATTCTGATGACAACCTGGGTCTCTAGTCAATTCTAATGACAACCAGAGTCTCTGTGACAGTCAACGCTGATGACAACCAAAGGTTAAATCGTAGTTTCATCTTGTATGGATATAGCGCTGCATATCTGACAATTCGCCTAAGGTCTATGATTCTTTGCTACATATTCCGTCGATGAACAGAACTAAACTACATTATATGTCGGAATACGACCGCTTTGGTAGCACAGTAAATGAAGGAGAAAAACAACAGCGTCAGCTCACACACTCTCATGACCATAAACTCAAGTTACATTGAATAAACACTTACGAGGTCTATATTTAGGCGGAGCGTCTAGAAGCCTCTGCTCTGAAAAGAAGAACGTTACACAGTTTAATTAATGTGGCTATACTTCAGAGCATATTTAATATCTATAGTTGACGCGAATTTAGTGGATATGCCGATTTTTACCCTAATTGAAGTGTATGGAAGAAAACCACGTTTGACGCATGGGAAAGCATACTGATATCACTTGCAACTTCCTAGTTTACCATATCGTAACGTGTGTTTAAAACTGAATAATTGCCTTACCTTTGCATGTGTTTGTGACGGACAAGATGTGCTCACCTCTTCGCTAGCACCTGTTGTGATTACTTTTTCAAAATGGTTCATAAACACATGCTTATGATATAGTCGGTATCGACAAAGGACATTTCATATGATTATTGGAATGTTTTATCCCTTTATTATACACGATGGCTGGCCCTAATCAGTCTGCGTAATATGGTTTGTAAGCAGCATTGAGAAAGTCTGTAACTAAATATATCAGAAGACGAGTCTAGACCAGATAACCAAGTGATCAACAACATAAGCATCGGTCTACGCAGTTGGGATACGATGACATGTGTCAACTAACTCAGCGAGCCTGACCATCCGATCCCGTTAGTCGCATCCTACGGCAAACACGGATTGCTGAAGAGCAATTTTAACCTGGATCTTCACGGGTAAAATATGTCTGTGGTACGGGTATTCTGGCACGGGGATTGATAGGGCAGCTGATGACTGTAGCTGATATGAACATTTCAGTGGAAGATCAACTGACTGACTGACTGAGTTTGGTTTTACGCCGCTTTTAGCAATATTCCAGCAACATCACGGCGGGGGACACCAGAAATGGGCTTCACACATTGTGCCCATGTGGGGATTCGAACCCGGGTCTTCGGCGTGACAAGCCAACGCTTTAACCATTAGGCTACCCCACCGCCCATGGAAGATCAACCGACAAGAGCGACTGACTGGGTGCTTTTTACGCCGCTTTGAGCTATATCTTCTTCACATAACGACCTCCAAATTTTATAAGGGAGAAAAGCCCGAAGTAAAGCAAGTACCAGGCGTCAACCACGTTAATGCACGAGTAGGGTGTCCATAATGAAAAGATCAATGTCAGAGCAAACCTCACATTCGTACCCCCAGCGAGCGGATCCTGGTGTACCATAAACCGTGGCGTTAAAGCCATCCGTTCGTTCATGGCCATACTTACTATACCGCCCCCTTGACAACCAGTGAATTGCCGAGTAGGCAGTTTTATCGGCGATGTCGGGATGGGTGGACAGTTTGCAGAAGAGGTCAGTGGTTCCGCACTTTGGTTGTCCAACGATATAGAACACTGGGATACAGCGGATTGATGAATAGATGTCGTCCGAGTACCTGTGCCCATACCAACACGGGTTGCGGAAGTTGCCGATGTACTCAGGTCGCGGCTGTAATAGATTATGAGTGAGTGAGTATGGTTTTACGCCGCTTTTAGCAATATTCCAGCAATATCACGGCGGAGAACACCAGAAATTCACACATTGTACCCATGTGGGGAATCGAACCCGGGTTTTCAGCGTGACGAGTGGACGCTTTAACCACTAGGCTTCGTTCAAAGGATCAATGTGTCTCTGTGCCGTGGATTTTCTACTGATTGCCTTGTTTACCATGTTGAAGAATTGTTAATTAACATACACGAAGTTCATATAATTACATGACTGTGATAACAGATCTATGTCTTCAAATACTTTTCTCAAATTATCCTAAATCAAAATGGGAACAGAGTAATAAATGAACATGTGAATTAAAATTCAAGACTGTGTTTGACTTCATATCAGTTTTGTTATTTTGTCGATAATCCTCACCAACATGCCCTTTTAGATTATGAATTACCCTGCCCTTTCTGATTCCTAGGAGAAAGATATTTATATTATTTTGAATTAAAGTTACGATCAAAAGCTATGATGAGGTTAAGGGTAGAGACAGTATCATGCTGACGTCAGCCACCAAACCTATGAGTGAGTGGGTATGGTTTTACGCCGCTTTTAACAATATTCCAGCAATATCACGACGGGGGACACTAGAAATGGGATTCACGCATTGTGCCCATGTGGGGAATCGAACCCGGGTCTTCGGCGTGACGAGCGAACGCTTTAACCACTAAGCTATCCCACCACCCTCCAAACCTGATGATGATGATGATGATGATGATGATGATGATGATGATGATGATGATGATGATGGGAAGAAGAAGGATATTTTAGAACAATAATGATTAATTTAGCTATGACGCGCACAACTCCACACATTAACAGGGAACACCAGCTAGGTTAAGAATCTTGCTTTGAGGGAGGATATATATTTGAGATTGGCAAGTCACTCCAAAAGGTTACTACGTATCTCACAGTGAGTGAGTTACAATTTAACGTCACATCGGTAATATCTCAGCCATACACTAAGAACAAACATATTTGAATTGTATAAAATCCTGTCGTCGAAGGACAATATATTAATTTGATATCACATATCATATTTAAAACCATTTGAGAGTATATGTAACACACTGTCAATAAACAACACAATATATAGGAGTGCTAGAGAACGCTAACATCCACAGGAAGGCCACCATCTAGGGACCTCATTATGACGGAATTACACGTGATCGAACTGTGATCGATGACATATAGGGTTATGCGTCAGCATTGGTATATAACTGGAGTACTGTTCAAGAGACGTTAACCCTAAATCCCCATTCATTCACTGTAGGTCTACAAGAGAACTGGCAGTCCTGAACCATGCTATTTCCACTTTCGCTGAAGCTAAACGTCTTGGCCAAATTACTGTGTTTTTACTTTGCCAACCCGAACAGAAATTCTTATTCAGATGCATTTGTAAACACACCCGCAAGACGAGGAGCACAACTGGTGCCCATGGCCATGCCTTAATTCTCGTCTAAACATTTTAACCTGAAGTATCTTACCACCAAGTGATGTGATATAATACTTCTCAAAAGGCTTATTGATATTTGGACTGGATATTGCCCTAATTCTCATATTGCGTTATATTGCAATAATTTAAGAGATACTGAAATACATATTGTGATATATTGACTGGAAGGTTTCTGCCCAAGTGCGTACATCATAAATTCATAATAGCTCTCTGTGTGCTATCGTCTAAGTTACTGTTGCACCATACTTTCAGGCTTCCCGTCCCCATTGTGTATGGCTGTATGCCAGTGGTGTACAGATAAACAAAATGATATAGAGCCTTAATGTAGAATGTTTAATTAAAGTATTGCAATAAAGTTTTGCGAACATAATGATAAAGGTAATAGTATAACATGGTTCTCATGGTCAGTGTTGTTTGCTTCAATAGAATGCACAATGTAATGTATGTCAGTGATTCATCCATGTGTTATTGAACTAGAGGTGTGACGATACAGAAATGTCATGATACGATACGTATTGCGATATCTTGGAACGATACGATTCGATTCGATGCATATCACGATATGCTATCTTTAGTTATTTTCTTTCAAAATGTATATTTTGATAGCAAGTAACAGTGTAAATTTTGACATAACCGACAATTTCTGGTGAAAATTAATAATTGTAAGGTCAACGATATATATCACGATACGAAAAAAAGTATCGATATATTTATCGTCAGATAAAGTATCACGATTATCGATACTACGATATATCGTCACAGCTCTATATTGAACTATTGCAAAATGAAACAAACACATGATTTAGGTGATCTACTGTAACTAAGATCCTTGACTAGAATGTCATTATACAGTCCTACAAAATTTATAAGGCTTAGGCCTTTATGATAAATAGATAACATATGTCTCATTGTGAAACAAGCAAAAATACAAAATAAGGTTAACTGTGAAATGGTCACTCAGAGCCAGAAGTCCACTAGTAAGTCCAGTAACAAATTGGTCCATTTGATGCCACTTCATTCCTCCAAAATGTCACATGTGAAACCATTCAAACCCATATCTGGTACTTTTAGAGTCTCTCATAAAGATACTTCCACCTGTAAAATGTTACACGAAACCAACAGAAATAAAAGTATATTTGGCACTTTTAGGGCACAATTTGTTGCTATGGAAGTCAAGGGCAGATAATTCAAAGGGGGCTAACTCTGGATTACCCACTGTTGCAGAATCTGAACCATATCGCGATACTGTACCGGTATATACCGGTAATATTGCACAGCCCTAGTTTATATATATATAGGGCTGTGCAATATTACCGGTATATATATATGTGTAATATCATTTGGTACTGATTATTTTGCTGGAATCATCGACATGTTGCGACCACGATGTTTACCTCAAATGTGTACAGTACAGGCATATAAGTCAACGCATGGGATAACGGAAAGTGCGCGTTTTGTCATTCTCACTCACTCACTCATTCTCACTAACTCATTCACTCACTCACCAGCATACACAGTCCACCTGGTACTTACAAAACTGAGAATATCAAATCCCGGTTTAGTCTTCTCCCCGGGTCTCTCTGGTCCAGGACATATTGGTCTGACTGTTGGGGTCATCCTTCCAGCCTTCTTATTGGACATAGTAGTGGACTTCCATACCACGAGCGTCGATAATAGGCACAATGTAAGAATAAAGATCCTGATATGCCACTGCAACATAGAAACAACACACTTTAGGGTTTGCAGATAACTAACCAAGTCATCGTATCCAAATTGCGTAGATCGATGCTGATACTGTTCATCACTGGATTGCCTGGTCCAGACTCGATTATATACAGACCGAATCCATATGTAGCTGTAATATTTGTGAATGCAGCGTTGAAAAACAAGCAAAGAAGCCCCGTGCAAAATAGCCCCTGCATTTTAGAGTGAGTGAGTGAATTTAGTTTTACGTCGCCTTTAGCAATATTCCAGCAATATCACGACAGGGGACACCAGAAATGAGCTTACCACATTGTACCCATGTGGGGAATCGAACCCGGGTCTTCGGCGTGACGAGCGAACGCCTTAACCACTAGGCTACCCCACCGCCCCCCCCCTGCATTTTAGAACAGTGGGGATACGGTTTTGTTTTGTTTAAGAGAGCGGCGTATTTGTGATCATGAGTTGAATATGTGGCAAGTTTGTTTGACATCATTTCGATGTCATCAACGGAAACCACACCACCACCACACACACCCCGCGTCCGCACACCCCGCGATGATGAGGTGACAAACCTTTCAGATTTATTGCATGATCATGTGAATACCTTGTAAAGTCCACACAGTCAAGTACGAGTATAATATGTTTAATGGTGAACCTGTCCACTTAAATGAACCCACGAATCCGTTGGTATATGGCCAGATGGTGGCCACATGAATACGTGCAAACACCTAGTTGCGGGTACAGCAACGTGCAGTGAACTTGGACAAAGTACTGTGACTATATGTCCCAGTCCACCCAGCTGTGAATGGGTATCTAGTTAGGATGAGAAAGCCACAATAACTCGGTGCGCCTAGTGGCAGCAAGAGTTGTATACTCCCCAGGGAGTTGAGATTGATAATACGATGTGCCGTTGAGATTGACATCCAATGATCGAGGGGAAAAATACCATATCCTATAATCATAATATTAATAAAAATAATATAAAAAAATCACAAGGGATACAGAAGGGTGTGTATTTGTAAGTCTGGTCATCATCGTAAAATGACCTCATTATGCCTTGGCTGACACCACAAGTAGGTTTGACCGATTGCTGGTTTAAATTCATGAAGTATACTTCTTCCTTGGTGTCCCATCGTTTCTGCATAAGAACCCGAGTATATCACTTGTAAGACTGTCTGACTGACTGAGTTTGGTTTCTCGCCGCTTTTAGCAATATTCCAGCAACATCAACGGGGACACCAGTGGGCTTCAACATTTTGTTTCGAACCCGGATGTTTGACGAGCCAACGCTTTAACCATGCATCCCACCGCCCTCACTACAAGGCAATGTACGTGATAACGGTACTGTTAACGGTTTGTTTAAGGATGTTTGTACTGCATCACCGCCCTACATGACATAGTAATTAACAAAAGCAAAAGACGACGTCACACTGGTCCGTAGAAAGATCATTGTTAACTTCTAATGTGTGTCGTAGATCAATGCATAGTTTGCGGGAACACTTTTGACAGATGTCGAAAGTATTAAAAAAGTTTTGTTGAAGTTGGATCAGCATCAAACAATCTACAGGCATATTGTTTACGTTAAAACAGAAGGGACAAATCATAAAAATTTTACTGTAAGCAACTGTCGATGATTCGTCCAACTGGATCGAGGAAAATACGATTTTCTAAATGCATCGATACCGCACAATAGAATCCCATCGACCCCGCGGTTCAAGAGAGCATGAAATTTGAAGAGTGTGCCGAGTACAAAAGTCGATTGTATTCGTAAACAGATGTTACCGTGCGTGTTATGTTACCGTGCGTGTTATGTTTCCGTCTGTGAAGGTTACACATAGAATACATACAGCAGGTCTATTGTATCTTTGGATGTTTAAGAGAAGGAAACTATTCTTAGGCACACGGTCACCGGATGAATGGTCTGTTTGGGGATGTAATCTCATCTTATTCCAATACATTGCATCTGCATAATATTTCGTGGTTCACTAGGCTCCCAGGTCATATGTTGTCCCTACACAGAAATCCATGTGTCCACATCTGTTGTCTACAACGCTTTCATAAAACTCAAACAGCCTACGATACTGGCCTACGGATATACGCCAGTTCCCTCCCCTTCATGGAAACAGTTTAATAAGCGCTTGGCTTAAAATTTTATTTATATCTATGATCTTTCATGACAAAAACACTTGAAGCATTTACATCTGCGGACAGACTATACTATGTCACGTGAAGTCACATGAACCATTTCCAGTATTCAGTCCTTCAAATGCTAGGATACTGTCTTCTGGGCAACTCTTTCTATCTCCAGTGTTCTCCAGCTGTCTTCTCAATCGATTGCGCATTACAACAGCGATACCAGTTTAAAAATTGTAGATGAAACAATGAATAAGATATGTTTACCATTAATACCATAGGCCGTGTCATAGTTACATAACTTGTTCAAATCATTGATGCATTATTATATAATATCTACTGTGGGAGAGTGAGTAGTGAGTGAGGATGATTGTACGCCGCTTTTAGCAATATTCCAGCAATATCAAGGCGGGGACACCAGAAATTGGCTTCTCACACCACACATTGTACCCATGTGGGGAATCGAACCCGGATCTTCAGCTTGGCAAGCGGACGCTTTAACCATCAGGCTTACCACTTTGAGGGAGAAGTATGCATGATTAATAAATCTAGAAATATAAAACGTTCCTCGGTAATCACTGTGACAGAAGTAGTAGTTACATCACCTCAACACGAGTGATTGGCTTGGTTACCTCACAGTTTTGTGTGGCTTTGAGAATTGACACGAGGGGCGGAGTTGTCAAATTCTCCTGTCAATCAAAGCCACACAAAACTGTAAGGTAACCAAGCCAATCACGAGTGTGGAGTGATGTAACTCACTTGTAGCATACTTTGACGTCACAAACTGGATGTGAGGTAAATTTTGAATTTCCCACCACTTTTCAGTTTGTCCTGGCGATAAAACAGCAAATAACGAAAATGGCGAGTTCGAACACGACTGATTGTTAGGATACTGATATTGACGACATTACATTAAGTCAGATTGCCTCGGCCATGGAAAGTGAGTGTGAAGTTTTCAAAGGTCTGTCAGAACTGTCCTTATCTCAAGTCGTAGAAAACTATGACATCCATTTGGAAAGCATGGATTTTGGAATCTTTGAAATTGACACAAACGCTGTTTTGGAGGAAATAGATGATAGTTTGTGCATGAAAGAAAATTTGCCTGTCTCCAAAATGGAAACAAATGATGTGGAAACAACGCCTGCCCGTCCATCGGATGAAGCAAATATCAGATTTCCCGAACCTGTCAATGACGACGATGTGAAATATCTTCTATCAGAAACGGAAAGTGTGAACACAAGAAAGAACACGAGGTTGGCATTAGGTGTTTTCAGTGGCGTGATAATAGAAAAATGGACTGCATACCTGATATCAAAGATTTCACTGTTGATGACAAACAATTGGTTTTCCACCAAGCAAATGAATGTTTAATTTCCAGTTATTTGTGTCTGTTTCTTTTCGATTATTACTGTTGGAATAACATGTAAAAAAATGTTGCGAGTCATTCATTGCCGTTTGTGGGCGTGACCTGTGTCAGCTAATGACTGAGCAGCAAGGGTAGGGGCTTACAAAAGCGTGGTGTAACTATAGGTTACACCACACTTGGGATCAAAGGCACCGACGTCAAAGTATGCTACAACATCTTTTAAACGGTCTTCACGGAAGTGTCACTGGGCGGTACAACCGTGACGACATCCTGAAGGCGCATGCCTGCCATTTGAGCGCCGACGTAGACGTCATTGTATAGTTCAGGGTGACAGCGCAAGAACACACAGGGGTTGTCGTTCTTCGACCCATGAAATTATTTAACTATTTAATTATTTAATTGGTACTAGTACAAGTATCTGTATTGGTAGTGGTAGTAGAGGCAGTAGTAGTGGCAGCGACAATAACAGCAGTAGTAGTAGCAGTAGATCTAGAACTAGCAAAGTAGCTCTAAAACTGGAGCAATGTGACCCACGTTTATAAAACATGTGAACTAGTTCCTTGTTGAACTAGTTCCGTCAGTCTATGAGTGAGTGTGTGAGTGAGTTTGTTTTACGCCGCTTTTAGCAATATTCGAGTAATATCACGGCGGTTGACATCAGAAATTGGCTTCATACATAGTACCCATGTGGGGAATCGAACCCGGGTTTTCAGCGTGACGAGCGAACGCTTTAACCACTAGGCTACCCCACCGCCCCCCATCAGTCTATGAATCAAATGGGCCCTGATGATGGTTACCCTGTCATGTAGAAGACTACACACACTACACATACCTTCGCATAGGAAATCAATTCGTGTTGCAGTATAGATGACAATGGACACCAACAGCTGTTTACAAACAAGAACGGTAACGCGCATCGACAACCATCTACAACACAGTCTGAATGTAGTAATATGGACATATACCATTAGAAAGCGAATCTACATGCACTTAATTACCTTTGGTCAGGCGGACGTTTACAACATGCTAATTAACCACAATGGCCAATGATTACTACTCACCTTCATTTGATATCAAGCTCGGTAGCACAAATGGCTGATGCAGGTCAGTTCCTCATCCCGTGAAGGCTGTCCATTGATGGAGGGTCCACGTCTTCATTCCCAGCTTCCGTGAAGTTGTATTGTGTTTATATGCTGCTTTATACACCTATCAGGTCGAAGGGTGTCCCGCTGCATCTGTCGCCATGGCAATCAACAGAACCACGTGTCTGATGAAAATGGTGACTGGATCGATTTTCAATGCGAACTGTTACTGAATGTAGCATTTATTAGAAGCGGACTGTCTCAGCGCATTGCATCTCTAATATATGGAGAGGCAATACATGCATAATTATACTACTCACACTTTGCTAAGGATCACAAAAAGTCCCAACTATACTTAAACATAGATTAATAATTTGAAATTGTATCCATTCAAAACTGGATAAATAGTAATATGGTAATCCTTCTGTAGGCAAACAGCCACTTTAATCTAACCTTATACACTTGTTACATGAGTAACCATAACAATGGTTTTCATGGCACCAATCAACCATTTTGCAAATCTTGGAACGAGTCATTGACAAGTACACAACACCTGTCGATAACTGGTATGGGATCCACAAGATGCAGTGACATACTGAAACCTAGGATCCATGCTTACAATAAGCTTAGATATTTAAACCAAATTAGACCCCACATCATAGTTCTGTTGAATCAATGATTTGATCCTTAGCAAAGTGTGAATAGTATAGTTAAATAAATCGATATGCATTGTACATAACTCGTGGTTCTTTTTCTCAATATATTTCATGTTCCATATTGTTTTATCGTTCACAAAGGCAACATATCGGGTAGGGCTGCAACGGATACAGATCACGAATGGTATCAACCTGTTTCGTCTAATGTTTAAAACAGGTAAACAGTAGCAATTAGACGACCCAGGCATAGTCAGGATTGAGTGACTTTGCTCGTTAGACGAAGTAGGCATGTGGACCAATCCATTTCAAACTTAACAGGGGTGTTACCACAAAATAAAAACAAAGACAACATATATATATTTCATAGTATATTTTTATTATTTATTATTTTACTGTACTTATTTGCATATATATCTTACACATTGAGACTTCTTTGCTTAAATGTTCGTCTTTTGCACGACGAGGACCTTGGTCAACTGCCACATACTGTCGGCGTCTTGATGGTCCACGTCTGTTTCCTCTCTGCTGTGCAAGTTTCACCACAGTTGTAGACTCTTCCCTCTTGATGGTCCACGTCTGTTTCCTCTCTGCTGTGCAAGTTTCACCACAGTTGTAGACTCTTCCCTCTTAATGGTCCATGTCTGTTTCCTCTCTGCTGTGCAAGTTTCACCACAGTTGTAGACTTTCACCACAGTTGTAGATTTTTCCCTCTCTTGATGGTCCACGTCTGTTTCCTCTCTGCTGTGCAAGTTTCACCACAGTTGTAGACTCTTCCCTCTTGATGGTCCACGTCTGTTTCCTCTCTGCTGTGCAAGTTTCACCACAGTTGTAGACTTTTCCCTCTTGATGGTCCACGTCTGTTTCCTCTCTGCTGTACAAGTTTCACCACAGTTGTAGACTTTTCCCTCTTGATGGTCCACGTCTGTTTCCTCTCTGCTGTGCAAGTTAAACCACAGTTGTAGACTGTTCCCTCTTGATGGTCCACGTCTGTTTCCTCTCTGCTGTGCAAGTTTCACCACAGTTGTAGACTCTTCCCTGTTGATGGTCCACGTCTGTTTCCTCTCTGCTGTGCAAGTTTCACCACAGTTGTAGACTCTTCCCTCTTGATGGTCCACGTCTGTTTCCTCTCTGCTTTGCAAGTTTCACCACAGTTGTAGACTCTTCCCTCTTGATGGTCCACGTCTGTTTCCTCTCTGCTGTGCAAGTTTCACCACAGTTGTAGACTGTTCCCTCTTGATGATCCACGTCTGTTTCCTCCCTGCTGTGCAAGTTTCACCACAGTTGTAGACTCTTCCCTCTTGATGAGCTGAATGAAATCAAATATATTCGGGTGGCATGGGTGAATACCGGGTAATGAATATCGTACAATAAAAAGTCAGCGGTTGATGTAACATTCAGCTAAACAATAGCAAAATACATTGTTTGACAATTAAGGAAGACACATGGATATCAACTTCTTTATTACACAACGTTTCGGAGTATCTCCTTACTCCTCCATCAGGTGAATGAATGGTATGAGACAGATAGTATATATATGTACATGTAAGAACAACAAAAGTAATAAGACAACAATGATGTAGGCTAAACAATGGAAGCCAACAGTTAACTGGCGTTGATGTGTGATAATCAAGGGACAAATGGAAGCCAGCACTTAACAGTTATTTAGCACTGAATGGACGCCAACGCTAGTTAATTAGTGCTGTTTGACATGTTAAACCAAGTTAGCAGCGTTAATTTAGTTAGTTGGTTGGCATACTTCATACGTTAGTTGACATGCTTAATTACATCTCCTTCTCCCCTTGCGCTTGTATATACTTAATTTACATATCTGGCTTCCTGTACATCAATATATACTGTATTGGTCACTATGATCATTATCCACCTGACGAAGGGGCAAGAACTCACCCAGAAACGTTGTGAAAAATAAATCAAGAAGTTGTTATCCATAAGATTTGTTTTGTATTAACTACAGCAACTTCTAAATGCCTTTGAAGAATTTCAGCGTTAATTTGTCATGACAAAGACCAATGACCAATTGCCAACGACCACTGTCAAATTAGATATAAACAGTGTTGACTTTCATCCTGTCTGGTGTGGATACAGTCTATATAGCATATCCCATTTTGATAAATAACATTCAAATTCAAGAAAAATACTTTTTTTTATAAAACTGATAAATTTCAATTCTATTGATCGCGAAAACGAATTAAATTCACGAAGGGATGCGGTTCTATTCACCGAATATGCCAGTAACATCATTAATATTGGGCACAACTGCACCATTTATTGCCCTCTGTGCATGTTTCATCTAACATAATACCAACATTCAAATAAAGATTCCCTTCAAAATTTGCAACTTTTCTAAACTCTGAACGACTGACTGACTGAGTTTGGTTTTACGCCGCTTTTAGCAATATTCCAGCAACATCACGGCGGGGGACACCAGAAATGGAAACTCTGAACGAAGAAATGATATTGTACTTGATAAAAAATACCACTACGTGTGTCAACACTATCAATAGGCGATATTAGTTTAACCTGTAAAGAGACTCAAACAACATTTTATTGATTACGATCTGTTTGTAAGGGCACCAATGAGCTTAATGTCACGTAGTGTGACGTCATGTGTCACATGAAACCACAGAATTGGTCGCACCACAAACCAATCAATATTTACGGAGTCCAAGTGTAAACACATTGGGAGATATATTTGCTCAAACACCGGTTCCTACATCATGTGGTACGCTTCTTAATCTGAATCACAACTCATCGGTGGTCTAAAAGATACAGTGTCTGTACCGAGGGTGGATGTTTGGAGGTTCGATCCCCGACGGCGTCAAACCAAAATGTGTTAAATGATTGTTGTCCCTCTGCGTGCTTTATTATCAGGATAAAATCGGGCCTATTCAGCATATTATGTCTGTGATGTCCAAAACAGCTGCATCGTATCTCAATTGGTCCGCACTGTAAAACAGGACTGGTACAGCAGCTCTCCACGCGCACGCGCGCGCACGCACGCGCACGCACTCACGCACACAGGCCCGCACTCACGTACATACGCGGCCACCTCGATACAACGATACATTCAGAAATAACCACGCCGCATGCACGCACGTTAATATTGACAAAAAGTAAATAAAAGGTCTGTCCGAGTGGGTCACTATAGAACTTTCGTACAATCTCAGAGGATTTTAAACATAGTGTTTCGGAATAAATGTCTTGAGATATCATTTGGACTAATGACGAATAAACGAAGCATTCGGTATAAACGTTGAGATCGAAAATATAATGAGGTGAGGTGAGGTGAAATTGGTTTAACGTCGTGCTTGAGAATATTTCGCTCATATGACGACGTGCATGCGTGTGTATGTGCGGCTGCTTGTACTAGCCCAGACTGAAGCTGGTTTTATAGTGCTAGCCCACTGAGATACCATGCCGCAGTGAAGCATGAATACCCCACTCAGACACATTATACTGACTCCGAGCCGACCAGTCCTTGTTGTACCCATTAATGCGAAAATATAATGAACAATGGGATAGTTTAACGAAATATTTATAGATGACTTTGTCAAACGTTTAAAGTCAAACGATACTATTTGGACGAATCATTAGCGGAATAAGCAAAAAACTTGTATTTAAAATACCACAATTTAGAAAATATCTAAGGTAGTTTTTCACTCTTTCATTTTAGGCATTTTTATCTATTTTGTATGGAGCATTACCTGTTAACTTATCTCCCTTGGACGTGCCAAAAGAATATTATTGATGGTTCAGATTACCGATTTATCTTCATCGTGTTTCTAGATTTGTCAGGTGTATTATCCATGCTCGTTGGTTTGACTGAGGTGATGAACTTTAAAGGCTTACATCACCGTCTTCCCAGATCGTCATATGACTTAAACACTATTCAAAGCGGATTTAAGCCATATGACCTCACTTACCTAATGCGAACACATTCTCAGTTTTCTAATCTCATGTGTAGGACATTACAGATAGCGATGTGTTATGGGGATTGTCCTGCTATCACAAACAATCCTTGATAAATCCCGCAGATCAAATAGGCCACCAGAAGGTGTGGTTCCTGGGTGGCTTAGTGGACAAAGCGTTAACTGGACTCGCCGAAAGCCCGGGTTTGAACCCCCATATCGCTACAGTAGACCTAGCTAATAGTGACTCTCATAAGCCTTTGTACAACTAGACAATATGTAAAAACATTTCTATGGGAATTGGAGTAAAGGTAACTGATATTGGAATATTATTATTATTAAATTAGGTACTTTTTGATGCCTACATGTTGCGACCGCCTCCGTGGTGTAGTGGTTAGAGCGTCCGCCCGGAGAGCGGAAGGTCGCGGGTTCGATCCCCGACCGCGTCATACCAAAAGATGTTAAAATATGGTACTTGTTGGTCCCTGCCTGGCGCTCGGCATTAATGGGTACAACAAGGACTAGTCGGCTCGGAGTCAGTATAATGTGTCTGAGCGGGGTATTCATGCTTCACTGCGGCATGGTATCTCAGTAAGCTAGCACTATAAAACCAGCTTAAGTCTGGGCTAGTACAAGCAGCCATACATGCACATACACACGCATGCACGTCGTCATATGAGCGAAATATTCTCAAGCACGACGTAAAACCAAATTTCACCTCACCTCACATACATGTTGCCGAAAAGTTCTGTCTAGAAGGCACAGGAACGAAGTACCATTTGTTATATTTAGGATTAAACTTTCTGACTAAAGTACAGATTCCAGAACTTTGATAGGTTGAGTCCCATCCAGTATTCGAACACTCGCTCTCAGAGTGAATCAACTAATCGCCAGCCCACCACTGACAAATATGACACTTTGACCACTTTCTAAATGAAAGTGTAATCCCAAATATGACATATGTTTCATTTGACCACTTTCTAAATGGATTGTGTATTCACAGGAACAAAATATGATACAACCTCCTGATCAGACATCCAAAAAGAAAATAAGTTCAGTTTTCATGTTTTCAAAAAAGCAAAAAAAAATAATAATTATAATTTTTTGTCTTCCATATGTCCACACAGGTTCACAAAGACATAATTTCTTGTAACATAAACTTACACGAAAGTCCCATGTTTAAACTTAATACGCGGCTGGTTGAGACATGTTTTATCTTAACGTCACAAAACAATTGAACATGTCTCGATCGAATCCTCCAAACTTGATCCCCTTACACCATTCCCTTGTCTCAACCCATCACACTAGACGAGACAACAAATCAACACTGATATGGGCTAAACCACCGGGCTGACATCTACTGCACGAGAGCCTTACTGCAACGTTCATATCTACACGCTTTGTATTCTCTCCCTGACTTAATCGTCTCGGTGGACTTTGTATAAGTGCTGATACCACGACGCTGCCTGCCCAGTCACGCCCAATGCTAAACCCCTACAAACCCCCGCCTTGTATATGGCTGGATGGATAATAAGCGCTCGGAAGCCGTGTGGAAAGAAACATGGCCAAGTGGATAAAAAAGTCTTATGTAATATTTAGAATTTCATCGGTGAAATTTTACTATTAAAATATCAACTTCTCATGAGAGTGTCCAGTTTTCTCAATACGGTTTATAATCGAACTGTTGTGAAATATAGTGACTCGATGTTGTGAAATATAATGACTCGGGTGTCATCGGTTGTAGACGTGTTTCGTATTGGTGATGCGGACGTTATCGTGAACATCAGTATTGTTATCACGTGAATTATCTGCTATATTGTGAAATGAGAATACGTTTAATATTTTGAAATATCTATTCAAGTGTTTATAGAATAAAGCAACATCACAATCAATTACCCATATCAGTATTGCTCGACAACATAATTAATGAGGCCTTTTGTGTATATATATATATATATATATATACTCATTACAATTCTTCAAAACTGAAAATGAAATCTAACACGAATACCAAAGCAAGCAATATGTGACTGCTCCTGTCAAAAAGTGTAATAGATACCTGCGATGTATGTAAAGTACATGGTGCTGTTAAGAGCAGTGTAATCAGCTGTGTACCACAATAGACAATGATGACCGATCAAAGAGCAGGGGGCGTAATTGTTGACATGAACTTTGATTAGAAGTCGTTGCACATAGATAGTATATTATCAATCTGATTGTACTGTTGATGGGCGTGCGTAGCAGTGAGGACGTTCAATTCCTCTCGATGATGTACACGTTTTTGTGAAATGTACACAAAATCGTAGCTTGGTGAAATTGACATATAGAAATTGACAAGTGTCAATTTCAATCTGAAATGGATCAAACATCGGATCGTATTTTCAAAGAAGGGAATCTGTCTCCGGTAGTGTACAGTTTCGCGCAGATGAAGGGCGTGACGTCGACGACACTTGTAGATTTTTCATGTCGATTTACATGGAGTGTAACGGATTTCAAAGAAAACGACAAGGACCAAAACATGTCAATTTCATCCCACCCGGAACCGAGATATATTTCATCTCAGCGTCATACTCCTTCAAGGGATTCTTTCAGCCACCTTCACAACCAGCCGCTCTGCCATAACAGTCAAGCCTACCCATGTCAAGCTGCGTCGAGCCAAATGTCAAGCCCATTGTCAACAACGATGTCAGGCCCACTGTCAAGCCCACTGTCCCACCCTCTTTCACTTCCGCTTCCGCATATGCGAATTCCTAACTACAATCAGTGTGCATACCCTTGCGGACAAGTGACCCCCAAAACATTTTCTCCGGTCCTTATCTACCAGCGGCCTTCTTTGCCACTGGACGTAAGATTCAAAGATGCCGAAGTTAAGGAGACCCCAAATTCCGCCTTTGAAAGAGACCGGTTTAGGTTTGGATTACAGGGACTTGAATGCAAACGAGGTAGGTGTGAAAACGTTAAGGCAAATGATTGTACAAGAAACTGTTTCGGATTGACTTCGGATGGGTACCAAAACTCTCTTAGCCCCGAATTCAAGAGATCTGGGCTCGTTGCCCCGTATCAGCCCGCTGTTCAAAACCAATGGCTTCCTCGGGCAAGAGATGGGACAGAAAGTGAAGTTTTTAAATTACCTTACGGGGATAATAGTACAACGAGCGCATTTCAAGCATGGAGACCACATGAGCCGAAGAGGAATTCCAGTTTTCCTTATATTCCAGAGTATAAGCCGAGCTGCCAACAAGCTCCGAACACTGATAGTGCAAAGTTGAAATTCTTTCTGGACACGAAATACGGACTTACTGACGGTTCCGAGTTCCCTGTAGCAATGGACCCGGAAATGGGACTAAAACCGGAGTTTTCATCAGGATTCCCATCGGATTATCCGTTCGAGACACCATTTTCTGACCCCTTCCTGGAGATGCTCAATGACCCCCTGCTGACCCCGTCTTCGGAGGAGGGCGAAGATCGGAGGGGTAGAAAGTATAAGTGCCCCTACTGCAGCGTGTCCTGCGCCAACAACGGTCAGCTGAAGGGCCATCTACGGGTTCACACAGGTAGGACAACAGCGATGTTCATACCTTAAACGGGGCGGTGGGGTAGCCTACTGGGTAAAGTGGTTTGCTCATCACGTAGAAGACCCGGGTTCGATTCCCCACGTGGGTACAATGAGTGAAGCCCATTTCTTGTGTCCCCCGCATGATATTGCTGGAATATTGCTTAAAGTTGCGTAAAACTACACTCACTCACGCTCACTATACCACAAACAATGCCAAGTCGGAAGGCCAAGCTGTTCATGACAATGTATTTATGGTGTCATTATTCAACTCATGAATTAATTTGACCATGGCACCAGTAGTAATAGTAGTAGTAGTAGTAATAGTAGTAGTAGTAGTAGTAGTAGTAGTAGTAGTAGCAGTAGTAGTAGTAGTGAGTGAGTATGTTTTCACGTTGCTTTTAACGCTGCTTATTTCAGTAGTATTTCAGCATTATCACAGCGGAGTACACCAGAAATAGACTTCACATATTGTTCCCATCGTCTGCGGCGTGACGAACGAAGGCTTTACCCACTAGGCTACTCCACTGCCCCCGTGGCTGTAGATGTGGCGGTCCACGTTGTAGTGGTAATAAGAGTCGTGGTTCTCTAGCCATGCCTATTACATGAAATACTTTGAAAGTAAAATCCTTCGGCAGTTATTACGTCGCGTGTCTGTATACCCCGTCACGTGTTTTTTTAGCACGTGTCACAATGTACATCCCGTTTTTTATTCGGTTCAGGTGAGAAGCCATTTCACTGTGACTTCGTGGACTGTGGCCGAGCATTCGCCAGGAACGAAGAACTGACCCGTCACCGCCGAATCCACTCCGGACTCCGTCCTCACACGTGCAGCACGTGCGGCAAAAAGTTTGGAAGAAAGGATCATCTAAATAAGGTAAAGGATAATTTAGAAATAAACACATGTTGTTTTCAGCTATACTTGTAGACTTAGTATTGTTTAGAATGCCATTTGATGTTTCTAAACAGTGGGCATATTTGAAGTTGCAGCTTGTCATGCTGTTTTAACTTAACCCCAGGGCTACAGATGTTTTATCTGTTCATTCGAAGATGGCACTCAGATATGAGAGTTGTATAAAAATAGAACGCAGCACAAATACAGCTGTAATATATAATTAATTGTTTATGCTCTCGGTAGTTGGATGGATGTCACCATGAAATACTTTACTGTGGTGAAATCCTTCAGAAAATTAGTATGTAAACGAAATGGGTATCTATTTCAACATGCAAATGAGCATCAAGATGAGTCAGTGTATTAGGTTTTACTCCACTTTGAAGATCATTGCTCGATATTGTGGGAATAGTTTTTGGTTCGATTGTTTAACGCAATATTCCAGCTAAATGGCGGCGGTCTGTAAATAATCGAGTCTGGGCCAGACAATCCAGTGATCAAACAGCAAGAGCATCGATCCACGCAAATGAGATACGATGACATGTGTCAACCAAGTCAGTGAGCCTGAGCACCCGATCTCGTTAGTCTCCTCTTACCACAAGCATGGGTTGCTGAAGACCAATTCTGACCCGGATCTTCACGGGTCTCCAACAGGTTTTGACTGTGCCAGTGAACAATATTTGGATGAAGACGGTTGTTTAAATATAAATATCGAGGAAATCTCCATTCAGGTGTGCTACTATACTTAAGGACAATACATTTATGTACGTGACAGTGGTTGCAACTGCAGATTATGAGTTTCAATAACCTCCCCTTTTCACTTAAGCTTTGATTGGCAGCGGGATTTAGTTTCTCCTTCATATATTCAGGTCTCATCTGCGTTATTGACTCTATACGTGTTGAGCATATTGTGGTGGGACCAGTGAGTGTGAGAGATTATGGTTTTATACCGTTCTTACTATTCCAACAACGAACCCTTGGAGTATAATGTTGTCTGAGTGGGGCATTCATGCTCAACTGCCGCATGGTATCTCAGTGAGCTAGCACTATAAAACCAGCTTAAGTCTGGGCTAGTGCAAGCAGTCACACATACACACGGATGCACGTCGTCATATGAGCGAAATAGTACGGCGTTAATCCCCATTTCACCTCACCTAGCCTTTTCTAGATGTATTGTATTGGGCCTATCGATACTTGTGTCATCTCACGGGCTGATGATGTTGTTATTTGCAGCACCAGAAGACGCATCTGAAGACGGCGGAGAAGAAGGTGCATATGTGTAACGTGCCCGGATGTGAACAGAGGTACACGCGATCAGACGCACTCGCTCGCCATCAGTGGGGAGCACACGGAATCAAATCAAAGTCACCAAAATGGCGGACACAAGTCAGAGACAATAAACAAACATGTGTTTAGAGCGCAGGGTCCCGATCCACAAAGCATTCGTAACGTTACGAGCTCTCGTAAGTCTATATTATATCATTTGCTTACGAATGACGAACGCTTTGTGGACAGGGTCCCAGAATAACTTATTAAAGAATGATTCTGTAAGCAAATGGTTCTGTCTTTTCTTAATAGGTGACGTGAACAAGTAATTAAGACAACAGTTGCGCACAGTTTGAACGATTAACTGTGAATCTGAGCAAAGTCTATTTCGCCTTCCAGCACGTATAAAATATATAGGTGGATAAACTCGTGTATGTGATCATTTGGATTTATATCCCCCTCTCTGTTTCGATTTTCTTAGGTGAGGTGAGGTGAAATTGGGTTTTACGTCGCACTTGAGAATATTTCGCTCATATGACGACGTGCATGCGTGTGTATGTGCGGCTGCTTGTACTAGCCCAGACTGAAGCTGGTTTTATAGTGCTAGCTCACTGAGATACCATACCGCAGTGAAGCATGAATACCCCGCTCAGACACATTATACTGATTCCGAGCCGACCAGTCCTTGTTGTACCCATTAATGCCGAGCGCCAGACAGAGACCAACAAGTACCACATTTTAACATCTTTTGGTATGACGCGACCGTGGATCGAACCCGCGACCTTCCGCTCTCCGGGCGGACGCTCTAACCACTACACCACGGAGGCGGTCGATTTTCTTAGGTACTGAATGGAGTGGTTACCGTGCGACCACACATGTAGCTTGGAGTTCTCTTGTAGATTATCGTACTGTGCGAAGTGGAACACTAGCTGATGATTTTAATAGAATATATATACATGGTGTAAAAATTCATGGAATGATCAACATCAAAGATACATAAATTGTGACGATTCAGCGTCCATGTTATAAATCACGGGTGTGCCGGTCGACGCATCCTTTCTCTCCCCAACCCCACACCACGCGTATGCACGCTTGCACGGACGCACGCACCTCACATTTCTGATTAAGCACTTTCATGATTGTTCAAGGGATTCGGGACACGGGCGAACAGGCCATATTTATTTTGCTGAAACACAGACGGTCTTGGGTTCGAATGTAAAGAACTCCTTTGGTTAGTGTCACTAGGTTTGTCAGTACCATACGTGTGCTGATAATGTACTGGCAAACAAGGATAAGTTGAGCACCGACCTGACAATTCACCCGTATTAGCATGTATGGGTGCCGCCCACTGGCGCTTGCCATTGTTAGCGAAGGGGCCCCAGGTTGTCCGCGATCAAGTGTAGTGTGGCTTGCTACACCGACGTGAGAGTCTTATGAGCAAGGCGTGTGCAGCTACACGCGGAATCAATTTCATCGTCATGTAATGCACGTGCACTAGCCTACATCTGCTCTACCTTTCACAAACCAAATGGGTTTGCTCATTGCCGTGCACCGCCTATTTCTCGTAAACGCGTTCTCTTCGCCGGTCCTACTTATCCTTGTTTGCCAGTACAACTGTGAGGCCTCCAACATCCAACCCCCTTTCAAGCAGACACATTTGCTGCAGTTTGAAACACGGTTTGAGCTCCATTCGCTGAGCCTTGGTTTGAATAAATCCACGAAGTCGATCGTCAACATTCTGGGTTCATTGGTACTTTTTCCACTTTATTGTTTTCAGCAGCTGTTCCTATTTTTTCTAAGTTCCTATGATTTTCGAGTAAACATGCTTTTCTGTATATCCTATTACGCATCCCATTGAACGCCCAGTTAGGCCGATGTGGGTTATTTCGACATATGCTTTTTGCAATTGTGTAAATTTTAAGGATACTGAGTAACAGCCTAAAAACAGTTTCTATTTCCGACAGTACTTTACCCCTAATTTATGTCACGATATGTGTATGAATTACCGGAAACAAACGGAAATTGAGATTAGACCCGTAGGTTTGACGCCATTCTCCTAACCGAAATGTTGTTAGGGCTATGTGCGCCCTGCAATGTTAGTACAGATTACACTAAGTCATTTCGTCGTAAGGAGCTTCAGTTCCAAATTCCGGTTGCCACGACTCGGTATATTTAACAGTTGTGGCCCGCTTTACTGGAAACAAATCTATCTCAAACCATCACAAGAATTCCTTTCGTTTGTACGACCACAACAAAGCTCTTATGAAATGGCCATGCGAAATACAATCAACAAAATCCTACTGACTTGTTGATTGTTGTTCATACTATCATCCACCAATTTGCCTGACCTCCGTGAAATAGCTTCAGTGTCATTTTAGTATATCATAATTCGTGAAATAGCAAGACTACTGCGGACTACTGTAAAACGCAAATTCATTCACTCCAATATCTGACTGTTACGTTCAAACGTTACTTTCACATACTTTGACCATTTCTGGTGTTCCCCCGCCGTGATATTGCTGGAATATTGCTAAGAGCGGCGTAAAACCCAACTCACTCACTCATTCACATACTTTGTGTAGCTTTGATGTGTACACAAACAGGAAAGTCCTGGGTAACGGATGCAGCGTTACCTTATGGATACTAAGTTAAGTTGAGTTGGGTTTTACGTCACATCGGCATTTTTCCAGCCATATGCTAAGGTAAAGATAGCCGTTTTAGTATTGGATAACACCATGAAATCGGAATTGAAAGACAAGATAAAACAATGTTCCTTGGCTTTTTAAATTGATTAATGACAACTACGGGCAATGGGAAAGCAGTCTGAACAGATTCGCCCTGGTTATGAATCTTGGTCTATCAGCATCAGGTGTTTGTGTGGGTTTCATCATAATGGGGAACCTATATGGCCTTTGCTGAAATAGAAATATACATAGACCTACTCATTTACTCACTCACATCAAGGGAGTTCTGAGTATTGGATGTATAGACAACAGGCAGGAGCAGAGAACAGAATGAAACTATAGCGTAAACCTCAAGACTCAAATTCTTAATTTCATCAAAACGTTCATTGATATGACAAAGTCAATACATACAGGTAACTGATATGAAGCACTTTAATATTTAAAAGTACATCCACTTGATTGAAATATAACTTTTCAAAGGCCCTTAATTCTTTTTGTTAATCATATTTTATGCCAAGATTCATAAATGACACTTGATCGTAACTAAAGAAGTTAACTTTAAAATATTTTGTGTTTGGAATTTATTATTTTTTTTATATATATTTTGTCTAATATGTTCTAACGTTCAAACAATAACTATGACATAAAGAGATACAATATCACCAGAAGAAACAACAACAGCATCTCTCCACAGTGGCTCCTCCCGCAGCCACAGGTATTACACTGCGATTAGAATTTAGAATAAATATTTTGAGTATTTTGTAGTATTTTTATGTTATTTTTATAGTTTTAAAATTAAAGTTAAAACCTATATTTACTCAGGTTCTAATATCATAACAACTCATAACGACTACATGGTCAAAGGTGAAAAGTGTTTATAAACGGGCTCTGCTCACGACCGAAGCGCCTGCCCCACCACTACTTCTCCCTCATTCTGCTTTTACTTCTTGAGAGGAGAATTCTTTATTACGGCCTTATTCTTCCTAGCACCCTTTGCCTTCTCCTTGGCCTCCTTCTCTTTCTCCTTTGAAGCTTTCTCTTCCTGAAATTTCTTTAGACGTTCTTCCCGCTCGCACAGCTTCTGGTGCGCTCTCATCTTCTTCATGAGGTTTTGTCTCTCCTTCTCAACAAGCACCGTCTTTCTTTTGATGTCTCGATCGAGGGCCCGCTTCTGAACCTGCTCCACAAACCTGCAGTGGACAGTGGCACGCACTTGAGACTGGTAAATCATTGTTTTAAAGGGTAAAAGCAGATATTAGTTTTGAATAAGAATAGGCGCATACCTGTCAAAACGAGTGGCATCGGCAATTATCTGGCGCTCTTCTGGGGTGTACTGGCCTTTGACAGGCATGCGCTCCAGACGTCTGGGTGGTTTCCCACGACGGCTGGCTACGCCATCCTTGACAGCAACCGAGAAAGAAACTCCACCTGAGCGGTGGCGGTCAGGGACGATACCTTCTTCTCGCAGCTGATTCAGTATCTCCTCCCCGGATAGCCGGGGTGTGGGCTGACTTCTGGCGAAGTACAGCTCATGTGGACAGTTGATCTTGCCCTCTAAAGCTTCCTTTGCCGACGTCTGGTTTTGAGACCGCGTCTTTGTCTGCTTGCATCCCATTGTGCTGCTGAATGTGACAGAGCTTCTACAAGCACGGCTGACCTAGACAAATGGCAGCGGGACAATGCTGAGACGAAACTTAAATGTGACGTCACCTTATTATGACGTCACAGAATGCAACACCCAGTCATAAGCTGGGCCCCGTCTCGCATATCGCAAACGTTAACGCGCGCAAAGGGAACCGGGAACCAGCTTACGCCCAGTCAGCGCTGGTTCCCGACTCCGCTTTGCGTATTAGCGCCACCTTAACATCAGCTGGGTCCCGTCTCTCATATCGCAAGTTGACGCGCGTGTTGGGAGCCAGCATACGTGTCTGATTCCACCGTCTGGGACACCATACACAGCGATTTGAGAAAGCGACGTGCGACCTACACCTGAAGACGGTTGGGTGTTATATCTGAGGATGTGTCTTCCCAATAATTCTAGAATTGTTGAATTATTAGAAAAGCAGCAAGTACAAATAAACGTTTACCAGTTAGGTTAAGGTTTCTGCAATGTCATGCCATACAAACCCAAAGGTTTAGAGATCCGAATACACACATATCTACCATTATGTTCAAGAGCTCAGCCACGTATATACTACCCATCAACAGTTTAGACTCACTATATAGTGTAAATGTAGCCACTTACTTTAGTCAACTGTTCTAAAATAGATTTTGCAAAATGTTCCATACTGTTTAAAGGTACTGTTTACACATGAACCGATGTATTGTAAAACAAATTCGTAACGTTGAAAAGATTATTGTCATGAGTTCAATACATGATGAAACTCAGTGAAAATTGGTGATTTCTTAACAAAACTTCACACCACGCATCTGCAAAACGCAGCTGTTCACATGCACGATATTTGCACATGCGTTTCAGCAGTTTGATGTATGATCCTCATGCAATTCATCTGCATAAGGTTTGCAGTTGGTTCCCCCAAGTTAGGGGAGAAATTCATCTTCGTTGTAACCACATATATACTCTTCGAAAAATGAAACTTGACATAGGACAAATTTGAATTTGAATTTTAGGAAAATATTTGACACAAACCAAACCATGCTGAATCCCAGCATGTGAGGGAATGGTTGCCGACGACAAAACGTTTGAAAGAAACGTTTAACAAAAACGTAACGTTACACTCACGTCTGTAGTGAATCGCTAAAACGCACCCTACATGAAATGCACAGCATCATGGAATTGTGTATCACCCTGAGCTGAAGCCTATAACTGTAGGCCTAAAAAAACACATCAATGTTACTCCACATGCATTGCTTGAAGCCACTATAGACGACAAGAGAATGAAAAGACTGACAGAAGCTCAACGACACAACGCCATCGGCCGTTTACAAGGACGGACATCGCAGCATGATGTGGCAAGGCACTTCAGCGTGTCCAGACAGACCATCTCAAACCTATGGACCCGATACAACGCCGCCACCGCCGCCCAGGATCGCTACATCCGGTTGAGACATTTTCGTTCAAACACCGCGGCCGCATCATCCACAACAATCCAAATCCCTGGACAGCTCCGAATCTCTGATCAGACAGTGCGAAAGCCAGAGTTTTTGCCAGAAGACCAGTTCAACGTCACGTCGTTCCCTACATCAACGTGATCATTGGAGCATGACAATGCTGACCTCACGTTGCGCGTGTTTGACAGGTCTTCCTCAAGCAAAACAACGTTCAGTGGTTACCTTGGCCTTCTCGATCACCGGATTTGTCCCCATTGAACATCTATGGGATAATCTTGATCGACGCTTGCGCCAGCGTAATCCGCCACCTCAGACACTACAAGAACTGCACACACTTCAGCAAGTGTATCCAGTGTATGAAATAAGGACCGCCGAGACGGTGGTTACCTCCTAGATTTACCCCATTGAACATCCGCCAGCCCGATGGTCTGGTAAAAAACTTAAATGTTCCATATATCTGTGTAACTTCACCATATTTGGTCTGGTTAAATCCATTTGTGTAACTTCACCATATTTGGTCTGGTAACTTCAAAATGTTACCAGCCCTAAATGGATTTAACCAGACCAAATATGGTGAAGTTACATGATGTCTGACTGGATTTTGGGCTTATTTCATACACTGGACTGTATCAAAACATTTCTCAAGACAGCATTCGGCATCTCCTTTCTTCTGTGGGTCAGCGGTGCCAAGCTGTTATCGATGCTCATGGTGGTCACACCAGATACTAACATTTTACTCTGACCAAGTGGCTTTAATAGCCCTCTGTGGTTTTACCACTTTCTGGATAATCATGTTTTGTAAATTTGTAAAGTGATGATTTTACTGTAACTGAGCAATGATGTCGTGTTAGAATCAGTTATATGCACTCAGTAAGTAAACTCCAAAACAACATGTCAACTTTCTTTTTTGAAGAGTACATATACATAACATATAGTGAGTGCTTTAACTTAAGTGAGTCTAAACTTATGGGTAGTATACATTATAAATGGAACACGCGCCAAACCCCGAGTTAAACAATCTTAATTGAACTCACATCTTTGGACAGCCATTAGCCGCTACTTATGTGCGTGTGCGTTGATCTATGTGTTTGTAAACACAAATATATATTTGTGATCACACAGATCGTTGAAATTTCAAGTGACTTAATTATGTTAGAAACAGCATATCTTTGTCACAGCTTCATTTAATGAATGAACGAATAATCATTGCTTTTCGCGGCATCAGCAGGTGTTTAAATAAACTATGACTGAGACAATCATATTTGAAAATATATTTAGGACAGCAAAGGAAAATTTGTGTGTGTATGTGTGTGTAAACTGGAAGAGAAATTGTGTTTTTCAAATTGTCTGTTCCTGAAAACATTTATACTCAAATCACACAGGATTCACAGGCTCCAACCCAGTTCAAACCCAGTCGTGTCTTGCATTAAACGGAGTCAGACATCCTTCTGTCGACAGGGCACACTCAGCTTATACCTCGGTCTATGCAAAAGAACAATGAGCTCTCTACACGTGGTCCTGTTTTGAGTCAAGTGCATAATGATCCCATGGTTAAAATGTTTCTTCCAGCTGACTGTGTGTACTGTGTATCATCGATGCTGTTTATTGAAACTGTCAGGAAATGGCCTGTCTAGCGCACACACACATCTTGAACGCATCGGAATGGAGCAGATGATACAGGCTACAGATTTACATAAACACACCCTTCTAACATTGCATAACAGTTTTCCTTGGTGTATTACAATGATGACTTTACCTGCATTGATAATGTTTAACTAGGCTACCCCATCGCTGCCTTACTATACTACCCATCAAAATTTTAGACTCACTAAAGTAAATATAGCCACTTTTTTCAGTCAACTGTTCCAAACCTGTTTTGCAAAATATTCCATACTGCTTAAAGGTACTGTTTACACATGAACTGATGCATTGTAAAACAAATTTGCAACGTTGAAATTATTGTCATGAGTTCAATAAATGATGAAACTCTGTGAAAATTGGCGAATTCTTCACAAAACTTTACACCAAAAGCGCAGCTGTTCACATGCACAATATTTGCACATGCTTTTCAGCAATTTGATGCATGATCCTTGTGCATTTCATCTGCATAAGGTTTGCAGTTGGTTCCCCGAAGTTAGTGGAGTAATTCATCTTCGATGTAACCACATATATATACATAACATATAGTGAATGCTTTAAGTGAGTCTAAACTTTTGATGGGTAGTATATAAAACAATTCAAGAACACAACACAATATTAACCAATCAAATTGATAATATTTTATTCATACAACTTTTTATAATGCAACAAAGCTGATAAACAAGATGGTTTTACCTCCAATTTTCAAAATGTGAGACACAATATACTACAGCCATGTTCACAAATGCTTGATGACAAATGGGGGTCACTTCACCAGCCTGTCTACATATCACTGCACAATTCATGTACACAAATATTCATCCTAAATGGCTGCCTAGTTATTTCTTGGCTGCAACTGGTGCCTTGGGTTTCCGTAATTTGCTGAACAAGTAATAGCCGAAGAGGGTTCCGTATGTAGCCATGACCCACTGAAATAAAAAACAACATCTTTGTAATGATTATCTTTACTAACAGATATTGACACGATTCCTCCATCCTCATCCTCATTCACATGAACATTCTTGAAAATTAAAAAAAATAACCAAATAAACAAAAACTCATTAAAACAAAACTATTGCCTCTGAAGACAAAATTATCTTTGAATGAGCCTTTTTTCATACATGCAATCTGAGATGTAGAAAACTGAAAAATCAAGAGTCCCAGGTTTTGCTGGGCCTATAAACACAATAAAGCTTAAATAATAGCATTCAATGTGACAACTTCTGTTGAAAGTTATACCAATGCCAAATTTGGCGATCAAAATGACTGAAATAAGGAACTGACTCCATGTTAACAGCCAAATTGCTGTTTATTGCCTTTTGTAGCTAAGGGGCCATTCATAATTTATAGCTAGGTGGGTGATGATGATTTTTATGAAGAAGCATGTACAATGTGAATTGGAACCAACCCCACCACCCACCCCCCCAAAAAAAATAAAAAAATAAAAAATAATAATAATAAAAAAATATCAATATGTACAAATTGTGACCCCCCAGCATGTCATGTACAAAATCAATGACACCGCCTCTAGCACATGTGTACAAAACTGATGATCCCCCCCTACCTCCCCAAACAAAATGGGTGACCCCCACTTTAAAACATCATCAGCCCCCTAGTCATAAATTATGAACAGTCCCTTATTCAAGTCTATTTTCAATTAACAATTTTCAAGTTTATGAACTGTCTCACGTTTAGCCTGCCTCTCTTTGTGTAGGAGTTGAAGTAGAACTGCAAGCCCTTGTAGTTGGCTACTCTCTCATCAACAAAGTCTCCTGACATGACTGCAGCCTGAAAACAAAATAGGACAAATCTTACAGCCACAAGCTGTAACAGGCTTTGTACAGATATCAGCCACGAATTTTAAAACCTTGTAGTCCTTGAAAAGACAAAATCAAATATTTTAAGGCCTTACAGAAACGTTAAACATAAGTAGTCAGATAAGTACAAGGTTTATAGACTGTGGGGACTGACCATTAAAGGGAAGTAACTCTTAGCTACCTACCTATGCTGGGAATGTTTTGCTTCATGATGGCAATTAATAAACATGTTGGCATTGCAAGGTACTTTCTATGCATTAGTTTCCTCTAAAATCCTAACTTGTTCACACACTTTTCGTAATTTAGGGGGTTTTTTCAAGGCAAATCCCTGGTTATTAGAACCTTTTCATAGCTTCAGAGCAAAACATTCAAATTTCAGGCTTTTTCATGTCATTGCCAACCCTGTGTAGGTGCACACCATAAAATTCAAAGTGAAGTAATGCACATTTACATTCCAAATAAGTCAACATTAGGGCTACAACAAATCCATTATGAGGTGAATACAACACATATCACAAATGGCCACAGAGTAAGCACAGCAATGTGTCATATTTAATTGGCACTGATACATGATTTCAACTAACACAGGTTGAAAAATACCATTGCCTGATACCCAGGTTGAGTGGAATTTTCCGGTCGGTCAAGTAAATATCCACATTAAACTTTACCGTGGTACAGTAGTGCCAAACTACTGAAATGTTTTGATATAAGTATTTTGATGATGAAATAAAAATGTAATTGCTACTAAATTGTTAATTGTGGTCAAGTGAAAAATAATATTTGGTTCAGTGGATTTTGAAAGTTTACTGGACCTGTGTCCAGTGGAGTTTTATAAAAATTTCAACCCCTGAACACAGTCACCTTGGTCTCATCAGGTGATGTTAACCAATTTGCTGGCAGACACAACTAAGGTGAGTGAGTTGGGTTTTACACCACATTCAGCAATATTCCAGCAATATCACAGCAGGAGAACACCAGTAATGGGATTCACATAGTGTACCCATGTGGGGAATCGAACTCGGGTCTTCGGCAATACGAGTGAACGCATTAACCGCTGGGCTACCCCAACGCCCCTGGTCAGTTAATGAATTTATAAGAGGCGTAATTAGTAGTATACCACTCAGACTACCATCTCACATTTTGCATGTCTGGGGTAATTACTGAACCTTATAAATTCTGTTTTGAAATGGCAAAAGTATTACATGTTATGTAACATGCACATGGAAGGACAGCAAGAAAGGAATTATCAGTTGTGTTCCAAAAAATTCAATCAAAGGATTAAGTGATAAAATAAAGTTCAGTTGGGAAACTGATATTAAGTTACAATATCCCCAAATGTTATATATATCTTACAATATTAGATTGTTAATAGACATGTGACATGGAACATGCTTCTTTGACAGCTGCATATGTATGGGATATTGTTCCTTTATCTGGATATTGAGGGACATGCTCCTCGAACAAGGTAACTGGCTGATAGTATTTATTAAACTTTTGTAGCTTGTAATTTACGATTTGAACATTTAGTTTTCACGGGATCTAGTCAAATGGTCCGAAAGACAAAAGGGCTGAGAAGTGCCAAGTCAAATGGGGCGATGGAAAAAATCAAAAGGGCCTTATTCTTAGTCCTATGGGCCGAAAAGTTTACAAATGTTTTTCATTTTTCATTGACATATATTGCATTAAAACATAATATCATAACAATAATAAAATGGTAATTGCCAAGCAGTATAGATGAGTAAATCCACATACATAAACACTACCTTTTGACAAATCCGCTGCGCAAGATAAAGGTAATTAGTCAATCAGCGTGTTATCGGATAATCCTTTGATCAATGTTTGTTTTTGTAACTCAGTTGATAATTCCTCCTGCTGCACTTCCATGTGCATATTACATAACATGTAATACATTTGCCACATCAGACCTTAATTTATAATGTTGAGTATTTACTCCAGACACGAGAATGCCAAATGGGAAGCTTTCCAGGTAATCTGAGTGGTGTCAGACTACACTTGACTACAACCCAGTTTTCATTCATCTGTTGCATTAAAAATCCATGAAGCAATCAATCAGAAATATCTCAGATATTGCAATATGTGGTAAATTATAAATAATCAATGATAATATACCAGTGATTTACAACCCCTGCGTTCTGAAATGTTATTGACGTAAACACGCGAACACAATGACAGAAACTGTTCAACCACCTAACAGATCGTGTTAGTTTACGGTTTGTTATATACATTTCTGTGTAACCCCAAATTTCGATCTCGGAAATTTAAAATCTGACAGAGGGTTGTGATGCACATGTAAGAAGATACAGATTGTCAACTAATTAAATGACAGCATCGTAATGATATGAATCTTTGTTTCCACCATGATGATGCATCACGATGTCATTACAACTCAAACGTCAAGGACTTTAGGCTTTTGCAAAAGTAGATTTTCAGACCTCCAATCGCCCTACGCATTGTGTCTTGAATTTTGGATTTGTCCAACACACAAAAAGGCGTTGATTCAAACAACTTACTGAATGTGTGGCATATTAAGTAAAAACACCGATTCATATATTCCTAAATATCTACTGAAAGCATTCGTTTGTTCAAAAATACCTTCTGGTTAGGTTTTCAATGTCACAGTGTCTCCGGAAACTGTGGTGGGCAAGGAAAGTAGGTTCGGGGCGAATTTGTTTCATGCTATTTCAGATAACATTTGGATGGATAGAAAATGATTACGTGACATTAAACAAAGGATTGTCGCATGGCAATCAGTGGAATCGGGTAATCTACTATAAAGACTTATGCGGATATTTCATTATTTATCGTCAATGTTTGACTGGGCTCTGTCTACATGTAATCTTATAACGTGCTAAAGTGGAAAACGCAGTTCTTGATGTCGTATTATTTTTTTAAGTAAATATATTTTAGGTTTTAGTTCTATAAGTGTAGGTACGACACAGTCTAAACACTAGGCACTCCAATTTGCCAGGTTTTAAGCTGTTAAATACATGGACGATGTAAAACTATTTACTGCTGAACTTCAAATATGGCGACGCCCATGAAAACGTGGATTTGAAGAATCGTACCACGGACAGGCCAAATAACAGTCAAGGAACCCTGCAGGTAAGACAAGGTAAGTGTCGCAAACAGTGTGCTTTTAGGGATACAACCATATATCTGTCATGATTATCGCCTTCCTGTCTCATGTGAGTTCACATTTAGGTGTTCAGCTACATTTAACAGTGAAATTTAGAAAACAATGACCAAGTACTGACATTAGATCTATATCGATAAAATGTGTCTTTTATAAGAAATCCAGTGTCTCCTCGGTTATGTCTTCAGGACCTCACCAAAATTGAAGTAATCTGCAATCAGTTTACACGACAATGATCAGGTTGGGGAAACCTACTGTTTGGCAATCAGAACATTTACACTTGTATTGCTGAATGATCAGGTTGGGCGTAAACCTACCGTTTGGCCTATCGGGCTATATTTGAACATTATTATTATTATTTCACAAACTATCAATTTCCGCACAAAATGGTTTTATATGATCATAGAGATGAATAGTTAATGGACCTCCTCAGCTTGAAAAAAAGTAAGTTTTTGGACAAAATGGAAATTTATATCATGTTCAGGAAAAGATGTTTCATTTAAGAACACAATTTTGCATAGATTTTCCTTTTGAAAAATAAAACTGAATATGTATGTCATTAATTTTCAGTGAAAATTGTCAAAAATATTGTAGACTTAAATTTAATTAGCAATTTCCAAACTCCTTTATTATGTGATGAAAATGCTCAAAAAGGCTTTGAATGAAAAGCTTAAAGGTCCCATGCAACGTAAAACACAACTTTGCAGATTCTGATACCTTTCGGTATGGACTTACCGAAACAAATCGTCAAAAATGCAAATTCAACTTATAAAGTTGAAAAAATAGCGCGATGAAAAAACGCACTCGCGAAATGGGAGTTCAAGCGTTTCACTAATTTACCCCAGACTTTTCTGGGAAAAGCGAGGTTTCAACAGCTGGGCTGCGCTTATAGCCCGTGCACAGTGAAGTAGGTTCGGTAGCTTGGGCGGTTGTCCTGTGAATAATCGGTGAAGGCTTTGGTGTGAGCTATTTTTCTAATGTTTTGTTGATATCTCACAGTAGTGAGCTTTTATATGTTATGACAGTAAATTAACTGTTTATATAATTTCATTTGTCTATTTCACCATCGTTCTTCTTACCGAGTCACTTTCAGTTCGATACTTAAAAGCAATGCCATTATTTAGCGTTGACAGAATTTCCAACTGTGCTATAGTATGTCGTTTGTCACAGACTAAACTCAATGTCTTGTTTTATTGACACCTGTGTGTCTGCCTGCCTGTCTGCTAATGACAATATTCAATACACAGCTGCTATCACTGACCACATGCAATTTGAACTTAACACCAATCAGGCTATACACCATAAACAAAATGCATTGATTTATGGCCCGAGTTAGGTCTCTGTCACATTATGTAATTACACAGACAGGCAGGTGTGATACTTGAACACATGACATGTTATGATATCTGTCACAAAAAATGAGCATGTATTTACAAAACCCAACATCTCTATATATACACACACAATCAGCCGTGAGGAGGCATCTGCAAATGAAGAACACTTGAGTCCACCACAAAGGGTTGGTATCGGTTCCGTTTCTTGGTAAGTAAACCCAAGTACACAATATTGCACTTTTGATTTTCAGTTGTAAATTATAATTTTGTTTATATGTTTTTCAAACCAGCAATGTATATTATATGTCAAGAATAAGTGATAATTGTGTTTTAATTATGTTTGATTTTTGGGTTGCATGTGACCTTTAAGACATCAAAACTTGAATGATATTAATATAATCATGCGGAAAAGCACCACTTCAAATTTATTTGATAAATATCATAATTATAGGCCGATCGGCCTATAGCAAAATAGGCAGAACGGCCTATTATATCCTGTTTGGCCTATTATAGGCCGATCGGTAGGTTTCCCCAACCTGATGATATGTGATTACCATTTCATGATTAGTATTATGAATATAGGGGTTGTGATCACTCATAATTGATCATGTTTATGAGGTATTATCTGAAATGGAATGTTGTCTTTGAGTTTGTTGCGGGTTTTTTACCTGTAGACAGTTGCTGCGTCCCATAACCACTCATCATGCTCATAACCAGATATTGAACAACAGCAACCAATGAATCAAAGTATGATGATTATTTATTGAAGTGTAAAAGGAATATATGTTTGACATGTATAATGTATGAATGTTTGAAGTACATAATGAATATATATTTGAAATGTACACACAATAGGGAGTGAATGTTTGAAATGTATAATGAATGACTGTTTGAAAAGTATTTGTCCAAGGAATATTGTTATCTAAGCTGCAGGAATAAGTGATGATTAAATTATAAGAAAAATATATCTTGTTTGTTAATACAGTCTACATGGTCTATATCGGTTAGTGCAATCCATTTTGGACCTTGAAGTAAATGGGTACGGGTCATCCAAATTTGGGTATGAATCACCTATGGGTATGGGTCAAACAAAAAAGGATCGAATGTTCCACAGCTTGTATGAATCTGATGACAATTTTAGGTTTGAGGAAGCCATTTTCATTGGCTAAATCTTTCTGGTTGCAGATTGTTTAGTATTTTTTATAAGTAGTACATGTCAAAATAAAACTAAGAAATATAATCTTGAGATGGCAGATATTTAGGTTCCATGCCATAAGTGAGTGAGTGAATTTAGTTTTATGTTGCTTTTAGCAATATTCCAGCAATATCACGATGGTGACACTGGAAATGGGCTTCGCACATTGTGCCCATGTGGGTTTAACCACTAGGCTATTGCACAGCCCCCTTGCCAATAGAGATTTGGAAACTGTCCTAATACTAGAAATGTATTATATATTTTCATTGGCATTTGACAGGTAATACAGATAATGTCGAAACCATCCATGAAAAAGATGACTCTCGTTGAGGACTTCCCAAGAGGAGGCATCAAGAAGATGCCTCAGAAGAGAAAATCAAATGGACCAGTTCAAGAACTGTTCAAGGTAATTTGCTTTGTGGTAAATTTAGTTCACCATGTAACGGTTATTGCAATTCATTTTTAAGAATCATTAAGAAAGTCCCACAGAAATTACCAAAATGAACATGTGCCCAATGATAATAGAACAATCTTTATTTTGTGAAACAAAAGGCGAGAGAACATTGATTTACCATTGTTTAATAGTCCCAATCTATATTTTTTCAATTTTGTTTACTGCTAAAGAAAGATTAAGGATCACCCAATCAATACAAATTACTGTTGTTAATCTTTCATGGCATGATAACTGTGGTTGTATGAAAGAATTGTGTGGGCCTGCACACACTTGAACCGATTTTATCATCTTCACATTATTTTGAAGACTTTCACACAAAATCTTTTCACATGTGGTCACAAATTATTAGGGTTAACTAAAAAGATTGATATTCAGAAATGTGGTTGATGAAAAAAGTATTAATGATTATTGATATGAAAATGTTGTCGTTGAAACAGACTTTTCATTCGCTGAGTTAATATGCAAGTTAGGTCTTTATTCATGGGCCACTTCAAAATTATATTCAGGACGGTTTTGCTGAGTAATCCTTGCTAAGTGTGTCACCAACGTGAAATATTTTGATTTCTTTCAGACTTTTTCTACATTTTTGCTCAAAGTTACTTCTCTGATATTTATTAATAATGGATCAGTATTCAGTTAATGGTTATCGATCTATGATCTGTATTGTTAGCAAGCTCAACAAATTCACATCTCAGCAGTCACATTTATGTTTCTCCCAAACTTGTTTTGAACCCGTGAAGGTCCGGGTTAGAATGTGCCTTCAGTAACCCATGCTTGTCGTAAGAGGCGACTAACGGGATCAGGTGGTCAGGCTCACTGACGTGGTTGACATATGTCACCGGTTCCCAATTGCGCAGATCGATGCTCATGCTGTTGATCACCAGAATGTCTGGTCTAGACTCGATTATTTACAGACCGCCGCCATAGAGCTGCAATATTGCTGAGTCCGGCGTAAAACTAAACTTACTCACTCACTTGTTTTGATTATGGAATATTTCTTCAGACAAATGATAGTGAGAAGAGGACAGATCAGCATCAAAGCGGGCCAAAGAAAAAGAAGTTCAAGCATGGAAAGCAGAAACAACAACAAATCAGACACACTCCTCAGCCCCAGAAGAGTTCATCCAAGTTTGAGAGTCTCCGGTTTAATGTAAGCAGGACAATATTGACAGGAATACAGCATTACTATCTGTTGTTGTAATACTATACTGCTCTTTCATATTGCCATGACATACAACCTGTAAAGATCCGGGTTAAAATAGATCTTCAGTAACCCATGTTTGTCGTAAGAAGTGACTAACGGGATCGGGGGGTCAGGCTTGCTGACTTGGTTGACACATATCATCGTATCCCATTTGAGTAGTTCATGCTGTTGATCACTGGATTGTCTGGTCCAGACCTGATAATTTACAGACATCCGCCATATAGCTGACTGCGGCGTAAAACAATACTCACTCACTCACTCATGTTGATTTTGTTCAGTTCATGTTACAGGAGCCTGATGCCAATTATCTTCAGAACTAACTGTCGATCAGTAATTAAGGGGGCATGTTGAAAATAGGCTACCTTTCAATCAAATATTCTTTATGAGAATGTGTTATTATTTTATACTTAGTGAAAAGTATGGTTGGAATCAGTCTTCAGCATGCAATTTTACTTAAGAGGTTACTAACAGGATTGGGTGGTCAGCTTTGCTGATGTTGTTGATGATGTCATCAAATCCCAACTGCATAGATCAATGCTCATTATGTCAAGCACTGGCTTTCAATTAGATTTGATTATATACAGAGTCGTGTGGAAGGAGTTTTGCTGGGTATGGTGTTAAACACTTGTTATAATTACATGTCTAGCCTATTATTGGATATTGTTTTCTACACTAGCACATTGAAGTTGGGATGCACGTCTTGTGTTGCGTGGCCAAAGTTGGAAACTACAGCTTGACCATGGACCTACCGGGTGGTCTGCAGGGAGAGGTGGCCATCACAGCCATCTCCGACGCCTACACTGGCCAGCTCAGCAGACTGACCAGTGATGACTATGAAGAGGAACAGGAAGAGGTAATGATGGCAATAGTTAAATGTCAGTAACACATTATGACACTGATGAGACCCTTGTAAGGATCTGTGATAACCCATTAAAATCTTTATTGGAATTATTCTTCAGCAGCCCATGCTTGTTGTAAGAAGCAATTAACAGGATTTGATGATGAAGTTCTCCGGTTTGGTTAGAACGTGTCATCATTTCCCAGTTGTGTAGATTGATGCTCATGATTTCAGTTACTGGAATCATTATTTACTTACCGACATCATATAGCTGGAATATTGCTGACTGTGCTAAAGAAGCCAGAAAAATGAATAAGTTATAAAATAGTAATAATTGCCTCTCTTCTAATAATTCCAATAAATCAGCTTCACTAATTGTCTGTAATTGTATTGTGACATTATAAATTGGGGAGTTTCTTCATTATGTTGTTGAATATATTTCACATATTTTATTGTGCAAGTGTTAAGTGCAAAAGAAATCATACATTGAGGACTAATGCTACCAGGTTGTCTGTTCATTTTCAGCTGATTGTTCGTTAAATGTTATTTAATGCCCACTTTGGTTTATGTATTTTGTGAACATATGACACTGTACCTGCAGGAAGTCGCCCTCCTCAAGGACATGTTCAGACCAGGACTTATCCTACCATGTGAGGTGACGGCTCTCAAGATACGCTCCGGGTCCAAGAAGAAGATCTTCCTCAGCATGAACCCCAAGCTTGTCAACAGACAGCTGGAGATGGAGCATCTTGTGGAGGGCATGGTAATGTGTGTTAAGATATCAAGATGTCCTTTACTTCCGGGCGGTGGGGTAGCCTAGTGGTTAAAGCGTTGGCTCGTCACGCCGAAGACCTGGGTTCGATTCCCCACATGGGTACAATGTGTGAAGCCCATTTCTGGTGTCCCCCGCCGTGATGTTGCTGGAATATTGCTAAAAGCAGCATAAAACTAAACTCAGTCAGTCAGTCAGTCCTTTACTTCAACAGTGTCTCATCATACAGGGGACACATGACGAGTGGATTGGTCTTGTCAATTGTTTTCAGGGGCGGATCAAGGATTTAGGAGAAAGGAAGGTGCACATAAATCATGGTCCAAAGGTTAGGGGGAAATGCTCCTAAGGGAAACAAATTGGGGGAGAGGGGGTCTGTGCACACACCCACCTCTCTCTCTCTCTCTCTCTCTCTATTTCTCCTCTCTCTCTCTCTCTCTCTCGCTCTCCCTCTCGCTTGCTACTTGCTATATACACACTGTGAAAAGTACCTGACGATGATTTTCTTGTGGCATCACTCCAACAATAGAAATCCGTGAAGATCTGGATTAGAATTGATCTTCAGTAACCCATGCTTGTCGTACACAAGAGGCAACTAGCAGGATCGGGTGGTCATACTCTCTGACTTGGTTGACAGGTCATTGTATCCCAATTGCGTGAATTGATGCTCATGCTGTTGATCACTGGATTGTCTGGACAGATTGCTGCCATATAGCTGGAATGTTGCTGAGTGCGGTGTAAAGCTAAACTCACTCTCTCACCAACATTACATTTTCATAGAAAAATGACTTGGTGAAATAGATGATAGCCAACCGAAGGGGTAGACACAGCCACATGATCATCAGTCTCAGTTAGGTGAAAATTTAGAGGGGGCATGATGTTGTATGATTTTAGGTGATTTTAGGTGATTTACATAACCCCAAGTCAACAATGAGTAATGGACTAGTTTGATATGAACAGTGGTATCTTACTCTGTACTTGCAGCTCAGAATAATGTTTCATCTCTCCTGCATGAAATAATTGGCGATCCTCAGTTGATGCAGGCCCTTGCCAAAGTATTTTCCTCAAATAAAATTTTAAAAGTTATAATTATAAAGTCAAGAATCACATGTGGTGTTGAATAAAATATGTTGGAATTAGGTAATTTGTCTTCCTTCTGCTGGTACTGTTACAGTCAGTGGTCTGCTGATGCTTACCTGAGTGACAGAGTTGTCCCCCTTGGCTGTCTTGCCCTTTCATTTGGTTTGGTTGTTCTTTAACGCTGCTCTCAGCAATATTCCAGCTATATGGCTTATAAGTAATTGAGTATGGACCAGACAATCCAGTGATCAACAACATGAGCATCAATCTACGCACTTGGAATACGATGACATGCGACAACCAAGTCAATTGCGCACATCGATGCTCATGCTGTTGATCACTGGATTGTCTGGTCCAGACTCGATTATTTACAGACCGCCACCATATAGCTGGAATATTGCTGAGTGCGGCGTAAAACTAAACTCACTCACTCACTCCAATGATGGAGGGAAAACATACCAGCGCCTTGAGCATGTATTATTTGCGTGGATATGTGCGCTATATAAGTATCCTATAATAATATATAAGTATCCTATAATAATATATAAGTATCCTATAATAAATATCCTGTAATAATATATAAGTATCCTATAATAATGTATAAATATCCTGTAATAACAGGTAATCTGACATGGCTTGTGAATAAGACAAAACACATCCTTCCAAATGTGGGTGTATATTAACCCGTTGACTGCAGTGTTAAATGTCAAACAAACAGTCATATAGGCTACAATTCAATTGACAAAATAGTGTGACTGTTTTTTAAAGAGTTATTCATTATCCTATACATAAAAGTGTTTTGTCAACATGTTCATCTGATGTGATCCCAAAATGTTTGTTGCAGGTACTGCTTGGCAGTGTGAAGTCGTGTGAAGATCATGGCTATGTTTTAGACGTTGGAGTGGACGGTGTGACTGCATTTCTGGCCAACAATCGGGAATGAAGGTAGAAAGCCTTTGACAATAATACACCATTTCCACTGTGAATGAAGGTAGAAAGCCTTTGACAATAATATCCCACCATTTCATCTTGATGTAGGTATTGTTAATGTCTTGTATCACTGGACTGAAATATTCTTGTCAGTACAACGTTAAACCCAATTTCACCTCACCTTGTATCACTGAGGCTGTGTAGAGTAGAACACTGTGCACATTTGAGCCTCAGGAAGATCCTGGCTAGAATTGGTCTGTGTTTATTGTAAAGACCTGCATAATTTGTTGTGTTTATTGCAGGTGAATCACTGAAACTAGGCCAGGTTGTCAAGTGCTCCATCGTGTCCAGCAAGAACAAAAACATCAAAGTGTCAATCAACCCAAAACAAGTCGACAAAGCCCAGGTAGGGAGACTGCTAAGGTAGCCACGCAAACATTATTCAAGGAAGCAGTATATTAAGTAGAAAACTTAACTATCATGTAATATCACACAAAGATGTCTTCATGTTAGATGAAGAAGGAAAGCTTTACTTAAATGAGTGTAAGGGACCGTGGTATCCAAGTATCTGTCATTAATTCTTGTGTGAAGAGAATTTCAAGTGTCAAAAATAGCTCGTTAACTTCGCCCATCTTAGGCAAATTCCGTGAGCTTGCAACTTATAGATAATGAATTCCAGTAATTTTTTAGTAATTTTCCTTATATCTTTTATAGTTACTCAAATATTTTAGTGAAAGAGGAATTGTGTGGGGCGGAAAATATGACACAAGGAGGTTGAGTGGTCAATGCATCTTTTAATCTCAACTTGAGACAATGAAGAAAAAAGCCCAGGTGACCTACTCAACAGCGAGGACGAACACAGAGTTACATCAGTCACCACTGGCATTCAAGTTATGTTGAATTATTATAGTTGAAACAGAGACCATATGGTCTCTGGTTGAAAGAGGGATGCACGTGAGCGATAGTTCTGCGACCTGCCTCGGCAAGAGCGTGCTTACTTCTCCGCATGTCGTGACGATTGTCGCAAGATAGTTTATAATTTAAAATATTTTAGTGAAAGAGGAATTGATTTGTAGCCAAATTTTAGTAACTATAAAAGATATGAGGAAAATTACGAAAAAATATTGGAATTCATTATCTATAAGTTGCAAGCTCACAGAATTAGCCGAAGAGGGGCGAAGTTAACGAGCTATTTTGGACACTTGAAACTCTCTCCACTTTGGATCAGTGATGTTTTGCTTCTCTACTACTCTATCTGGCCAGTTGCAGTTTTGAGCTACACTGGACAAGGCAATGCTTTTGGTTCTCAAGATGATGGTTAAAATTCACCACTGACTAGGTGTAATGAGGGTGGTTACATATGGCTTGTTTCATCAAGGTTGTAAAATTCGAGTCAGGATTGGGAATAACCTTATACATTTTGTTTCAATGAGAATGATGAATTGATATATAACTGAAAATCAGGAATAGTTTATCATGTATACTGTGTCGCACATTCAGTGCATGTTTGTGCTGTTCCTCCTACCTTTGTGCCACCCTCCGTTAAAGACATCAACTTTTACACATAACAAGTTTCTTAAACAACAATTTCCAGTGATGGGTAAAAACAACAACAAACAATATTGTTAAGTATTGGTTATTAATTGCTGTGTACTGCATTGAGATTTAGTAGACTGTTTCTGATTTGGAGTTATTTTGCAATTTATTGTTCTCATTTGGAGACAAATTGACAGTACAGACCTCACAGAAAAATTGGACAATAAGGGAAGTAACTCTTCATGGCTTATTACACTGTTGTATTGCAGGTGGCGAAGATTGAGACTGTGGTCCCAGGAATGAAGGTATCAGGCACCATTCAACAGGTTAGTAGTATGACTGGCATTATTGGTTAAAACGTTTGTTCATCACGCCGAAGACCCGGGTTCGATTCCCCACTTGGGTACTATGTGTGAAGCTCATTTCTGTTGTCTCCCACTGTTATTTTGCAGGAATACTGCTAAAAGAAGCATTTAAGACAAATAACTCACTCTTGTGCAAAATACCACAGTTAGGCATTGATCTACTGCACATAATGTTCACCTTCATCAAACCAGCAGCCATAAGAAAACAAACTTTAGAGTTATCCCCCCTAGGTCTGTGTCATGTTCATCATTACACACAAAATTGCAGTTGGTAAGCTGCAAATGTGATGTCAACAGTTCAGCATTTCAAGCAGGTAATATCAGAAATATATCTCATTGCACTGAAAATGATGAAATAAGTAAAAGGTAATATAGTACACCCCAGGTAAAAATAGGTCTCAGCCAATCAGAATCTGACATTCGTGTCAAGAATGATATATATCCATGGCCACAGTGACACTGCAAACAGTCATCGTCAAACCATTGTAACACTAACTGTTTTGGTCCTTCCATCTTCAGTATTTTTGCCGTGCTTGTAAATAGTATGTAGACAGTCCACAGTATTGGATTCTATTGCCAGGTACTTAAAGAAGGGCTGGTTATCAACTTTGATGGACAGACTGGCTTGGTACATCAGACACACACTCCAGCCTACACCCTTGGGCAGTATAAGGAGGGGAGTGAGGTAAGTGAGAAGGGGTGAGGGTGAACCAGGGTTTTACCTTGACTTACAATGGTGGGGGTCCATGGGAAACCCATCAATGATTTGGGGCGGTGGTGTAGCCTAGTGGTTAAAGCAATCACTTCGTCATGTCGAAGGCCCAGGTTCGATTCCCCACGTGGGTACAATATGCAAAGCCCATTTCTGGTGTAGCCGTCGTGATATTGCTGGAATATTGCTAAAAGTGGCGTAAAACCCAACTCATTCTCCATCAAGAGTTTTATGGGTCTTTGCTGGTAATGTGTGGGTCTCGTAACGTATTGAAATGGTGTAGTGTACTGTATGTTGAGATAATTACTTGGAATAAATCAGTGATCATCTGGACAGGGGTCATGACTGATGGGTGAACTATTGACAGATACTAGAGATAACTACTCTTGATGTGATGTAGGTAAGCTCTAGGGATTTTTGTGCATCTCTCCGGACGGAATATTTTGGGTGTTCTGCGTCCATTCTCTAGTTTGTGCCTACTGGACACATTTGTGCGTCGCGTAAAACCCTGGGGTGAAAACATACGGGGAATGGTGAAACTGGAACAGATGCGCTTAAAGTCAGCAGCCATCATGAATAGTGGGAACCCATCAAGCTCAGCCTCCATTCATCATGTTTGGTTTTCTTTGTTTTGACTCATAAACTGTATTTCGTTGTTTCATTGAGGGCTGAGTTTCTTGGAGTTTCATGTCACGTTCATGATTATTTATTGCAGTTATATAAGCAATATGTGTGTGCGTGCGTGCGTGCGTGCGTGCGTGCATGCATGCATGAGAGACTGTTGCAGCAGTTAAACATGGATACCCCTCTCAGACACAGTATATGGTTATTTTCCCAGGTGAGAGGAACAGTGTTGTACACTCTGTCCAAGAATAAATCAATCCATCTGTCCCTCCTCCCTCACCTGTCCGGCGCCACCTGTGGAAGCCTCAATGATCAGTTCTCCACACTAGCAGAAGATAAGACCATGCCACACAACGCACAAGTCTTTGATGTCATGGAGTGGAAAGTTTGGTTCACCTTGGACAATGGAGTCAGAGCGTTAGCAACGGTTTGTAGAAGTCAAACATGAATAATAAAAGTTCAAATACCAGAAAATGTATGAAACAGAGAACTTTAGCAAGTTAATAAATGTCATGGCTGCAAAATATCACATATTATTCAAAATATTCCTTTTTAAATTCTCTTAATGCAACAAGCATTTATTAAGGTCAGTTTAAGGAAAGTGTAAGCTTAGAATGGGACATCCTCGATAACTCCAGGGTATCTTCTAATAAACCTCCACTACATCCTGGATGCATCTACGGCTCGGCCCGATAATGTTATTACCTCCCTTGCTTGGCCTTTTAACGAATCAGGTGTCTACGCTGGGAAGTTGAGCGTACCAATCACAACTCACTTTCATTTTATAAATTATCCAGCCGATTACATTTGGCAACACAATAATATATTGTTGCAGATTTATTCTGAAAGAGGTAGAAGAAGTTCCTGCATATATTTTTTTTAGGTTTCAGACCTGTCAATTTGTCTGTATGTTTTCCCCCCAAATCTGAGTCTAACGGCGGCTTATCTGATTGGCTAAGAGAATTTGGAGTCAGCAAAGGGAGGTTATAAAATCATCTGCTCGAGCCGTAGATGCATCCAGGGTATAGTGGAGGTTTATTGGAACGTATACCCTGGAGTTATCGAGGATGAGAATGGGACTGTTGAATCTGGTACCCATTCCTATCCCAGGTTGTGTATATTTTACCATGTGCCAAACTGAGGTATTGTCTTGTTATTATGAGGATGATCAATTTATATCACACACCAAATAGTTTGTAGACAAAGTGGATGAAATGTGACTTGAATCAAAATTACTCAGAGTACCATTGTGCCAAAATTAGGATCAAAAGTACAGTTTGAAATTGAAATGTAATACAATACAGTTGCTCCACATGTACATCTATCCATATCTCAGATCCATGTACTGTATTCTGTTCACCAGAGACCACATCTGAGGGCGGTTGCGACTGACATGACGGTACCATTGAAAACAACATTCCAGGTCGGAGACATGCACAGGTAAGATATATCACTGTGTAGGAATGTCAGTTTGTGGCAATACAAATGTGTTGAAATGGGAATGTGTTGAAATGACATGGTGTTGAAATGACATGGTGTAGAACTGTCAATGTGTAGAAACACCAATGGGTCAAAATACCAAGTTACAGTCATCCCTCGCAATAACGCTCTTCGCGATACCGCGGATTCGGTTAAACCGCGGGGTAATCTGTGGCTCCGATAAAAAAGTTGCCCAGTGATCACACATACATGTCATCGAAAATAGCACATCAACAAATCCGCTGTTGAGCTCTGGTTAATCATGTTGTAAACTAGTGCGGATTGCAATTAACAGTGTTTATCGTACATATCCATGGTTTTTCAGATGCTTAAAACATGCAGGTTTCTTTTCAATAATAATAGATGAACAGCAAAACATCGTAATAACTTTATCATAAATCAGCCGAGTACTTACAACGTTTGCTATGCTGCAACACACCGCGTAATTGCGCGGGTAAACACCGCCATCCGAGAATGTATGATGTCAGAAAACACATTTTATTGATTAAATTCAATCCCATTTTCATTCATTAAAACTGTTTACTATCTCAGGATCCTTCATGATACATACCGTGGACACATTAGCCACCTTTGTTTTTATTCTCATTCTTATTCTACAAATGACACCAATAATAGATGTCAAATAAAATAGCATCGTTTGTTCAAGCGTAAAATATGCAGCAATATCACAACGTACTTGACTCGACTTTAGTATGATGTCTCAAATATAATCAAAACTTCTGCCTAGTCTGGGATGCTGGTGCATATTTGCTATTCAGAGTTACATCCCTTGGGAGCACCAGAAACTTGTGATTCCACATTGGCTACCATAACCAGAATGAATGATAGTCAAGAAGCTTGTGATGTTCTTCTTGTTGTTTTGCTAGGTGTACAGTTACCGGTTACAACCTGATGGAGAATGTTGTACATATACACTTGTCAGGGTAAGTACGTTTTGCCTCCTCTGGGAGTACCAGGGTAGACTTGTTTGTTTGTTGTTTAGTGTCAGCTATATTCCAGCTATATGTCGGCACTCTGGACCAGATGATCCAGTGATTCCTAAAAGTGGCACAAAAACTCACTCAGGAAAGAGTACAGGGTCCCGTTTCACAAAGCTCTCGTAAGCCTAAGATCTCGTAACTTTTCTCGTAGGATTAGTACTTCCTATACTGTAACATTGACTTACGATAGTCGTGGCGCTACGAGAGCTTTGTGAAACGGGACCCAGATCCTTAACACTGAAGAGGGTCTGTGAGTAAAGTTGAAGAATATAAGATACACTGAAACCTTTCCAGCTACTTGTAAATGTCATTATTAAATTCCTAATCAGGGTCATTTCATGTTAATTTATGAATATTATCATTGTCATTATTATTGCCTCCAACACCACTTCTCAAGATTGGTTTAGGGACCGTATTGCTGAGTGCGGCGTAAAACTAAACACACTCACTCACTAGTTTAGGGACCAGTCATTTATTACAATGGTAGCAAGTCAGTAGGTTTTATTACACTGATGTACTGAAAATACTGAACTCTCCCCTATTGCTTGTCATCTCTAGTATGACCCTCCTCTTATCCTTGAACATTTTTTTATGACCAAATCTGAAAAGTCAAAACGCAAAACCACTTTTTATATGAAGCAGTCCTCCCTGAATGCATGTGTAAAATTGTTATTGACCCTCCCATGGAGACTGCCATATCTTTGTGACCTGCCCAGAATCCTCTGCTAATTATTGGGGCAGCAGGGTAGCCTGGGGGTTAAAGCGGTCACTCGTCATGCTAAAGGGTTTGATTCCCCACATGGGTACAATGTGTGAAGCCCATTTCATCTGTCGTGATGTTGCTGGAATATTGCTAAAAGTGGCATAAAAACATACTCACCCACTCTGCTTGTTATTGTTATCATGGTCGTAACATGTTTGATTAACATCAAAGTTATCATCATGAGCATGAAAACATCAATCAGTTGAATGTTGTCATAATTAGTATGAAATTATTTTGGCATTTATATCTGAAATGAATTCCATGGCTATGTCTCACAGGAAGACTGAACCAAGCAAAACCGAAGAGTCGCACAAGCAAATGTTGGAAAGTGGGAAAACTGATGCCGAATCAGAACCAAAATCAAAGAAGAAGAAATCAGAAAAAGGTGACAAATCTTTAAAAGACGAGCGAAATTTGAAAAGTGTAAGTGACGCTTCAAATATTGATAATGTGAGAGAAAACAAGAAAAAGAAGAAATCTAAATCAGAAAGTGACATCACATGTGAAACTGACAATTCAGAGAGTGTGAAAAGTGCAAAGAAAAAGAAATTAAAAGAGAAAAAGAAAAGTGCAATGGACATTTCTGAGAGTGAAAGTGATGATGGTGATGATTATGAGGTAACAGGTACAAACAAAAGAAAGGTGAATACTGACCATTCAGAGATACAAGAAAGGAAGACTAAGCTAAAGAAGAGAGACAGGTCAATTGCAGAGGAATCAGTAAAAGAAACACCTTCGAAGAAAGTAAAGGGTGTTAAAGAGGAATTAGTAAAAGAGACACCTTCGAAGAAAGTAAAGGCTGTTAAAGGGGAATTAGTAAAAGAGACACCTTCGAAGAAAGTAAAGGCTGTTAAAGGGGAATTAGTAAAAGAGACACCTTCGAAGAAAGTAAAGGCTGTTAAAGGGGAACCAGAGACACCAGCTAAGAAAACAAAAGCGGATAAAGGAAAGGTGGTGAAAGAAACACCAAAGACAGAAAAGTCTTTGAAAGAGAAATTGCCTAAAGAAACACCAGGAAAGAAAGACAAAGGAATTAAAGAGAAGTCGGTGAAAGAAACGCCATCAAAAAAAGGGAAGATAAAGTCAACAGAGGAAAGTGACAGTGGGATTGAAGTAAACAAGGCTTCAGATTCTGATGATGATGATGAAGACATGAAGGTAATGTTGGTGATGTTGAAATAGTTTGTAGCAGCATGACCAGCAGTGGTCTTGTCAAACCGCTGAAGATCCGGGTTAGAATTGGTCTTCAGGAACCTGTGATTGTCGTAAGAGGCGACTAACGGGATCGGGTGGTCAGGCTTGCTGGCTTGGTTGACACATGTCATCGTATCCCAATTGTATAGATCAATGCTCATGCTGTTGATCACTGGATTGTCTGGTCCAGTGTGGTGTTAAACTGCTGAGTGTGGCGTTAAGGACTCTCAGTGTTTGCAAGAACTTTTGTTAATCTTCCTCGAAGTGAGTTTGTAATCGAAGTAACAATAATATTGTAAGTAATATTATGTTTACACCCACCTCGCTGCCACGAGAAAATTGTTATGTTATATGCGCTATGTCATGCAAAATCCTATTGGCCATCAATAAAATACATATTTTATTACCAGTAGAAAGTTTTGATTTTTGTAACTTCGGTGAAAACAAACCTAAATACCATTTATCCCTCAGGCTGGCGGATGTTCACGACAGGGCTCTCGCCATTTTAAAAATAAAAAATCTGTTAGAATTAATGAGATTATAGTTTGTTTTCATCAAGTTAGAAAATCAAGACTACTTTCTACTCAGAATGGTTAAATATGTATTGGAATCATAACCAAACGGATTTTGCATGACACAACTTATAACATAACGATTTCTTCCACGGAAGCGAGGTGGGGGTCAAGTCACAATACTGCGCTGACAAATTCCTTCTACATTCCCATGGTTAATGTCCATCACCAGTATGTAGATACTAGTCAGTAATGCGTCTGTATATTTGGTCTTATAATCCTAATTAGTTTATTATCATACTTGTGTGCATTTTGAAACTAAATAAAAAGCAGGCGATCTGCTGATACATATAGTGAATTTATAACAGAACTGTAATATCTAGACATTTTATAGTTTGCCAATGTGAATCATAATTCGCACACACCCTAGTGCATGTTGTCTGTCTCATTACACTTCACGGCGAAAACAATGATTCTGTTGAATGCTACGACAAATGAATAAAAACAAAATGCAAATATTAAAATTAAAACAGATTAAAGTTATAGGAACAATATCAGGCCATTACCTTGTTCGAGGAATGTATCCATCAATGTCCACAAAACTGTTCCAAATGATGTGTCTTTTAACAGTTTAATATACGAAAAAAGTGATAAATCTTTTTCAGGTATTGGTGTATAGTCTCCATTGGTCACCCAAGATAGCACACCTGGCAACTAATTGCATAATGTCCACTTTCTTTAAAACAGTAATTTAGTTAGCCAATAATGGGCAATCAATCAATGTCAGCTGGTTAATCCTTTGAAAGAAGGACGTTGTTTTCACGCGAGACACCTACCGACACGACAGAGTGTATTCAGTATAGATTAGTAAATCTACATACATAAACACTACCTTTTTGACAATTCCGCTGTGTAAGATAAAAGTAATTAATCAATCAGCGTGTTATCGGTTAATCCTTTGATCGATGTCTATAATGTTGAATATTTACTCCAGACACAAGAAATGCCAAATGGGAACCTTTGTCGGGTAATCTAAGTGTGTTACCACTAATTATACCTGTTATAAATTCATTAACTGACCATCAAGTGAATGATGACAAATAACATGTGTAGGTTTATACAACCTAACACGAGGTTACAACAAGGGAGTATTAATTGCTGTATTGCATGTGAAAACTTATGGGCCGACACTGTTTTGAGAATACAAACAGATTTTTTACATGACATGATTAAATATCGAGGTAAAAAGTGACTGTCTGACCGGTGTAAATTCCGGATAAGATTGGTACTCAGCAACTGATGCTATCAATTAAATCCAGCATTGAATCTTTGAATCTATACTGATTAATTCTGTACATCACTCTCTGGGAATGGTTTCAATATTAGGGTAACTGCCATTGTTAGTTTTGTAATGTTTATATTTTCAAGCCTGAAAGGAACAGAATAATATTATGGTGTTGATACCTCTCCAAATGACTTCAACATTACAGATAATTCAAACATCATGTAATATCTTCTGTCTCACAGGTACCAAAAGTTGGCTCCAATCCTCCAAGACTATCGCTGTCTGCAGGGTTTTCCTTCAGTGAAGACTTTTCTGTAGCTCCAACTGGTGTCAATGATGACAGCAGTGATGAAGAGGTTGAAGAAACAGTAAGTTGATTGTCTATTTAAAGTGAGTGAGTGAGTGAGTGAGGGAGAGTGTATTGTTTTACACTGCTTTTAGAAATATTCCAGCAATATCACAACAGATGACACCAGCAGTAGGCTTCACATATTACACCATTTTGGAATTGAACCCAGGTTTTTGGTGTGACATACCAACAGCAACTCTAGGCTACCCTACCGCTGTCTATTGGGTTTGTGACACCATACTGGACCCCAGCACCTCTTGTGGAACTCTGTGGGGATTCCAGGTTGATATAGGTCACCAGCAACCAAGTCTAGTATAGATCTAGTCGATAGAGCAACTATATGAACTAGGTGACCAGATGTGATGATTTTGCCATTGTGTGACGTCACAGCCTTTTGGTAATAATAAAAATGATAATAGTCCATTTATCATGCGCATTTCTCCATGCACAATGCATGCTCGGCGCACCCACACAATCTGATTATTATTACCCCGGATAACCCAAGCTGCCTGGTAGGCGCTAGAAGGTTATAGTCACATGACATGAGACCACATGTATCACATGTGCTTCGTTGTGGGGCAGGACTAAAGTCCTAGAAACTCTTAGGAACCCAGCTGCCAAACTTGGTCACTGATCCGAGGACTCCTCGTGTCCACTGTTGCTTAATTCAACTGATTTGTGACCTGAGCTCTATGTACAGGGGACTGCCTCCGTGGTGTAGTGGTTAGAGCGTCCGCCCGGAGAGCGGAAGGTCGCGGGTTCGATCCCCAACCGCGTCATACCAAAAGACGCTAAAATATGGTACTTGTTGGTTCCTTCCTGGCTCTCGGCATTAATGGGCACAACAAGGACTGGTCGGCTCGGAGTCAGTATAATGTGTCTGAGTGAGGTATTCATGCTTCACTGCAGCATGGTATCTCAGTGGGCTAGCACTATAAAACCAGCTTCAGTCTGGGCTAGTACAAGCAGCTGCACATACACATACACATGCATGCAAGTCGTCATATGAGCGAAATATTCTCAAGTACGACGTTAAACCCAATTTCACCTCACCTCACCTATGGACAGGGCCACGTGGCACCAAACATGTATAACATTGAGTGAGTGAGTGAGTTTAGTTTCACGCCGCACTCAGCAATATCCCAGCTATATGGCGGTGGTCTGTAAATAATCGAGTCTGGACCAGACAATCCAGTGATCAACAGCATGAGCATCGATCTGCGCAATTGGGAACCGATGACATGTGTCAACCAAGTCAGCGAAACTGACCACCCGATCCCGTTAGTCGCCTCTTATGACAAGCATAGTCGCCTTTTATGGCAAGCACATGGGTTGCTGAAGACCTATTCTACTCCAGATCTTCACGGGTCTGTATAACATTGTAACGAGGGCGATACAGGTTTTGCGAAAAGGGGTGGGGTGGGGGCTGTGCACACTCTTGGGAAAGGGGGGTGCACACTTCATTTTCACCCGTTTTCACGGGTCATTTAATAAACCTTCAGGACCAAAGGGGGGGATCGATGTTCATGCTATCAACCACCAGTTTACCTATCTGTAGATAAAAGTAAAATGCCAAACATGAAACACATGCATATTTCTTAATACAATACATAAGTGTAATTGCAAATCTAAGATGTATGCTTGATTAAAGCTTTTTTTTCTCAGAAACCTGTGAAGAAGACCGCTCATGAACGCCAGCAAGAAAGGATCGAAGAAGAAAAGAAAATATATGCTGTGAGAAGAATGTTTGATTACATCTCAAAATGATTATAACCAATCAGATAGAGAAGAAGTGATGTAATCAATTAACCTTGGCTCATGTTTTTCTCCATGTCACAGTACCTCAACTCTAAACTCTAAAAGATTCCTTGTTACCGCGGAGATGGCTCCATGTAATTAAGGTCTAAGTGCCTCCATTCACAGTTCAGGTGTATCCATGTTTTTACAGTACAAACTGCTCTTTACAAGCACTATACCAATAGTTACCTATCCCAGAGCTCCAGATAAGTTTTAGCTCATGTGGGTACTGTACCTACTGTATTTTTTTGGAGTGGGTATTTTGAATGTTGAGTGGGTATTTCATTTTCCGTTACCCACTGCTTTCAAATATGTCCGTGTTTCAGTCATTTTACTCACCTAAGTATTATGTCATTGAGTAAGTTTACTAAGCAGGTATGTTCTGCCTTATGTCATACCTAATCAAAACCAACTTAAATATAATGGAAATGATTTTATAAAAAAATCACTCATCCTATACTGACAGTACAACACTTGTCCTATACTAACAGTATAACTTGATAGCAATCGATGTCTTTTTCATTACGCAAGCAATTTTTTATAAATATAATCTGTACGCATTTGTTTTAAACTTTTTGCGTATCCAACATTTTAAATGTGTAATTGATACGCAACAAGTATTTTTCAATGCAATTAACAACAATTATTTTTCAATGTATTTGAAAATTTTTCCTTATCCTGACTCATGCAAACAAGTATTTTTCAATCGTGCTCCACTCTCCTTCTTCGCCCAGTGAGCAGGATGTGAGAGCCGCCTAATTGGTATCAAAAATCAACAATTATTTTTCAATCGTGTTATTTGAAATTTTCTATTACGATTTTACCCGGATACCCAGAAGACATGATGCGCAGATTATGAACATCATGGAGGAGCTTATCTGGGCCTCTGCTATCCTACAGTAGAAATGACTCCTTTTTATTAAGGCCTCGAAATGCGCACATACTGGCGTTTCGCCAAAGTACAAATGGCTGTATGTTATTATCAATCTCCAGTATTAGAGACCAAGTGGTCCTAAGTTACAAGACACAACACAAATGGTTCCATATTATTTCTGTTCCAGTGGCTCTTTTTTTATTACAATACAAAGATATCTAAATTATTACAGTACTAATAGTTCCATGTTATTATAATACAAGTGGCTCCATGTTATTATGATATTATGGTCATTTTGGCACTTTATTGTCACAATACAAACCATTCCATATTATTACAGTCCAAATGTTTTATTATTGTAATGTTACAGTATGAACGTCAGCAGCTAGAAGGGGATCAGGTCCCAGTGAGCAGCGATGACTTGTTTTATTATAATGTTACGACCGCAGGTCCCAGTGAGCAGTGATGACGCCTGGTCTTGCAGTCCCCCAACAGCTCCCTGCTGTGGACGAGGTACATGGCCTTCCATCTGGAGACAGCCGAGATCGAGAAGGCAAGGACTGTAGGCGAGAGAGCTCAAGACAATATCTTTCAGGTACTTCTATCTCTTATCGCTGTCATCACAAAGGTATCCTAAGTCAGAATAGGTCCAAAGCTTCCTTGCTTAAAGGGTCAAGTGGTCAACATCCTAGTTAAAATAGGCTATTTTCTAGGCATGGGTCATGCTTATGATATCAATCACTGGTTTGCTTGGTCTACACATGATAGTTTTCATGCTGACATGACATATATTGCTGAACAGAAGTTAAGGACCACCTGATATTCTCAATAAGTTAATCCGACCTGCCATGATATACAAACATACTAATGAAGCCAGTTATAATTAGATACATGACTCCAGCTGTGGAGGGGCGATGGGGTAGCTTAGTGGTTAAGGCGTTGTTCGCTTGTCATGCTGAAGATCCAGGTCCAATTCCCAACATGTGTGGAGCCCATTCCTTGAGTCCTAAGCCTTGATATTGCTGGAATATTGCCGTGAAAACCATCACTCACCAAGGTGAGTCCTCATATGCGACGTTGATGTGTATTGCTGCTTGTAATAAGCTGGTTTTATAGTGCTAGCCCACTGAGATACCATGCCGCAGTGAAGCATGAATACCCCACTCACACATTATACTGACTGCGACTCCTTGTTGTACCCATTAATGCCAGGCAGGGACCAACAAGTACCATATTTTACGTCTTTTGGTTTGGCGTGGTGGGGATTGAGTGGTGTCTGAGTTATGACAGAGTAGTGTTAGGCAATTAGAAAGGATTGATGAACATGACAGTTGTGAAGAATAGGTACAAGGTAACGTGTTGATACAATAGAATAAATGAGTTGATCAGCAGATTAAAATTGAATTATTAAGTGCCAGTAAATTGTGATCAGGGTGTTTTCCTTGTGAGTGTGTGGGATGTACTTTTTTGTATACTCACCAACTCATTTAGTCTGTTGCTGTTGCTTCTGTTGTTGCTGTTGCTGTTGTTGTCGTGTGATGAGTGTATGTTTGTGTCAGGGAAGAGCAGGAGAAGCTGAATGTGTGGCTGGCCTTCATGAACCTTGAGAACATGTACGGGGGAGAGGCCCAGCTCACTGCCGTGTTCGACCGGGCCCTGCAGCAGAATGACCCCATCAAGGTGTACAAGCAGATGGTACAGGTGTACTCCGGTAGTGGCAAGATGGAGGTGAGAGGGTGTACAAGACACATCTGTTATCAGAACAGTTGTCACCATTCACTTTCTCAACACTTATTTGGCCCAAACAAACTCATTTTTTTAACTTCCCCTTATTCATAATCTTCATAAAATCATCCATCATTTAATCATCAGGGTAAAGGTATTACATACCCACTCATCATACAAACTTCAATAACTCATCATTCAGTCATCCATCACTTATCATCCAATCATTTGCCACCTATACACTCACCAAACAGCCACCAAATGTGTCACTCACGCATGCACGCACTCTAATCATGCATCATGCACATAGTACCCATCATGCATGACCCACCCATAATGCACCATTCCCAGACCAACCTCCTACCATCATGCATGACCCACCCATAATACACCATTCCCAGACCAACCTCCTGCCCATCATGCATGACCCACCCATAATGCACCATTCCCAGACCAACCTCCTACCCATCATGCATGGCCCACCCATAATGCACCATTCCCAGACCAACCTCCTACCATCATGCATGACCCACCCATAATGCACCATTCCCAGACCAACCTCCTACCCATCATGCATGACCCACCCCCAAATGCACCATTCCCAGACCAACCTCCTGCCCATCATGCATGACCCACCCATAATGCACCATTCCCAGACCAACCTCCTACCCATCATGCATGACCCACCCATAATGCACCATTCCCAGACCAACCTCCTACCATCATGCATGACCCACCCATAATGCAACATTCCCAGACCAACCTCCTACCATCATGCATGACCATACCCAGACCATTCCCAGACCAACCTCCTGCCCATCATGCATGACCCACCCATAATACACCATTCCCAGACCAACCTCCCTACCCATCATGCATGACCCACCCATAATGCACCATTCCCAGACCAACTTCCTACCCATCATGCATGACCCACCCATAATACACCATTCCCAGACCAACCTCCTGCCCATCATGCATGACCCACCCATAATGCACCATTCCCAGACCAACCTCCTACCCATCATGCATGACCCACCCATAATGCACCATTCCCAGACCAACCTCCTACCCATCATGCATGACCCACCCATAATGCACCATTCCCAGACCAACTTCCTGCCCATCATGCATGACCCACCCATAATACACTATTCCCAGACCAACTTCCTACCCATCATGCATGACCCACCCATAATGCACCATTCCCAGACCAACCTCCTACCCATCATGCATGACCCACCCATAATGCACCATTCCCAGACCAACCTCCTGCCCATCATGCATGACCCACCCATAATGCACCATTCCCAGACCAACCTCCTACCCATCATGCATGACCCACCCATAATGCACCATTCCCAGACCAACCTCCTGCCCATCATGCATGACCCACCCATAATGCACCATTCCCAGACCAACCTCCTACCCATCATGCATGACCCACCCATAATGCACCATTCCCAGACCAACCTCCTACCCATCATGCATGACCCACCCATAATGCACCATTCCCAGACCAACCTGCTGCCCATCATGCATGACCCACCCATAATGCACCATTCCCAGACCAACTTCCTGCCCATCATGCATGATCCACCCATAATGCACCATTCCCAGACCAACCTCCTACCCATCATGAACCACCCACACATCCATTTCATTGTTTACCGCTTTCCCATGCCCACCCAATCACTATTGCCCTTCCACAATCCACCTGCCCACCATTCAGTCAAATACCCTCCACTCACCTATCCACCAACACTCAATCCACTCGCACACAATGAAATCAAGCACGATAGACTATCATCCAAGCATCCACCAACCAAACGTCCACCATCCAGTCAAGCCCCACCAACCCTCCAAACATCCATGTGTCCACCCATCCTTCCACTAACTATCCTTCCACAAAACATCATATCAGACACCCAACAACCAACCATTCAACATTATTTAAAACACCACTCAACCTACCTTCCAAATGCACTTATTAGGACCGCCTCCGGGTTAGTGGTTAGAACGTCTGCCCGGAGTGCGGAAGGTCGCGGGTTCGATCCCCGACCGCGTCATACCAAAAGACGTTAAAATATGGTACTTGTTGGTCCCTGCCTGGCGCTCGGCATTAATGGGTACAACAAGGACTGGTCGGCTCGGAGTCAGTATAATGTGTCTGAGTGGGGTATTCATGCTTCACTGCGGCATGGTATCTCAGTGGGCTAGCACTATAAAACCAGCTTCAGTCTGGGCTAGTACAAGCAGCCGCACATACACATACACACACATGCATGCACGTCGTCATATGAGCGAAATATTCTCAAGCACGACGTTAAACCAAATTCCACCACCACCTTCCAAGCTTAAACAATTCAACCACTGTCCAATCATTCATGAGTCTCATATCCTTCAGCACCACTGCACTTCAAAATATTATCTCTTTGAGTATTGACCCATAGCATTGAAGCTTGACATCTGTTTTCAGGAAGCAGAGAAAATGTACAACACAATGACAAAGAAGTTCACCCAGGACAAAACAGTTTGGACAGGGTTTGGCTTGTTCCTCTTCAAAAATGATCGTCCTGAAGCTGCAAGAAAACTTCTGCAAAGATGTCTGAAAAGTTTGGACAAGAAGGACCGTAAGTCACTCAGATACATCAATATTTCATGATGTATTATCTGTCCACCATAGTGAATTTTATCAACAATATGCTGCTTCAGTGATGCCAGGGGTGGTGGGGTAGCCTACTGGTTAAAGTGTTTGCTCATCTCGTCAAAGACCTGGGTTCAATTCCCCACATGGGTACAATGTGGGAAGACCTGTGAAGATCCGGGTTAGAATTGAACTTCAGTAACCCATGCTTGTCGTAAGAGGTGACTAACGGGATCGGGTGGTTAGGCTCGCTGACTGGGTTGACACATGTCATCGTTACCCAATTGCTACGCTCACTCACTACAAAGTAGGAAACCCATTTCCTGTATCCAGCACAATGATATTGCTGGATTATTGCTAAAAGTCGCGTAAAATCACTCACTCATCGATGCTAGAGATGTTCCAAAGTCTTCTGTGGCAGCAGTTTCCTACAAGAAATGTGCAAAAGAAACACATGATTTTCAGTCAATCCTGCGAGCCAGACTAACATGATGTGTATTGTACTGTGCCATACATAAATATACTTGAAGACGGTTTTGACGTGAACACTATTTCCCAGACAGTTAATTTTGAATAAAATACTGTAAATGATGTCTCATTCTATTCTCGCATATGAGTTGGCTGGGTGACAAGAATTAAACTATGCAATAGTCTTGTCCATACAATGAGACCCATGAAGATCTGGGTTAGAATTGGTCTTCAGCAACCTGTGAAGATCCGGGTTAGAATTGGGTTAGAATTGGGTCTTCAGCAACCTGTGAAGATCCAGGTTAGAATTGGTCGTAAGAGGCGACTTATAGGATCAGGTGGTCAGGTTCACTGACTTGGTTGGCACCTCATCGCATCCCAATTGTGTAGATCGATGCTCATGCTGTTTATCACTGGATAGTCTGGTCCAGACTTGATTATTTACAGACCGCTGCCATATAGCTGGAATATTGTTGAATGTGGCATTAAACAACTAACCTACCAACCAACCATACAATGAGCTTGATATATTAATGTTTCCCCAGATGTGGAGATGATCTCTAAGTTTGCCCAGATGGAGTACAAGCAGGGCGAACCCCAGCGTGGCTGCACCATGTTTGAAAACGTTCTCACCAACTACCCCAAGCGTACTGACCTCTGGTCAGTTTATCTGGACATGGTCATCAGGACAGGCAACCTGGAGGATGTCAGGTAAGGCTTCGAAATGCCCTCTACTTTGGCTAACACAGGCGTGAATCCATATAGGAACTGGTTTCATGCGTATGACTGTCATATGACGCAAAAACATGTGGCTTCTCATGGACCGTATATATGGCTGATGTAGTTGTTTTCCTTGGCTTTTGTCCTCATTGAATGACCAGTCTTCTAAAATGACGTTTGTGTTAAAAGTACATTATGCATCTGGATATAGAGATGCTCAGGCAATATCACTTTCCCACTGCTGCTATGCACATGTAGCCAGGAATATGCTGAGTGGACCTAAGTGATGGAGCTGTTTATTTGGAAACATTGTCATTTGAGGATTTGCATGAAACATGTAGTATAACAATACAATACTAGTACTGGCAATAAGCCTTGGATTTATTCATAGAAATAAAATTTATATATTTTTGAGAATTTAACACAAAAACATGTTATGAAAAATGTTGAAGAATCTTCTTCTAAGACACAACCACAACTACCATGCCATCTTAAATAAGCCTGATTTGGCCACACAACTTAAGCTACTTTTATTGTGCAGTGATCATTTACTACTTGCTCTTAGCCTACTCATAGATGATGACAATGCTCCCCTTGAAAGTCAGGGTTGGAAGTGGTCTTTAGCAAACCATGCTTTATGGTAAAGTACTCTAGCGGCTTCAGTCTGATACATATCATCATATCTAATTGTGTTGGTCTGTGCATTAGTTGTCAATCACTGAATCGTCTAGTCCAGACTTGATTAATTGCAGGTCCTTTCATATAGCTTGAAAAATGCGGAGACATTTATCAACAAATATAATGCAATGGAACATCTAGCATTTAGTGAATAATTTTTTGATGCACAAATACCTTAAGAGACGTGTGTGGAAGAAATGTAGTTCTATTGGGTAGAAGAATAAATACGCCATGTCAGCAATATTATAGCCATTCATGTCTGGCTAGATCTGGGTAAAGTACATTTTGTATTAAACATACTGTTTGCAGGAATCTCTTTGAGCGGGTGATCCACATGAAAATGTCATCAAAGAAGATGCAGTTTTTCTTCAAGAAATATATGGACTTTGAGAAGAAAAATGGTGATACCAAGTCTGTGGAGAAAGTGAAACAGAAGGCGTTGGAGTATGTCGAGTCTCAGGGCTTTCCTGATGTCAAGCTGAAATAGCATG